ACACTCGGTACTGAAGCAAGAAATAAAGTTTTCTCTCTCTCTTCATAACACAAGGAGAATAATATATTTCAATATTACGCAGTCTTGAATGTGTTTTGTCTATTATTATTATTATTATTGTGAGCACGGTGTGTAAATTCTATATACAGCAGGTATGTAACATGCAGACACATTCATAAGCACTGGCACAGACACATTCAAGCCTCGAGTCTGTACCTGTCAAATGTTCCTAAATCCTAGTGGAACATCGACCGTGGGAAAGAGGTTGTCACTTCCTTAGCAACTGCTTGACGACTGGTGCTTTGACTCACCCGCTCATTTCCTTGTTTTTTTTTTTTTTTGTGAATGGAACATACAGACATGAGCAGCACTTTGGGAGCAATCATTGTCATAGTGCTGCCAAAGCAAACGTCTTCGACTAGTTGCCAAGAAGACAGTGAGGTCAGTGCTGACATTGCCTCAGAGGAAAGAGGGGGTGGCACTGCCAAGTCCCTTTATCCTAAGGCGAGTGGCATAATGTGGGTGTCTGTTTATGGGTACACGTCAGGGTAGCAAAGGCCTCTTGTGCGTGCTCATTGATGTGATTACTCGTCCCTTAGTGTGAACCTTTCCCAGTAGGCTTCTGACGCAAAGACGAGGGGCGGGAGCTGACATTGTGGACAAACAGGGTCGGGTGAAGGAAGAGATCGAAGGTTACGAGTGTTTATGCAAAACAAGCATGTTCACTCATAAAACTAATTAGCAGTCTTTTGTCCGTGTGCATAGTGGCGACGATGATGGCGCTTGAGTGCGCTCAAGTGTGCTCAAGCTGCTCGTGATCAACCTTGTTGCCATCTCGTCAGCATGTTTATTTATACATCAATTAAAAGCCCCACTCGAGCAAATAATCGGTGCGGAAATGCTCAAGCATCTATCATTTTTATTGAAGCCACATGAAGTGGGAGAACATATATTTAATGTGAGCGTTTCTATATTGAAGAATATTTTCTCCCACACCCTCTCTGTGTCCAACTGTCCTTTAAGTGACCTGATGTTCTTGGTCCAGGAGGCTCTTGGCAGTGTCACCCAGGCTTTAGTTGCCTTTCCAGATGTTGCTTCTGGTGGAGGAGAGATAATAATTATCTGGACACTTCTTTCTTTTCCTCCCCCCCGTCTCTCCTGCGCTTGTCGCCCTCCTTTTCCTCTGTATTGTTGGTCACGAGACCCAATTTGTTGCCGTTGGTTGCATCACCCCTCTCATCTTACTGTGTTCTGTACACGCGTGGTAAGCATGAGCATAGAGAGATTATACTTGTGCTGTACATGTGTAGGTATGCCCAGGGGATGTGTGTTTCCGAGTTGAAGTTGTTGCGTATCTGCGAGCAAGTTTCTACAAAGACTACCCTAGCTGTCTCCCCTTAAGCCTCGGTTGCGTGGTGTATCGAGCACCTTCAGACTGGCAGGTTATATAGATGTTGTAGGATGCAGTAGTCCCCAGCGTGCTCTATAATTGGGAACCTCAGAGGAGAGGGGAAAATTCGATGTGGGATGAATTAATTCTTCCCTCTTTTATTTCATGCCTTGTTCAGAGGTCCTCTCTAATCTGTGCTAGTGCGTTGGCAGAGTGCACTGGATCAATTCACTTCACTGAGAGAGAGAAAGAGGGAAGCGAAAGGGACAGAATGAGAGTGAGAAACGTGAGCCAGTTGGTCTGTCCGAAGAGACGGGAGGGATCAGGAGCAGGTAGAAGAATATGGAGATTTTACACTTGAGTGGAAGAAGTCTAAAACCTGATTAATCACAAGGTGACATTAATGAAACTTTACGTAAGAAAAGGGCCGCAGCTTACAAGGCCTAACCCTCAAAGATCTCACTGGGCCTGAGACCAAGTGTGTCGATTGGCCAACATGTAATGAATGCTGGTGTCGCTAATGATTGCTGCGGCTAATGTTTCATTTTATGTCAGTATTATATATGGCCAAATGGAAGAAGCTTCCTTTGCCCCCTTTTCCTTGTTTTCTTGCAAGGTACTCCAGCATGCATCAGGGTTTGGGTTTTATTTCAGTTCAATCCAACATCTGCAAAAACATGGGTTTGGTGATATGACAATATATACCGTGTGGTAGAATTGTATACAGGGGTGGAGATTTAGCAAGACCATTTCTCCCGTGGGAGCTATTCGGGGCAGACTATGGAGCACATTAGGGCTGTATTCTCGCATGATCTTGGGATCTCGTTTATCAAGCGACCGTCTTACAAACAAATGTGATTTGGGCAGATGTGGAGAAGGAGAATAAAGGTGTAAATACAGAAACCTGAAACACTTCAAATTATTGTTGTTAGGAACAGGGTTGGAAATGAACTTTTTTGTCCCCCTGCCATTGTGAATCTACCAGCCACATAATAGATTAATATTGTGATTTTTGGCTGATAAATGAAGCCACTTGCATATTTTACGAGCATTTGGCTGGTGGCTCGTGCTAATTTCCAACCCTGGTCAGGAACCTTAAAGCTTCCATTTTGAGAAAATTTTAGTTTTACTGTTGTGAGTCTTTAGTTTTCAACTCAAGTGTTGTCCCATGTGAGGTGGCTTTTTTTTTTATTTCTATTTTGTCATTTGTATGGTAGTTACAAGAAGAAAATATTCAAATGTGATGAAGTTCAGTATGTTTTTTTTTTAAAGGAGCAGTGTGCAATATTTAGGGGGATTTAGTGACAACTAGTGGTGAGGATTGCAGATTGCAGCTAGCTCAAATTTCTCCTGGTTGTAATTCCTTCAGTGTTCATCATTCAAGAGGTTTTAACCGGGAGCTGAATTATTCGCAGAGGTCTCTTCCTCTCCAAAACAGACCCGGTGATTACAATGGGTAAAAACACTGAATGAAGCAGTTTTGCATTTTTTCCTGTACTGTCCTGCTTGTCGGAAACGGGCTGCAAACCTCAGCACCTGCTAATGTGAACTCACCTTTCTTCTCTGATAACTTAATGTGGGTTCTCTTCTAAACCAGACATTCGGGGGGTTTTTAGGAGACGAATTTTCCTCTCCAAAACAAACAGACCTGCTCATTTAACACAATAAAAACACTGAATAAAGCAGTTTCGTGTTAAAAGGATCAGTGTTCTTTTGAAGCTGCTCATCGTAGAGGGGCAGCTAACTATGGTGACCGATATGAAAAAGGCAAATGGCTCTGTTTTGAGCCAGTCTTTGTTTTTGCTGTTCTTGGCTACTGTAGAAACATGGTGATGCAACATGGCAGACTCTATGGACGAGGACCTGCTCCCTATGTAGAGATAATTAATGGCTCATTCTAATGTAATGATAACGCAGTGATTCTATTCTATTTTCAGGTGATTATACACTAAATACTAACATGTTATATTCAATTTATGCCAGTATATCCCCCTAAATCCTTCTCACTGAACCTTTAAACCATTTCTTAATTGATTTAACAGAACAATTACTGTATTGTAATACGTAGTATTGCAGTATGTACAATGAGATGCAAGACCATAGACAGGCTTCCATCCTAATGTAGCACACATTTTTACAAAAATTTTAAATAATCTGCAAAAAATAGGAACAAATGTATATTTCTTTTTTTTTTTTTTTGCCCTATTCTTACCTACATGGGGCGAAAACACTCTACTTACTGAGCTAAAGGCCATCCCACAAATGTACATTTCCATCCACTAATGTTCTGTGAGTTGAGCACATTGAGATAAACAGCTGATGGTGCTAATTCTCCAATTGGAGAATCGTTGCAGAAGAAGAGATGGCTCAGTTGTTGATGTTGGAGCTAGCAATGTGTTTCACTTTTATGCAACAAATTAGGGGAAGAAAATCATTAGGATACAATTAACTTAGAGTGCACAGAGACAAATAATATTAAATTAATTCCTGGTTAGAATATTTTTTTGTTTGAAGGTTTTTTGACCAGGTACAAATTGACCCTGGTCCTGTAATTCACTGAACACAGCACTACTCATTCTCTTCAGACAACAGGGGACTACTCTCTCTTTTACATCTCATTGTGAAACTCGCTGACTGTACTTGACTTATCTATTACTTTCATTCTCTCCACCTGTGCAAAGACCATAGTCACAGTCCGGTTCAGCGTCTTCATTCCTGCTCGCATTCTCTCGTCTGGTTGCCTCTCAAAACCTATTGCAAGTTTCTGTTCCATCTGATTTAATAACCTCAATGGTGTTCTCTTAGCTTGTTGGTTGCCATGGCTACTATTTCCTGGATAGTGTAGTATGCTGAGGATGAACTGCGTGGGTATGCTTGCGTTCATGTGGTACACAAGTGTGCAATTGTGTGTGTGTGTGTATGTGAGGCACAGTGATATGAAGGCTGTACTTTCACATGTAATTACAGTGCACCACCAGCCATTAAAAGACAGGACATTCACACTCGATTTTTAAAAGTATGATGTCCTCTGACTAATGCTATCTGAGAGGACAGAGACTGAAATGTGCGTTCATCAGTGTCTGTGTGTGCATGTGTGTGTACTTGCGTGGTTATGTGTGTATCCGTGGCAGCAGAGGGGGCCATTTTTATGCCTGCTGTATTTTGAGAGTGATTGTAGTTCACAGTGGAGAGTGCTGCGCTCCTCCTCACATTAGAGGGAGAGAGCAGAAGAGGAGATGTTGTGAGTGTGTGTGTACGTGTGTACGTGTGAGTGTGCACAGATGAAGGACATTTATTTGTTGCAGTATGTGCGGCCCCCGGCAGAAGAAATGCTTTGCTAACCACAATCAGCATCCATCAGACGCCAGGCTTACCTCTCCTACAGACAAAAGGTTAAATGCTTCACTAAATCATTCTCTCTTTTTGTTCCCTCTCTCCTCCCACTTGCTTCATCACCCTCCCCCTTCTTCTTCCTTCCCTCCATCCTAACACTTCCACCATTCACCTTCCTTCACATTGGTTCCCTGCCATTTCCTCCATCCCAAACCATGTCTCTCCTCCCCTTCCTGTCCTCTTCCCCCTTCCTTCCTCTCCCTCACCTTCGCTACAGCTGGTGGGCGGCGAGTTTGACCTGGAGATGAACTTTATCATCCAGGAGGCGGAGAGCATCGGCTGCATGGTGGAGTTGTTGTCCCACTGCGAGGTGACGTGCCAGGCTGAGATCTGGAGCATGTTTACCGCCATCCTCCGCAAGAGCGTGCGCAACCTGCAGACCAGCACCGAGGTTGGCCTCATCCAGCAGGTGCTGCTCAAGATGAGCACTGTGGACGACATGATCGCAGGTAAAGCAACCGTACATTTAAATGCATAAAGACACAAGAGTTTGCTGGTTTCATGTTTCTTAAACAAGAGAATTTGTTGCTTTTCTTTGTTTTACATGATAATAAAATGAATAGCTTTGGATCATTGGACCGTCGGTCAAATAACACATACCAGCTGAAGACATCATTTTGAGCTCTGGGAAGTTATACCGGGCATGTTTCATTATTTTCTGACATTTCATTAACAATCAATCAATTTAAGAAAAGAATGAGAATGATACCCCTTTTGTGTGATGGAAACAAAGAAATCTCTAAAATATATTTTATATTGCTGTGAAAATATCAACAAATTTGTCCTTTAAACAACTGTATTAATTCAAGTATCTATTTATCTATCTATCTATCTTAAAAATAATAAGGTGCGTGTCCTAACACATCAATAGTAATTTTACTGCGTCCTTTTGTCCCAATGACATCCCAGGGCAGATCTCTGGTATTCCCAAACATGTTTTCTATTGCTTCCAGGAAGATGTTCATCTGGAGCTCTGTTTTTCAGCCCGCACAAAATTAATTTGACACAACAGAAAAACACTGGCCACTGCCACTAGTAAATGTCAGCTTTTTTTGCCATAGGCCAAAGGCAGTCAATAAGGCGAATATTGTTACTGTTTGCGGTGTTCAGTCGATTACTGCCCAGGTGTAAGACAAACACACGTTTATAGATAGCTTTGTTGATCTTGATATATCTTAACTTTCACTATAATGCTAATTAAGTAGTCATATAATATTATTTTGTGCAGTACTTTAATACATTATTGGATCAGAAATACTGCTATTATTTGCTTAAATCACTGAAATCACCAGGCGTCTTTTTTGGACAGGCCTTTAATTCCTCTCACACAAAACTGTTGTTCCGCAAAGATCAGGAAATACATTCAAATTGTTTATTTAAAGCAGTATTAATATTACTTGTTTGAAAATTGCGCAATTATGAATCACTCATTTGATCTTGCTCCGACAGACACAGCATCACAGAGACAGAGAGTTATAGCACTTGAGGATTTCGGCACCCGGCATACCGACACAACACCAATTTATCCTGTTAAAACAATATGAATAACTTTCAGGGTAATCGAGGAATGGACACATAATTTGAGGTAGCTAACAACCCGGTTTTATAGACCTGAAGAACTTCTATAAAGAAATGAACTGCTTGGCAACCAGACCAGGCGTCTAATTGAGACAGGCCTTTGTCTGTCAAAATGTGTAGCCACACCAGGCCAGTAAAAAGGACTGGGCTTTTAATTGAAGTTTACAGAATAACTTCAATCTCCAATGTTGAAGTCATGACAAGTGGGCCATAAGTGCAAAATTATTACATGTAAAGTAAAGAAAGTCGCACTTTTACACTCTCAAAAGCACTGTGAAATGTTTGTATGATGTTAAATGAGTACAAAGACTGTCGTTGTAAAGGTTTGTTATTTAACTCGTCGTCCTCAACATGCCTGGCCTGCATAGTGATTTCACACAGGTAGTAATTTTCCCACAAGTGCTTTTCAATATCACACAAAGAGCATTAACTCCTGCATTCAGCCGTGGGTTGTGTGTGTAGGTGGAAAAACAACTGCAATACCATAGAGAGGAGCAAGTGAGAGACACATGCCAGGTTTGAAAACACTGCATGTCTTGAGACTGAAGCTGAAGATTGAGATGCTTCTCGTGGAGAGATAAGTGTCTGTTTCTTGTATAGTGTGGGATAATTGAACTTGCAAAATGGTGGAATAATCTTTGGTCCATTTATCCTTGTGAATACGAAAAACTTTTACATTGTATTTTTTTCTTAAAGCTCAGAGCCAATAGCTGAAGATTTCTTTAACTCACTTCCGATTATTTTCTTCATAACAGATTTCATGTGTATGTGTGTGTGTTTGCCCCGTAGTCAGACATTCGTAACAACCCGCTGGTGCAGCAGAAGCAGAGTAATGACCCCAGTATGTTTCTGTGTATGCTGCGATTTGTACGCAGGGCTCGATTGCAAAACAGCACATACACAGCCGTCTCTTTACATGATCATATCGACCTTGACTTCCCCTTAATGATGCCTCAGAGTGCGTGTCCTCTCCTTCCCTCCCCCTCTGTGTCCTCTCTGTCCTACCTACCGCCGCAGGATAATGTGCTTTATAACTTCTATGACTTATTACTGCTCAGCACAGCAGAGCATACGCCGCTTAAATCAATTTAATGCCAATTCTCACAGTCTCCCTTTCTGAACCATGATTCTAACACTATTTAAAATGACCTACATGGATTGATCGTACCAAAAACAGAGCTTAGGGGTTTTGAATCTAGGACATTGTGTATTGCGTTTTCCTCTCATACCAAGCACCTCAGTGAGCGAGCCTTCTGCTTTATTCCCTATCGCTGGGCTCTGGCTAATGAAATATTATGGGAAGACTCTATTCATATCTAGCAGACCTAATGGGAAAGAAGAGCCTTTGTAAGCAGATTGCCTCACTCTGAGAGGGCAGTGTTGTACCTCTGCTGTATCCACACCAATCTGTTGTGACTGTGTGAAGTGAAAGTCAATGAGGCCCGAAGGTCACTTTGACTAAACAAATGTCTTTAAACACATTAAGCGTTTAATTATTCTCCTGAATGTTCAGAGAGAAATATTTTGGAATATTTTTATTGTCAGTTTTATGACAAGACATCTCGTCTGTTAAAATGTGAGCAAATTAAAGGACGAGTTTGACATGATGGGAAATGCACTAATTAGAATTAGATGAGACGATTGACACCACTCTTAAATACTTCACCCCCCAAATGATCATTTGTTTATCAATTACTCACCCTGTGTTACACTGCATTTAAGAAGACAACTTACTTTTTTGCACGTCTTATGGTAAACGAGGAATCCAAAAAAGGCAAACTTTCCTCATGAACTGAAGTTGACATAAGCAAACCATTGTAAAACTAAGGCTGATATTGACAAAATGAAATATCACCATATTTATGATCAAATACCTTCGCAACAATGAGAAGGCACTCTGACTGTAGTTAAAAATCTTTTATTAATACATGGATAAACCATCATCATCAGGGTGTGAAATGTATTGGAAACAGGTGTGCAATTTAAGAAGTCATGTAGGGGTCATGTGACAGAGGTCACATGATATATTGGTGTAGCCCTACAAGACGAAAACCACACTGAAAGAAATTGCAAATGAAAATGACATAATTTTTTTTTTTTTTTTTTTTACATACACCAGTAATCATTTGGCCTCGCTCACAAACAGTGTGTATGAACATTTTGAGCACCTCTGTATTTTCTTACCTGAATTCGTTTGTACTCTGGTACTCTCTGTACCATGCGTACACATAAATGAATGCCCAGCTGTCTAAGAAAATGTAAACACACACCTGTTAACTAAATGCATAGCATATTGAAACCGCAACTGCTTTAATAGACAACAATATTTAAAACAGTCAATCTACTAATGCATTGGCCAAATGTATGAAATAACTATGAAATCGATTCCCTCACGTCATCATCAATTATTGTCATAACTAAATATCAGTAAATAAACAGTCCTTTCTCACAATGGAGTATATGAGAACTTCCATACTGATATGTAACAGTTTTAGTTTTCATTGTTTTTATTTTCTTGGTCTTCAGTGTTCAGCTCCTCCCATCAATTCCTAGTGCCATGACATTGCACATATGTAAAGCATTAAGCATGTATGAGATTCTGATTCAGCTCCAGGCAGGAGCTAAGGCGGCATATCTGGCCTCGAACACGGAAACAACTTTACCGCTCTCTCGAAGATTCACCTCCAGGCAAACTTATTTCCTTATATAGAGAAATTGGGTTGTGGCAGTACGCTGATTGTAAATGCACGTGTCTGTCAATTCAGACTGATCCTAATTCCCAGAACACAACTGGCCAGTGTGAATTTTGTGCACATAGTAAGAACATTTCTATTCACATGTTAGTAAATGAGGCACATTGAGAATGGTATCCGTCTTCGGCCTCTCGGCAACTCGAACAATTCAGCAGTCCTGGACCTAAATTAGACACACAATGTTGAGTCTGAGTTGGTCTAATACCACCATGATACCATCTTTAAAAACATTAATATCTGGGAGTTAATTGGCACAGGCTATCATAATAAATCCACATTCATTAACAAGCTCCTTGTACACAATATGTGAGTTTATCACAGGTGTTGGTGACAGCTTAAGTGTTACATGGCTCTTTGTTTGTTTACCTTGTAGCTGAGAGCACTTAGCACTGGCTTGGTGTGTTTGGCCTCATATTACCTGATGTCTTCAGATCAATATATACAGATACAACAAGAATTTACATTGTGGCGTCAATATTCAAGGTAATAAGTAATGCTGTGTGCAGCGCAGACTTCTTGGAAGACACTTGAAGTTTGACTGCGCTGATTAATGCTCAACACTTGCAGTATACAAACTGTGTCTTATTAATGACCTTACCTTATTTTATCAGGGAGGTGTCAGACTCACACACACACACACACGCACACCCACATAATATAGTTGTATGTTCTCTCTCGCACTCACTATCAGCGTCTGTCTGTGTTTCCTCAGACCTCCTGGTGGACATGCTGGGAGTCATGGCCAGTTACAGCATCACAGTCAAGGAGCTGAAGCTGCTTTTCAGTATGCTGAGGGGAGACAACGGCATCTGGGTGAGTTGGTGGACACTTAAAAGAGTTTTTGTGTGTGTGTACGAGTGGGTGTTGTTATTGTTTTCACCACAGTAATATTTTTGCCCAGAAGACATAGTTATATCTACTGGTGCTTTGCAGGTGCTGGTAAACAAACATTAACGTTGTGAAATTGTTAAAAAATAGCATCATTATTATACATTGCTTTATAAACTTATGCTACTCTAACTACCACTCCAGGTGGCGAAGCTTCAGCTCAGTAAAGACTTTCTGATGTTGCTTGTCTGTCTTGACTTTTACAACTTACCCAGAACTGCTATCCATCATTGGATTCAGTAGCCATTTTGATTTTCTCTAAAAACACAATGCCATATTTCTCAGTTGGATTTTCAGTGGAAAAATGCCTAAATTGATGATTACTGTGTCATTTTTAATTGGGTATATGTTTAATCTTTTATTGGTTAGAAAATTAAAAGTTACACATTGATTATTGCCGCAAAAAATGAGACATTTCACTTTTCTTGATATGCTATTATTCCACAATTAATAGCTGTGGAGGCTATATTTATTCTAGACTAGATTAATTATATAGCACAAGCTTGTTTGTAAGTCATTAGTCTGGATGACACTTAATGGGATGGTTGTGCTAATAGACTAGAATAATAGAGGATGGGTGTGTGTGTGTGTGTGTTTGTGTTTGGATTGATTTGCAAGTGTATGTCAAGACAAGGGCAATTTAGCTCACGTTTACAATTTTCTTTTACCTCTTGTAATCAACATTATTAATGCAACAGAGGTTTGAGCGTGTTATTTTTATTCAAGTGATGGTTAAAAAAACAAACAGCGACAGCCTAATCAGCTGTGAAGGTGAGACACTCTGAATTCACTATTATTTTTCTCCAGGTGAGTTCTTGTGGGGAGGTTGACATTTTTGCCATATACTTACACTCTATATACATATATTCCCCATCTTCTATTCCTGCCCACCAAGCAGACCCACAGGAGTAAATGCATCGCTCAGGGGCTCATTTCTGCTTCTTCTCCTTTGTTAGACTTTTTCACCAAGCGAATGGAGATCCCAATCGGCCACAACATTTCCTCATCTCTGACTTCCTCTACCTTCGCACAGCCGGCTCAGAAACTTTTCTCATTGTGTGCTTCCAAATAGGTATTTTCGTTGGTTGTGGTTACTGTTAGTGGACACAGACCTGCATTACTTTGCAGGTTATTAGAAAGTTTAATAAGTTTCCTGCTTCACTTTAACATCAAGGTGAACCCCTCTTAATGCCTTTGCACATCAAGCCACATTTGAAAATAAATACGACCTCGCATTGTGTCACCAAGTTTGGTTTACTGCGTTTTTTGAGTGTGTGTGTCCCTATCTTAGACATGCTGACAGCTGCTCATCAGAATCACTTAGACAGCAGAAATTGGTGGTCTTTTTTTTAATGTTTGATTCTAGTATTGCTACCAGTGTATCAAACTTGACCACTAAATTCTGAAATAGTCACCTGCAAACGATCAGTATGATTCCACAGCTCGGCAGGTAAAACTCTCCTTTTATTGTGAAAGGTAAGAGGGTAAGGGAAGGAGTTAAGCTGTTATGCGCTGCCCTTGCAAATGTGGGAGGAAATAAAGAGTTTGCCAACTTGGTTCAGACTAAAGAGCCTTTGTGTTTTTACTGTTTTGTTGCTGTCATAAGCATGGGTGCAACTTATACCCATCAGCTACACATGAGCCTAACTAAAGCTAGCAGCAGACCAGAGACAAGTGATATTTTAGCAGATCAGCTGAGTACCTGTATGGTTAACAGTGCCACAAAACAAGGTGCACTCAAGACAGTCAGCTTGCGACACTATTTAGATGTACGTAAAACACATCTGTGGTGTGTGTGTGTGTCTGTGAAACTCCGACAGCAAACGAACAGCAGAGCAGTGCACCCCTAAATGACACCAAAATGCAGCAGAGATGCAGCATTGTTTTTATTACATGACTATTTTGGTACAAAAGTTTACCCATCATTTACTAGCCAAACATAAAATCTACCTGCATTTGGTGCTTGGCAGGCGCTCATTTCAGTCCCTTTATGATTTTAAAAACCATATACAAATTTAGTGTGCAGAGACATTTTTACACCTGACTGCTTCAGGCTGTCAACGTGAAAACACCTAGTTTTACCCTGTGAGTTGCACAGTTCCTCCTAAATTATCCAAAAGAACGTATGGAGAAATACTGCAGGCCATAGCTGTGCTGATTCATGCTTTCTTTTAGAGCTACAATGCCACGTTTACTTTGAGTACCTGTAAGTGAGACTAATTCAGGAGCTAAGCATCGGGAGTTGTTTGTACAGATTCCACTTACAGTGCTACTTGTTGTTGTCATTTTAACTGCTCCCTGTAGTTTGCTGATTAGCCTAGCTTCTACTCACTGAGTTAAGTTGATGTTTTAAAACCAAACTGTGGACATTTGGGATGGTTCTGTGAGGCTAACACCTCTCCTCTGCCATCCTTGCTCACGAGGTGCACAGTAATCGCGATGCCTTGGCAGCTGCTGGTGTTTGCTAGCTAAGTCATTACAACCTGGTCCCTTCTCGTCCATCTCCCCTCCACTCAGGCCTCAGGACAACCACTATCAACAACCCCTGGTCACTGATCAGTGGTCCATAGCGACTCTATCATCCATCCCTGCAGCCCTCTTTCTTTACCTCCTCTGTCTAATAACTATCCGTACCACATCCACCTCGCTCCTGTTTCCCAGTCTTTTCCAATTTCTCCTCCCCCAGCAGGCCTCTCTAGAGACAGATCGATTAAGGGTTGCCATGGTATTGATGAGGTGTTGTCGGGGGATGGCGGGGGTGATTGAAGAGGTATTGATCCAGTGGGGTTGTGGTACAGATTTGATGTCACACCATGTTTTTTTTTTTTAACACAGCCCCCCCTCTGTGCCTCTGATAGTCGGCAGTTTGCACATAATAATGACAATTCTCCTCTCCTCTCCTCTCCTCTCCTCTCCTCTCCTCTCCTCTCCTCTCCTCTCTTTCAGCCAAGACACGCCATCAAGCTCCTGTCAGTGCTGAACCAGATGCCTCAGAGACACGGTCCTGATACCTTCTTCAACTTTCCAGGACGTAGTGCGGCGGTGAGACTGATCAGTATACAAACACACACACCTGAGCGTCATTATCAAGAATTAGCCAAATTTGTTCTTTGTGCGCCCAAATTGCTAAAGAGTCCTCCATGGCATTCCTCGCCGCATTTAGTCAGCACATCTTAATTGGCACTTTCCTCCGCCAGTGCGGGGAGTTGAATGGTGAAAAGGATGTAATGACTGACTGAGTGGCATATTGATTATTATAAACATTGGCAAGAGCTGATCTAATGTGTGTATCCTCCCCCTCAGGCCATAGCATTGCCGCCAATTGCCAAATGGCCTTACCAGAACGGATTCACTATCAACACTTGGTTCAGACAGGATCCACTCAACAACATCAATGTGGATAAAGACAAACCGTACCTCTACTGGTAAGTAGAACGCTGTTCATCTGGACTGTTACTCAATGAACATAAAACTCCTTGTAATGGGAACTGGGACTGGAAACATTTTAGACTAGACGGGCGCTCAGAGAGCGCAGACCTCCGCCAAGGCCAAATGCCCTATCTTGCAATGTTAACGAAAGTGAAAAATAATTAGTGTATGCACCCTGTGATTAGGATCCGCTCCGAAATTTAATGGATTTTTCCTTGGCCCATGCTTTAACCTTCTGCCAAGTTTTATGAAAATCAGGCCAGTACTTTTTCTGTAATCGTGCTGATAATCTAACAAACCCAACCAGAAATATTTCCTCCTTGGCGGATGTAAAAATCCACTCTTCAACACTTCAGCACTGTCACAGTATTTCTATTGGCCTTTAATATTTAATTTCTTTGCCGGCTTTGATGACCCAATGACATCACGTTGATATTTTTTGCCAGCGCAGTTACAGAGGAATCAAAAACATCAGGTTTTTGAGTGAGTCCTTCAGGATCACAGATGAAGGGCTTCTTTGTAGACTCTCCATTTTCAACACTCATACAGTGACAAAAAGATGCAGAAATACCAGTTTTTCCTTCAGCAGTAGTCCTCAATGCTGCACTGCTCAAGAAATTTTACTGGTTGTGTAAGAAGTCTACCTCTTGTTGACCGCACAAACTGTCTCTCTTGCTTCTGCCATCACTATTGATCCGAGCAAAGAAAAGCACACAGCTGAATAAAACAAGCTCAGGCCTGTTCCCGCTGGGTGTCAAAAGGCATTTTGGTTAAAGTAAGATGAAACTAAGTGAAGTGAACATAAATGACGCAGGTTGAGGATGAGTGCGCTGCACTTAATCACAGTATGAGAAAGCACTCAGTGGACTGCAGGCCGAATAATCTCCGAATAATACTTAGAGACAGGAAACCAATGTTTGAGCCTCTGATGGATTCTAGGATGTTTAAAGGGGACTTGTTACATTCTTTCTCAGGTTCATACATGTACTTTGGGTTTCTACTAGAACATGTTTATGTGTTTTTTATACTGTCTGTGCTGGAGCACTGCTATTCACCCTGTCTGAAACACTCCATTCTAGCGCCTTCTTCTTCTTCTTCTGGCGTATGTCCTTAGACCTTCAGCTCAGTTGAGGCAAGCCAGTCCAGTGTTTCATCGTCTAGGTCAATTAGACCATAGTTGCCATTCGGAGGCCGGTGTTTGGGGCAGCTGGTTATTATGTGTTCCACAGTTTGTAGTGGATCCCCACATTCGCAGTGGGCACTGTCCTCAAGAGTCCATTTCTGCATCGCTGCTCCAAAGCATCCTATGCCTGTCCTCAAGCGGTTGAGGGTTGTCCTTTGCTTTCAGGGCAGGTGCTGGCCAGGAACATCAGTGCCTCCATCTTGCCTCGACCCAGGCAGCCTTGGAGGTATCAGATGGTGTTGGACAGAGCAGTTCTTGCGTGTGTGTGGCAAAGGGGTCCCGGGACTTGAGCCGCAAGCAGACCGCACCAACAGTAGCGCGTATCTCTTTAAACCCCTCCCCAAAAAAGCCCAATCTGCTCCAACTGATCAGCGTTTCTTCCGTATCTTGGCATCTCTGCTCCATCATTGCAGCTGGTGAATGACTGTAACGGAGTATAGCAGCACTTTCTGCCGTGACAAATCAGCAATAAAAGCTTCTCAACGTATGAGGTCACAACTGAACATGTTCCAGCAGGAATATGATCCGAAATCGGGAAGAAATTAACAACATACGCAACAAGATGACATGTTTCTGTGATGCGTGAAGGAAATGACTGTGTATGCCGGTGCTTTCTACCATAAAAAATGACCAGTAAAAGCTTTTTTACACAACTGGACATGTTCTGACATGATTAGGATTTGAAATCAGGGAGAAATTAACAACACTAACAACCAAGATATTTGCCTGATGTTAGCATGTAGCTACATGTAGCAGTGTTGGCTAAGTAATGTAAATAATTAAAGAAGCATACCTGGAAGATGACCATGAAGAAATCTGTCATGAACGCATGTCAGCTTGGAGCCAAAACAGAAAAAACATGTTTACTTTGACCACGTTTAATATAAACATCTGACATTGTGACATTATATATACAGTACAGGCCAAAAGTTTGGACACACCTTCTCATTCAATGCGTTTTCTTTATTTTCATGACTATTTACATTGTAGATTCTCACTGAAGGCATCAAAACTATGAATGAACACATGTGGAGTTATGTACTTAACAAAAAAAGGTGAAATAACTGAAAACATGTTTTATATTCTAGTTTCTTCAAAATAGCCACCCTTTGCTCTGATTACTGCTTTGCACACTCTTGGCATTCTCTCCATGAGCTTCAAGAGGTAGTCACCTGAAATGGTTTCCACTTCACAGGTGTGCCTTATCAGGGTTAATTAGTGGAATTTCTTGCTTTATCAATGGGGTTGGGACCATCAGTTGTGTTGTGCAGAAGTCAGGTTAATACACAGCCGACAGCCCTATTGGACAACTGTTAAAATTCATATTATGGCAAGAACCAATCAACTAACTAAAGAAAAACGAGTGGCCATCATTACTTTAAGAAATGAAGGTCAGTCAGTCCGGAAAATTGCAAAAACTTTAAATGTGTCCCCAAGTGGAGTCGCAAAAACCATCAAGCGCTACAACGAAACTGGCACACATGAGGACCGACCCAGGAAAGGAAGACCAAGAGTCACCTCTGCTTCTGAGGATAAGTTCATCCGAGTCACCAGCCTCAGAAATCGCAAGTTAACAGCAGCTCAGATCAGAGACCAGATGAATGCCACACAGAGTTCTAGCAGCAGACCCATCTCTAGAACAACAAAACATGTTTTATATTCTAGTTTCTTCAAAATAGCCACCCTTTGCTCTGATTACTGCTTTGCACACTCTTGGCATTCTCTCCATGAGCTTCAAGAGGTAGTCACCTGAAATGGTTTTCCAACAGTCTTGAAGGAGTTCCCAGAGATGTTTAGCACTTGTTGGCCCCTTTGCCTTCACTCTGCGGTCCAGCTCACCCCAAACCATCTCAATTGGGTTCAGGTCCGGTGACTGTGGAGGCCAGGTCATCTGCCGCAGCACTCCATCACTCTCCTTCTTGGTCAAATAGCCCTTACACAGCCTGGAGGTGTGTTTGGGGTCATTGTCCTGTTGAAAAATAAATGGTCGTCCAACTAAACACAAACCGGATGGGATGGCATGTCGCTGCAGGATGCTGTGGTAGCCATGCTGGTTCAGTGTGCCTTCAATTTTGAATAAATCCCCAACAGTGTCACCAGCAAAACACCCCCACACCATCACACCTCCTCCTCCATGCTTCACAGTTGGAACCAGGCATGTGGAATCCATCCGTTCACCTTTTCTGCGTCTCACAAAGACAAGGCAGTTGGAACCAAAGATCTCAAATTTGGACTCATCAGACCAAAGCACAGATTTCCACTGGTCTAATGTCCATTCCTTGTGTTTCTTGGCCCAAACAAATCTCTTCTGCTTGTTGCCTCTCCTTAGCAGTGGTTTCCTAGCAGCTATTTGACCATGAAGGCCTGATTAGCGCAGTCTCCTCTTAACAGTTGTTCTAGAGATGGGTCTGCTGCTAGAACTCTGTGTGGCATTCATCTGGTCTCTGATCTGAGCTGCTGTTAACTTGCGATTTCTGAGGCTGGTGACTCGGATGAACTTATCCTCAGAAGCAGAGGTGACTCTTGGTCTTCCTTTCCTGGGTCGGTCCTCATGTGTGCCAGTTTCGTTGTAGCGCTTGATGGTTTTTGCGACTCCACTTGGGGACACATTTAAAGTTTTTGCAATTTTCCGGACTGACTGACCTTCATTTCTTAAAGTAATGATGGCCTCTCGTTTTTCTTTAGTTAGTTGATTGGTTCTTGCCATAATATGAATTTTAACAGTTGTCCAATAGGGCTGTCGGCTGTGTATTAACCTGACTTCTGCACAACACAACTGATGGTCCCAACCCCATTGATAAAGCAAGAAATTCCACTAATTAACCCTGATAAGGCACACCTGTGAAGTGGAAACCATTTCAGGTGACTACCTCTTGAAGCTCATTGAGAGAATGCCAAGAGTGTGCAAAGCAGTAATCAGAGCAAAGGGTGGCTATTTTGAAGAAACTAGAATATAAAACATGTTTTCAGTTATTTCACCTTTTTTTGTTAAGTACATAACTCCACATGTGTTCATTCATAGTTTTGATGCCTTCAGTGAGAATCTACAATGTAAATAGTCATGAAAATAAAGAAAACGCATTGAATGAGAAGGTGTGTCCAAACTTTTGGCCTGTACTGTATGACAGAAAATTTTGTTTCTTTTAGAAGCATGAACGTGCACAGTAGATGTCAGGTGTTGGTTTTCACGATATGTCAGAATTTCAAAGCTCAGCCGGATGGTAGGACTAAAGCAGAGGTTACAGGAGCAAGCAGCAAAATTTGTAACTTGTGTCATCCATTAATTAATTATTCTTATCAAACAATTTATAGTCTAACCCAGGGGTAGGCAACCTGCAGCTCTTAGCCCCTTTCCAGTAGCTGCGTGTGGCTTTGATAGTAAATTATATGGAATGAACAACCGTTATTTTTGTTAACATTTTAATTTATATCTATTTTTGTAGGCCTAAAGTGATTGTTATATTCTTCAACTGTAAAATGCATAGCCTATGCACCGATTTAAAAAAACGTTTTAACATTTCGTCAACTGAAATGTGCGTCATACGTTGGGCCTAGTGCCATTTCCCCTAAAAATATCAGCGATGGCTACAATAGTCTTGGGTCCTCCTAGCTGGGTTAGCTGTGCCAAATCCAAAAAGGGAAAAGTATCACGGAAAAATAGCGAATTGAATAGTGCGAGGACAAATTTGTTTGCTTTCATTGGCAACGCTGCAAAGTTAAAGTACTAAAGAATCAAAAATAGCCCACTGCAGAGTTGCCACCTTGTGCTAAAACAAATTAATGAATGCTCATTTAGATCTGTTAGTAATTCTGATGGGCTAAATTCAATTTAAAACGCTGCTATACCTTTATTATGAGGCTCAAATATGTTTTGTGGCTCCACTCAATTTTTTTTTTTCTTTTTTGGCCAAAAATGGCTCTTTTGATAGTAGAGGTTGCCGACCCCTTGTCTAGCCTATCAAATTTTACAAGGCTATGAAATAAGAAAAGTAACAAATCCTCACATCTGAGAAGCTCTGTTCAGATAATGGTCGGCATTTTTGTCCAGTTGTATTAGAGTTTTTATTCTTGAGTGTGTTAATGTGTTCAATCAACCAGAGATCTTTTGGCCTCCGACAGAGAGGTGATCACATATCTGAATGCACCTTGTACAAAATAAAAAATTTCTGAACCATTCTAAAACTTTACTGCAGCTTCTTTCTGAGCAATTAATTCAGCATTATTTTTATTCAGAATTCACCAAGAGTTCCTTTACTGAATCACTCATGATGAACATTTAACTCATCAGACCGAATGACACGGGTAGGAAGTTAATAGATAAACAGATAATGAATTAGAACATAACTTTAAATGTCAAGACACTCCATTATGAGTGCGCTGCTGGGTGGATGCCTCCACTCGCCGCCGTGCAACTCTGGACCTCTCTGGCCTCGACGTTAGTGTTGTAAGTGCAAGCCGTTAGCCACTATGAAGCTTCATTAGCTCTGACCTTTTATTTAATTGAACTCCTTTACTCCACTGCTCGGCTTCTTCCCTCCACCTCTTCACTCTGTGGCGCTAACCAGCCCGCCCTTACCTCTCCTCCCCCCCTTACCTCTCCTCCCCGCCTCACAGAGTCAAACTTCTTTAGAAACAGAAAGGTTTTGCTAAAAAACAAGGGAAGCAGTCGTCTACAGGAGGGATGACATGCGTCCATATATCTCTGGATACCATCAGGGGAATAAACTCTGATCATGCAAAGTGTCGGGATGTAATCCTGTTGCCTTAGTAACCGTTTGTCAAGTTGTCATGGTAAGTGCGGAGCGAGAGAGGGAGGGTGCCCCCCTCTCATCTCGCCCAGGTCTTATCATCCTCCCCCAGATGCAGCTGCTACTCCAGCCGCCTGTCTCGCAGTGGCCTCCACAGCTGCATGAAGGCCGCGATAACACACTATATGCTCTCCTAACGTCCACCAGGGATTCACTTGAGAGGGATTTATATCTGCTCTCTGGCTCTGCTGCGCGTGTGATCCTTCGGGCCTATTTTAGAAGTGAAATGTGTCTTGTTGTTTTTGTGAAGAAGCTTAGCTGCAAGACCGGGTTTTACGTGGTGGTTACCAGTGCGGGGAGAGAAACGTGATGAGGGGGGAGAAATGGAGGGAAGGAGATTAGTGGTGTTTTCCCACAAACCTCTGATGTGGGACTCCTGGTGCTACTGGGAAAGAAAATACTTTACTTCTGCAGTCACAGTGGTAGCTATCAGAAACAGAAATATTATTTACAGCTAGTCTGACAAATCAAACCACACAACACGGTCATAATGTAACTTTTTAGACCAGTCTTTACTTAACTTTTTTGTAATATCACCTTAAAAATGTCAAGTCATTCAGTTTCACTCAAATCTAATGAAACACCAGGAGGAGCATGTAATTTAGTCTCAGGAGCTCAAACATTGCACCATTCATTAAGAAGTACCATAATTAGTTTTAATTTAGAGCCATCATTTTTTGACTGAGTAATTTTCAAACACACATCTTGAATTGATAACTAACTGAAATGAGTAACTGTATGATTCTCCCGCAGTTTTCGCACCAGTAAAGGAATAGGGTACTCGGCACACTTTGTGGGAAACTGTCTCATCGTGACATCGTTGAAGTCGAAAGGAAAAGGCTTTCAGCACTGTGTGAAATACGATTTCCAACCTCGCAAGGTAAGAAAAGGCACACACACCAACCGAATCACTCAGCTGAATTATTCTCAGTCGCTGTAGAGTTTGGTAACCACTTGTTAGATGAGGCAGCTTCAGGAGAGTGTTGCTGCTCTCTTCTTCCATCTATCCTTGCACTCACTGGAAGTGTTGATGAGTGTAGATAAGGTCTGTCAATTAAGACCTGCACACTGCCCCTCTACTGCACTGTCAGCATTCTGTGGCTGTTCTGCACACAAACACACACACACACACACACACACACACACATTCACTTGATGAGATGGCCTTCTGCAGTATTTGCTGATCCAGTAGAATCTCTGCGCTGCCTAACAAAGTTCCCAGTGGTTACATTTGATCAATTTATAAGTCGCCATGTCTCACAGCATTTTGTCCGACCTGTGCATGTGTTAATGTGTGTGTGTGTCGGTGCTTGCATGCACGTGCGGTATTGTCCACTCCTTAGCTATGCATACTACAGCAAAAAATTCAACCCCTCCACTCCCACCACCACCACCGCAGTCTTCTTCCCCATTTCAGTGTTCCCTCCAGGGAACCTGTGTGTATTGTCATCAGGGAAGATGCTTTAAAACAAGACACACAGATACACACTATTAATGGTATATTAAGCTGAGCAAACAGATACTAGCTTTAGAGTAGAGTCCTGGCAAATGTGGTGAATACTTTGTAATCTTCCATGCTGGCTAACCCTCTTATAGAGAGCTAATGTTGTTAGAGGGAGCATTCTCAGTATTGCAAAGACAGGAATTTTGACCCACTCAGACACCTTGATCCAAACAAATAATAGTACTAAAATATCTAAAATGAATCCTTTCACAGCAGGAGGCTAGTATCAACAATCTCAAAAAGGTTGTGTTTGTGAAAAAAAAAAACAAGTGTGAAGGCACAAACAACAGTGCATTCATTCATTTTCTGTAACCGCTTATCCTGTTGGGGGTGACGGGGGCGCTGGAGCCTATCCCTGCTGACATTGGGCGAGAGACGGGGTACACCCTGGACAGGTCACCAGACTATCACAGAGCTGACACATAGAGACAGACAACCATTCACACTCACATTGACACCTACGACCAATTTAGAGTCACCAGTTAACCTGCATGTCTTTGGACTGTGGGAGGTGTGCGAGTTAATCAAGCCAGACCTGCACAGCAATAAGTTCTGTTTACAAAAAAATAAAATTAAAATCTAAAAAAGAAAAAATGAGTCATTTTGCCACAATAAATCTCTCAAACCAGCAGAGCGCTCCTGTAGCCTGGCCTAATTGCATCTAAACCCCACAACCCCCTAACAGGTTTGAAAGGCATGTTTCTTTTAAGAAATTGCCAAAATTACGCCTTTCATCATAGCCAGAAACTGTATAAACAGAAATTATGTTGGATAACCAAATCTAAGCTTAAAACAGATATATTTCATCAAAGACACTTTATTTAGGATGCCTTGCTTAAAATTGTGCCAAAAATAAATTGTTTGCACAAACCATATCCTTAAAAAAACAGCAAACACTAAAATGCTCATGGATGCCATGAATGACTCAGCCGAGACCACCAGTCACATGACAAAAATTCAGTCGGATTTCGACTGAATTGCAGGCTGTTTACACCGAGCAAACAGAAGAAGACGAGAGGTTGTAAAATGTAAATAGTTAATGCAGATTACAGTGTAGCAAAATAAAAGTGAAATATGTTGTGTCAAGTGTACATACATAATGAGAATAATAGCTCAGGGAAAAGTCCGGCCCCTTGAGCTTTCTGAAAATGTGGCCCCCAGAAACAATGTAGTTGAATAGCATTATAGGTATAAACACTGTCAGGCAGACATCGGAACTCCTTTTCAAACACAAAGGCCATTCAAAGTGCTTCACATTAGGTTGAGAAATGCATTAGAACATGTAAAAACACAAAAAAGGAAAATAAAATTAATTAAAACACAGCGCTGTTTACATCAAAAACATCAGAGATGCCTCAGTCAACAAAAAAACAGACAGATCTGAAGAGAAACTCTTTGACTGGTGACATAAGAGCCGAAGGGAAAACTAACAAAGCTTGTTGTGTGTGATTTTTAGGTTGTTGTTGTTTTTATTTATCATCTTGTCTCTTTCTGAATGTCTTCTTCTATTTTTCAGTGGTACATGATCAGCATCGTCCACATCTACAACCGCTGGAGGAACTCTGAGATCCGTTGCTATGTCAACGGTCAACTGGTCTCCTACGGCGATATGGCATGGCACGTCAACACCAATGATGTAAGATATTGGCTTTTTACTGATCTTTATGGAAGAACAATGACAAATAAAAAAACCTCTAACACATGTTAAAACAGAGTCAGTTACCAAGGTCAAGGTTACTTTATTTGCCCTCCCTCCTACCGTTATGGGTACTGAATTTTTTATTCAGCTGCTTCTGGTAAAAAAGAAGACCTCTTGACCAAATGTGAGCTTTGCTAAAAAAAAAAAGTATTTCCTATAAACAACATGTTGCTATCAAAGGTTTTCCTCCTAAATAAGGCCTTTACCAGCGTGAGAAATCCAGTGTTGGTCTGGCTCTACACTTCCCCTCCTACTGTGATATTGGCAAACATTTGAGGTTTGCCCTCTGCATTCGTCAACGGGGGCAAAGTTGTCCTTGGGCCCCGTTCCAGCACAGCTCGCCCAAACTCCAACTTCCAACTTTTCCATTTAGCTGGGGACAGGTAGCCTGACCTCTCGGTGGCAGCGGAGCCTTCATTACACTTCCTTCCCGGCTCACTCTTGACATTGCCGCAGTTACCACGGGCTGGTGTTATTCTCTGTAAGAAATTCCTTGGCCTTGGGGTAAAATGTCGCACAGTTCACGCGGCTCACCGAAAGACTCGTTAGCAAAAAAAAGGGAAAAAAAAGAACATATAGCACACAAGTGAAAGAACAGGTCTGAAAATGTGTTGATGCTATCAGGGTTTGTTTTGTCCTGAAGGCTGGAGATAAAACTTATTTCATTTATTTCATCACTTTGAGGAAGCGAAAGCGTAAAGATCTCATTGTGATAAAAGGTATCAGAGGGACGGAGTAGATGAAAGGAGAGTGGACAGAAAGGATGTAATAGCAGGTGATGGCAATGTTGTAACAGAGCGATTAGAAACAAGCAGCTATCGAAAGTTGATCTGCTTTTTTTCGCCATCATCATCCACTGTGCTCATCACTGCAGAACACCTGGCCGGAGATTGGAAATTAATAATTAATTAACTCTTGAGACACCTTAAATGTGAAGATCAACAAACTTTAAACGATTCTTGTCAAAGTTGGTATTATGTACTGAACCTGAAAAGCACAAGCTATGAATCCCCAAACCCTCTCTGCAACAAAGCGCTGAAATTTGTCAATGTTTGATGTGATTGCTAATTCTGTCTCATGCTCTGCTTCTTTTTCCAGAGCTATGACAAGTGTTTCCTGGGTTCATCGGAGACAGCAGATGCGAACAGGGTGTTTTGCGGTCAGCTGGGAGCTATTTACGTATTCAGCGAAGCTCTCAACCCGGCTCAGATCTTTGCCATCCACCAGCTTGGCCCAGGATACAAGGTGAGACAGCGCCCACGTACTGCCTTATCACCCACCGTTCTGTATATTCTCTGTGCGCTTTACAGAGCATCAATGTCATGCACTGTTTGGCAGGAAGATTTTTCTGGCAACCTGAGGGTTTCATTGTCAGTGTTACTTAATGCTGCCTTTCTCCGTTTGTGTCGTCAGCTGGAGGTGGTTGAGGCCATCAATCATTCTTGGGCTGTCAATCGCAAATATAGCCTGTATGGTGTATTAGTGCCAGGGTGCCCTTGTGGGTGGTCGGTTGAGGTTTTTGTTGTCAGTTAATGGAGGTATTGTAGGTTTTGCATCCTGTGGATAGTCTTTTGTAGTGCATTAAAGCTGAAGCATGAGTCTTTCGATGGATAGGTATACTGCTGTTTGCGTAGGCTAGAGAAGTGGCTGTCCAACATGTTTTTATTTTTTAATTTTATACCTATTTCACCATTAAACCAATATCTAATAAGACTCTTTATCGATTGTTGGCTACCTATATTAGCCATTTATCCATTACTTTTTGCGAACCATAACAGTTATCTTCTTCACCACGCATCCAAAAGCTATTTATTTAAATTGTTTATCTCTTATTTAAAGCTATTTGGACCATTTATCCATTACTTTTCACTGGTGACTTCTCTGATCATTGGGTGACTTTAGTTTCCAAACACTCTCAGTTGCAGCATGTGGTGTTCAGGTGTTGAAAAATCTAATCTTTTTATTTCAAATTAGCTAAATTACTCCACAAGCTTTCTGCGTACCCTCTGGCAACTGGAAGTACATGCACCCCTGGTTTGGAATCACTGAACAAGAGTACTAGCTTTTGAAAGAGTCTTCCTTTTTGGGATTCTTGTATGAACAGTATGTATGGTAATCCAAGCTCAGAGACCATCGGCTATCGGTCTGATGACAGTTTAGCCTCTGGGGGCAATGGCCGGTATATTTGGGGTTTCCATAGTAGCCAGCGGATATCTGGATAACAGATAAGAATATCCAGGCCAAGACTTCCTCTGCGTGTGATGAGGATTGTTGGCAGTCCGATTAGCAACTTGAAAAGCAAGAATAGAGTTGGAGTTGAGTATGAAACCGGACTGAACCCGATTGTTTAACGAGTAGCCAGCTAATAAAGCTAAAAAGCTAAATCCTTGTTGGACGATAGCCGATTGGTTCTGTGATTGCATTTCAGTCAATGCATTTCAACTCTTTGGCTCTTCATGTGACAGAGGTGGCAGCCTCCAGTTATATGACTTGACCCGAGTCACACTCGAGTCGCAAATTTGAGGACTTGAGACTTGGTTGACTGACAGTGATTAGAGATTTGACTTGACTCTTGACTTGAGACAGATGGCTCCAGAGGACTTGACTTTAATATTTATATTTTTCTAGACACTGAGAAGTTATGCTTTGTTTTGGAAACATGATTTGGTGATTTCTAGTGCCATGCACAACCACCACAACATCCAACTTTGTCTATCATCACAAAACCCACAAAAATAAGTACTTAAGTGTGTCTCTTTAGCTAACTTATTAGCTTTTTAGCTGGTCAGGCTAGATCATCAGAATTTTATACTTGACTTGTGTCTTGCTTGAATTAAAGCACAGTAACTTGCTTGAGACTTGAAGGTCAAGACTTGAGACTTGGTTTTGTGTGACATACCCCCACTTCTGTGTACTGTTTACCTGCATGCAACCAAAGCCTTCTGGTCAATACTACTCATACTACAAACACGGAGACTACAAATGGAAACCAGAGAGCTTCCAATCCCAAAATCTTGTCCCATTGCCCACATGTTCTGCATTCATATGTAGACATCTGTTTATAGAGTTTAGAGGTAATCAAACATAAGAAATAGCTTCACACTCTTACTGTAACCTGATGCAACACATTTTATTGTCCAAAACCAAGCTTTTGACAGGGAAGCTGTCTTCCTCGGGGTAATCTAATAGGTGCAGGAACATTTTTCATTTTGATTAATTCTGCTCCTGTCAACCAGAACATCACCGCTATCCGTGTGTGTTTCTAATTCTGTTTCAGAGGAGGCAGATATTCCAAATTCTCATATTGTCGTGCGGCTGAAAAACTCGTGTTGTGATTTTAGTGAGAGGCTTGGCTGCAATTACAACCAAATTTTCAAAGAGCTTATTAGATAGCTAGATTTAAATGCCCACACTCACCTCTAATGCACCCCCACTAATAAACAAAGTCACTATATAAAGTTAAAGTAGATGAAGCAGATTGAGATTAAAGGGACCGAACGGAAAGTAAATTACTGCACTATCGCTAAATACCTCCTGGGAAATCACAAATTGATGTCTGGAATTTGCAGTTTGGAAGCATGCGAGGGTGGATTTTTGCCTTTAAAGTCTAGACTCAGGACTTCGAGTTCCTGTCCTAATACAAAATTATTCAAATGAGGCTTTACAATGTTGGGTGCTGAGCACTGATAGCTTTAGAAATCACCATCTCTGCCTCTTGGCCTGGCTATCGGAGACAGCTGAGATGTCGCAACACCTTGCCAGCTGTCTGCTTCTTGTTTTGGCAGACTCGCACGCCTCAGGCCACTTACAGCTTGTTTATGAAGGTGTCCAAAGCTGTCAAGATTTCAGCACCACAAGACTGCACGGAAATCAGAGGGTGCTGATGTGCGCAAACAGCTGCTGGTATTTCAACAGCTCCTTAATAAAGGGTACATATTGAATCAGGAATTTGCTTTAATTACTTAGATTTGATAAAGTGATGAAGGAACATATTGGCAACATACAGAGTACACATACTAGATTGCATGAGGTAGATCCTCTCCCTCTCAGACTCCCTCTCACATCATAAAACATAAGTCACGTTACAGACTGGAGTCCTCTCATGTTCCTCCTAATGATGGCATGCTTGGGGTTTGCTGTTTCTCGGCCATGAATACTGATTCCTCTCTCTGTCACAGCCCGCAGTTTCCTCTGGGCTGATCAGTCAGATGATTGCCTCTCTGCATGGCACAGAATGGGGTTCTCAGATGCCCAGAAGAGACCATTAAATGGCTCAGTTGTTTCAAAGCCGCAGGCCTCGATACTGCTATTGTAATGATGAGTGCGCAGGTTTTTCGGTCGGAGAACGCCAGTGGGTTTTCAGCTTGTGTCACACAGCTTCCTGTCTTAATGCGAATATAGGCCGGTGCTTGTTCTCACGACTATGCAGAGGATGTATATATATGACAAGCTGCTCCTGGAGTACTGCCTAATCGAAGTTTAAGAGGACTGTGTCTGTGTACGCTGTACAGTATATATATGTGTATGTGCAGTCTTTTGGTCTCATCCACTGTCAGTGTTACTGTTCAATAATGAGGAGCAAAAAGCAGACAGACACTCTGCTAAACAAGCCTTCAGCACAGTGAGGCTGGTCAAGGTCTTCTCACTCGACGCGGCTCATGATGGTCCACACGCTGTGTGCACTGAATGTTGTACATGTGTGCAGTTCAGCACTTCCATGCTCTCCTAATGACAGGAGAAGGTGGACTCTAACATCTTGTTTTACTGTGTAGGCTATGATTGAAAGAAAGCTTCAGTGTTTTTGCGTTTGTGTTCTGCTTATGTCCTGTCACTCACGTGTTGTCGAGTGTGTCACTGGTTGCACTCTTCATCAGGAGTCCAGATGTCCTCATTGCGGAGCACTGCCAACAATCTGGCCACAATGTAATTAATGGACCGTGTGAGTCTATTTGGACACCTGCGTTGTACGTCTGTGTGTGTGTATTTGCAGGCACATGTGTCTCATGTGCATTTGTCAGGTTTTGTAATAGTATTATTGAAAGTCTTTTTCTTTTGTGCATTTTATTATATAAGTTTTAGAGAGTCATTCCCTAAAAAGGACGTGTCCTCAGCAGAGAGTGTCAGTATCTGTCTGAAAAGCTGGCATGAAATGTCTTGGTAGAGTTTTTATATTATTTATTTGTTCTTTGATCAATGTTAGATTTTATTTCAAACTGGAGTTGGTAACTTTTAGAAAATAAGTTTGTCATATTTGCTGAAACTGTCACTGTAGCCAGACAGTGGTACATGAGACAGAATCAGGTTCCTGCTGCTACTTGTTGTGCTGATTATATATATATATATTAAGATATATATAAGTCTCATGCAGCACTGTCTGGATATAGTGGCAGTTTCATCAAATATGACAAAAAGTTATTTTTATAAAAGTTACCAACTGTAGCTTCAAGCAGAGTTCTTGCATGGCTGTTGGGTAACAGTGCTGAATAGGGCTGCCCCCGACTAAGAATTTTCCTAGTTGACCAATAGTCATGATTTAGGGCCATGAGTTGACTAGTCGCCTGCATGTTTACGATATTAATTTAATTATTAAATTATATATTTTGGGGCGGGGCAACACAATGGTTTGAGTTCAAGGTGTGAGAAAGAATAGTATCAGTAACATTGTTAACACACTGAGCGAGCCGCCTATTAATGACGCTGTGGGCTAATGGGCATGTAGCAACTTCCATGTTTCAGATGATACGTCATGTTTGTAGTCGACCAATGAAGATGAGTTTACATATCACCTTGGGTTCGTCCTTCACCTTCTATAAAATGCTCCCACACTTTGGATTTCCTGCCCGACATGTTATTAACTAGCCTGTGGAATAACCACAGGTACCAGCCCTGGAAATGAACGTGACTCCTGTCTGACTGCTGAGCATGGCCACTTCCTGTGTCTGTCCTTTCAAATTAAATTCCCACATGGTCCAGTAAGAAAGGTTTTAGATTGATTTAACAGGTTTCAAGTTTTTTTATTTTCAATTCTGCGACTAAGTGACCGATAAAATCTTGCCGACTAATGACCTTTCTGGTCAACTAAGGTTTGGCTGACTATTAGGGGACAACCTTAGTGCTGAAACTCAAAGTTTTAAATCTGTTTTGTATTGAAACATTTCAAATGATAACCAGTAGTTCCTCGGATTTGCATTTGCTAAGGCAATTATTCATCATTCACCTCAATAATTTGCCAAAATAGGTTTTACAACACTTTTACCAAATGCTGGAGAACTAATTTTGGAGGACTAGTTGTCATTCAGAAACTGTGAGGAGATGCTGGGAGGCCGAGGCTGAGCTGAATGGAGTAGATGTATGTGTGCCGTTATCACTGCGGGCCAGTGTCACACCTGCAGCTGTCAGGTTGACAAAGGCATGAGTTGTCGCTTTCATTCTTCTGCGCGCTTAGTGTAACCAGATGAGGGACACATATGTGCTTAAGCGTAGCTATGTAAAGCATTACACACGTAAAAATTTGCACTTTCCTTTACTCTGGCATGCGTCTCCTGCTGCCTGTCGTTTCCACCCTACATCCCTTAATACTTTAAAGAGTCAGCAAAGCTCTTTTACACTTTCAGCTACCTGCCTCCATCGTTTAGCAAGGCAACATAAATACAAGCTCACACTTACCCAGCTACATCTATGCATATGCACAAGTACACACACACGCTTCATAAATGCGCCACAATAAATGGGCTTACACTGCAAAAAATGTGCATCTTAATAAGTGTATTAATTTCACATTCAGGCTATTCAGTATTTTTTTTCTCTGCAGAGGGCCCACTAACCTTCAAAATAAACCGAAGAGCAATTTATTTGTGTTTGTGATTGATTATCCCTGCACACGGCTGCAGTATTCTAGGTAACTTTTAATGGATAAGCTTTTTTACACAGCTGTTGAATAGAAACATTTTTTTTTACGCCGATGATCTCACTTAATTACTATCTTCTGAAGTCAGAAAATATAAACATAGGCATGCAGTCTTACCATGTAATTACCATTAATTACTCTTGGAAATTATGTTCTGTTGGCAGGAATGTGTGTGTGGAGGTGTGTGTGAAAAGTGTGCTTCGGATTCAGATTATAGGTTTATACAAGTACGCTTTCTGTATCACAATTGATCCTGATTATTGGATGGATAGAGAAAGTTAAATCTAAGACAGTGTGAAAAAAACAGTAGATTTATATTCAGCCCCTGGACAGAGATGAGGATGTTAACGCAGCGGAGGGGCTGTTTTCCTCAGCCGTCTCCATTGTGCAGTGAGCTCTTTGCTTCAGTGTGAAATTCTGTGATGCATAGTTGAAAGTGCTCAAGGCACATTTTCTACAGCAGACCTCAGATGAAAGGTTTAGAACAAGACGGGCCTGCAGGTCTGTGAGCAGCCCGGGGCTTTCCTGCACAGTCAGGCTGAGCAAGGCACCTGGGGACCCAGCCGCTCGAAGGGGAGAGCGCCCCTTTCCTGGAGCGGCTGCAAAGGATGGCAGAGCAACTCGCTGGCCTTTCATCTGCGGGGCTTCTTGTGTGTATCAGCACCGCTGCGGGACACATGGACCCATAGACCTTTGCACAAAGACAGATGTAGACATAGATGTATACACACACACACAAAATGCAGCCTACACTTCCTTCAATGTCTGCATCGACAAAGCAAAGTCAGTTTTACAAATCATTTTTCTGTAAGGTGGCTGAGGAGATAACATGCCAGTTTCTTTGTATTTTCCTCATGCCATGTGTGTCTGCATTTTGGTATAATGTATGAGGTACTGATATCCTCTCCAGGTTGACCAGAAAAGGTGTTCATGATAAAGATATTTTAGATTTCAACGAGGTAAAGATTCAGCAGCTCGTTGAAAAACGAAACTAGGTGGTATATGCAGGACAAATGTAAAGTAATATGCAGAATTTAAATAACACATATGTGTTCAGTTTGTGTCCATATTCTTTTGTGTTTTTTGTTGGTGGACTTAAAAGAGAGGAGATAAATTTGGAGCTCAGGGTGCCTCTCTCCCACACATCCACTGGCCCATTCCATCTCTTATTCTGGGCTAATTGAATTAGTGCCTGGGTTAGCGCTGTGTTCATTAAGCTAATGCTGTGTTGTTTACACACGGCTCACGCTGCAATTAAGCAGACTCCATTTTGGGTGTTGAACTTGCACACACAGACACACACTCACACTTCTGTCGACCCCTGGACAAGCCATTTGTCTCTGTGATTTAAAGTTTTATCCCCGCAGGGCCTTTGACATCTTCTTTCCCCGTCACTGCAGAGCACTTTCAAGTTCAAGTCCGAGAGCGACATCCACCTGGCCGAGCACCACAAGCAGGTGTTGTACGATGGCAAGCTGGCCAGCTCCATCTCCTTCACCTACAATGCCAAGGCGACGGATGCCCAGCTCTGCCTGGAGTCGTCGCCCAGGGAAAACCCCTCCATCTTCGTCCACTCACCGCACGCACTCATGCTACAGGTCAGTCTGGCAGGATTGTGCTCATCACGGTGCTGGTTACAGACCTCTGAATCACTGCCGCATCTCTTGATTTGTTTGGCAATTCATGTATGAATGATTGATATGAAATGAAATGGTGGTTCAGTCTAATTATCAGGCTAGTTCATCACAGGCTGACTCACTCCACTCAATTGCATTTGTGAAAAATCTGTAGTGTTTACCCTGTCTGAAGTACTGTATATGTGAGGTTTGCCTACAGAAGGACAATGAAGATGTTAGTTAAAAAAAAACGTATGTATAAAATACAACTTGCGAAAGACAGCTGCCACCATACCCTTCTGTAAACACCAATGTCTTACTGGTGGTCACCATTTTTTCTTTTCTCTCAGTTAATAATGAAACTCTCTCTTTTGAGGATATTGCTTGTAGTTGTATTGAAGCAAATATCTTTCCAAGCATCCGCTATTCAAGGCTGGTTGCTAATAGTGTTCTTTGTATCTCATCCTCATTTCTAAGAATTTCCTCCTTTGCTCATTGTGCAAAAACATGCACCAGCAATTCAGGCAGCAATTACTGTAATTCACAATTACAAAGGCAGCAAGTGAGTCCTTTTGTACTCTAGTTATTTTCAGTTAGTTAGCAGAGGTCGTGCAATCATCTTGAGTTCATTGAGTTAAGAGCGTGTAAGGCAGGTTGCAGTTAAACAGGTGCCAATTACAGCAAGATTTTAGTTTTGGAATAATTAATTCATTTTTACAAGTATTACATTCATTCTGGCTGAAATCCAAAAAGCAGTCTTTATTATAAATTCAAATAGATGAAAAATAGGGATGTGTGAAAGGCAGCTACAAGACAATAAACAATAAAGGACATCATGTTCTTCACTGTGAAAGCAGAGCTGTCAGTTGTATTTCTGACAAATAGGTGCTCAACAATATTCTCAGGGGAAAAAATCTCTGTAGGAAGAAACTACAAGTTTTGAGCTTTAAAGGAGCTGTGTGTAGGATTTAGTTGCATCTACCCGCGAGGATTGTAGATGGCAACCTGTTAAAACTTTTCCCATGTGCCAAGCATAAACTCCCGGTTAGGATTCCTTCAGTGTCAGTTATTCAGGAGGTTTTTACCAGGAGCCCAGTTATCTGCAGATGGTTCTTTCTCTCCAAAACAGATGGACCAGGTGATTAAAACTGATAGAAACACTGAATGATATTATGAATCAATGTTTCTCCAATGCTGTTCCGCTCGTCATTTGTAATGTGTGCTCACCTTTTTACTCTGATAACTTAAAGGCTAGTTCACATTAGACGATTTTCACCCCAATTTTGCATCGCGGAGACTATCGTAATCTTTTGAGTGTTCATATCTGGCGACGTGTGTTTCTGTCAGCGGGAGTCTCGCCAATTGCGTTACAACCTGTGTGTGCACACCACAAGATTTCTCCACCGAGCCCTCGCCAACAGAGCCCCAGATAATGCGGTGACATCACCAAACTACGTTTTTTAACTTGGAGACGACACATCGTAAAGGCATGGATATTCTTCCCAGTGCTGAATCAGATCTGCCTCCAGGGCCTGGGTCCAAACACAATGTGCTCCCCGTGATCCTGTGGACGCCGCCGTTGTTGTTGCTTGGCAGCTTGACTCAGTGTTGCCAGATCTTGGGAGAGAAACAAGCAGCCAGGGCTTTGGAAATAAGCCCAAACAAAGCGACAGATATATATAGAGAAAGGCGACTTTTAGAGAGCAAGCCCGAATAAGCAACTCCACTTTAGAAACAAGCCCAAAAAACTGCAACCCGACTACCAATATTTGTTAGGGACTGTACAAAAAACAAGCCCAGAGTCGCGGCTAATAAGCAGACCTGGCAACCCTGCCGGCTTGTCCTCCTCACATTTCTTCCGTCCTCCTGCGTGCTGACTTGGGACGTATCCAGATATCTGCTAACTATGGTGGCCTACGCATGAATACAAAGACCCTATCTAGAGCCAGTGTTCGGTTTTTCCATTCTGGGCTATTGTAGAAATGTGGCAGTGCAACATGGTAGACTCCATGGATGAGGACACACTCCCTATGTAGATATAAACAGCTCATTCTAAGGCAAGGAAAACACAACATTTCTTATTTTCAGGTAAGAATGCCAATAAATCCTCCAAAATCCTACACACTGGACCTTTAAACCATTCAAAATTGTAGCAACGCTCTATTTGGGACCTGCAGTAAATGTCCTACTGTAATTCTGCTATGAGATATGTTAATTGGCAGTGAGTGAGTGATTTTATCTGTCTTTGTCAGCACTAACAGTCCATATCCGCCCCACAGGATGTGAAGGCCATTGTTACCCACTCCATCCACAGTGCCATCCACTCGATAGGAGGCATCCAGGTGCTCTTCCCTCTCTTCGCTCAGCTGGACTACAAACAGCTCAATGACAGCAGCGTGGACACCACAGTCTGGTGAGTGGTATACAATAAAAAACTGCAACCCAGTGGCTGCGTGGAATGCAGTGATATTGACTGTATGAATTATTTATAGTAGTCTAAATAGGCTTAAACAAAAAATAATGCTTTTTTTGTTTAATGTGCGGACTCGGAAATAAGTGAAGGAAATGGAAAAGAAGTGAAATAAAAAAGAATATGAGGGACATTAGATAGAGATGAGTCTTCTACATGTGTGAATTATCTTCTCTCTGAAAGACCAACCTTACAATTACGCTGCAGGCCAGAAATAACTGATTATAGAGAGCAGGGCATGTAAGTGTGAAAGGAAGAAGAGTTATGTGGTTTTCCCTGGAGCGATGAGCTGCTTTTAGAAAGTCGGAGTGTCTGCGTTCTTCTCACTCTAAGATACCACTCCATCACATGAGCCTTAACGCAGTTACATATCAGGCGGCATCTCTGTATCATGTTAGCCGCATCCGAGACGATTTGTCAAATATCATCAGGAAGACGGCGATAACAAACGAAAGAAAAAACACGGTCTTATTAAAAATTAATGATGGAGGTGAACGTGGAGCGGTTTTCTTTCCTTTTTGCTCACATACCCTAATGAAGAAATCCATCGACTGAAATGTGTGTGCACAATGTGTGTTGCAGTGCCACCCTGCTGGCGTTCCTGGTGGAGCTGTTGAAGAGCTCAGTGGCAATGCAGGAGCAAATGCTGGGAGGGAAGGGCTTTCTGGTGATTGGATACCTCCTTGAGAAGGTCAGTGGGAAGTCCTCCGCAGTGAAGAGTTTGTGTTACACGTCATATTTATTTGTTGTTGAGAGTAGCCTTGATTTTAACCATGACCTCCATGGAAGTTTTTCAAGGCTTATAAGGCGTCTAGTTTTATAATGTGTTATGTTTTGATTGCTCTTCATGTTTATCCGCTGTACACTCAGTTGGCAGTTTAAGTACAGCCAGGTGTTTCTATTATTTTGTCCAACCCACTTATAGGTATGTGGCTAAAGAAGGCAGTACAGTTCAGCTACATCCTCCACCAATCAGAAAGTGAACAGTAGAAGCTTTACTGCAGGACTGTTGTACTAAACCGCATTCGTTTTTTCTAGGTGTACCTAATAAACTGGCAACTGAGTGCTGTTTTTTTTCAATTTTAAATGCACTATACAAAATATTTTTCAACACAGATGTTTGTAAATTTGGTCTCGTGTCTTCTAGCTGCGACAAGTAGCAGTACGTCACAAATATGCAAAAAGACAGATCACATGAATTAAAATACAGACTTGGCTGCTGGTGTAAATTAATGACTTGACACATTTGACGACTGTTAGGCGACATAGGCATCATGTCACCGTGGTTACACCGGCTTCACTGTAGGCTGACAGCATCTCCCGAGAGGGTAATTTGAATAAAACCTAAATAATTGAAATAAAACTGCTTATAGGTGTTTTACTAACCTGAAAAAATGTCACCACTTCGGATTCACACGTTCAGACGCAGCTGTTTTTTCACGTCTGCGCTGAAGCTCGTTTCATTGCTTGTGTGTCTTCGGTGTCACTTAAATGTCAATCAGTGACCGTGGCAACTACGCACCTACTACAGTGTATGGATGCACCTATCTATTGTAACAGTTAAAATATACAGTGCTGTATGAAGACACAACAAGGTACAACAGCATCATTATAGTCATTTACAAAAAAAATTTATTTATATTTCCTGTCTTTTGTCCAGTCATCACGAGTCCACATCACCAGGGCGGTACTTGAACAGTTCTTGTCCTTCGCCAAGTATCTGGATGGTTTACCTCATGGAGCGCCTCTCCTCAAACAGCTCTGTGACCATGTCCTCTTCAATGCTGCCATCTGGATACACACCCCTGCCAAGGTCTGTTTATTTGTGTGCATCTATTGCATATGTGTGTGTGCGTGTGTGTGTGTTGTCATGACCTTGCTGCAAAAAAATAAAAAAACAAGATGATGGTCTGAGTAAGAGAATTAATGGCGTGATAGATCCAAACAGAGACAAAATAGAAAAAGAAAGCAAGAGAGAATTTACCGCTCACAGATCTCAGGAGGATTTTTGAGACAAGTAAGCAATATAAAACCAAGAGGAAGAAGGGACTGACATCTTAGCGCCCATTGCCCTTTACAATAATGTAACAAAGGAGGTTACAGGACACGGAGGGAGGAGCTGGCACATCACGCAGGGAAGAACAGAGCAGGCAAACAAAGGTAACAAAGAGAAACAGTGACATTTGAAAAGACCCCGGGACAGGAGAGAGATGTGTAGCTCCTTTTTTTTTTCCCCCTCCTCACTCTGAACTAGATGTGAGTGGTCCTGGCATTCCCGCGAGGCCAGTCAGCTCTTGCCTCCATTATTTTCAGAACTTCCTGACTTCCCGTCTTCTTCCCTCTGACCCTGAGACGTGATTGGCTCCTGGGTGCAGCAGTATCGCTCTCCAGGGGCATGCTGGAGTTAGGACGGAGGAAATGTGACTGAGCAGGTGCTGCAGCTCAGGAGAATAAGGAGGGTGTGAAAGTCAGAATCCAACACAGCGTAAACACATCAAGCTAGCTGACATGCAGAAGCAGTCCAAAGTGGCTCGACTGTGTGATTGCTTATTGGGCTCTTACCTTCATCTGAGTGCCAGCACAGAAATTGACAATGAATTGCTCATAAACATTACCACAATTCAGCAGGGTCATCGTGAGAACAAGACAAGCACAATAAATGTGCTAAGCAGCAACACACACACACATAAAAAATAATTTAATCCTTTAATCTTACTCGCGCTGTACCATTCCTGTCTCCCACTGAGCTTTATTATTTTCCACTTCTCAAGGTATTATCATCACCTTCATTATTGGCAAGAATAGCCTTGGTCATATTCAGGACAGGAAACACTTGAAGAAATCACATCTGAAGCTCATCTCCTGTCTCTCATAACGTCTCCCTGGCTCGCACTGAAAATAAAGAGCTTGTTTTCTTCACCAAGCACTTCTGGCAAACATAATCCTCTCAGAGATGGCGAAATGTTTGTTACAAGCTACTGTTGCAGCAGTGCAGCCCAAACTATTGTGGCATGATCAAGGAATTTCAGGCTTTCCTGCAGCCCAACCTGTTGTAAATCGCAACAGATAAACACATCAGCTTAATGTGTGAAAAAAGTAACATAATGAAGGCCATTTAAGCCAGCTGAGTGCGCTCTCCATTCGAGATGAGCTGTGATGTGGTATGGTCAGGCCGCGGCACTCCGCTAATTTCACCAGTGCTACCTCGTTAAGGCTGGTCCTTAGCGTCGTGGTCACTGTAATGAGCTCAGAGATTTGTGAGCGTGCAGCAAACGCAAGCCTGTGTGCAGGCGATGGAGAGGATTGGTTAGAGGAATATGAAGAGAGGGAAAAAGGGAACAGAAGGAGGCAGGGAGGGAGCAAATAAGCAATTGGAGAGCGCCCTCCTTAAATGTCAGCGCTGCGTAAGGAGCTCCTCAGATGCTTGACAGCTTCAGGCACAGAAACATCAGAAATAACACAAAGCAGAAAACATTGGCACTTTAGCTGGAGGGAAGATTCCTTTCATTCCCCCGCGGCTGTCTTTTCACAATAAAACTCCCTTTTGTTTGAACACCAGAAACACACACAGATGATTTGTTTCTCTCCAGCAGGTCTCTGACAATTTGTATTCATCCGTCGACCTTTGTGTGTGTGTGCCCATATGTACTGTATTAATGGATGTGTGTGTGTGTTCAGGTTCAGCTATCCCTCTACACATACCTATCATCGGAGTTCATCGGCACCGCCACCATCTACACCACCATCCGCCGTGTTGGCACCGTCCTGCAGCTGATGCACACTCTGAAATACTACTACTGGGCCATCAACCCGCTGGAGTGCAGTGGAATCACCCCCAAAGGTCTTGGTAGGTTCACACCTGCATACAATTTGCACACATAAAGACATTATCGCTGTGAGAAGACACTTCTAACCGCCACTGGAGCGTAACTGCTGACGTAGTCTATCTGTCTATATAGTATATGACTTTGTTTGGTTTTATTCGGTTTCTCCATTTCTATCTTAAATTTTCTGACTTTACGCACTCCACCTTCTTTGTCTTTATTATTCTTAAACATACTAAACATCTTTTAGTGACGCAGCGTTTTACCGGATTTAGTGGATTCTACACATATAGTGGTAATAATCTCTGAAACACGTGAAATGTGTATTTACATTATCCATTCGCCCGTCAGTTTGTCCATCCATCCATCTTCTATGTTTGTCCTGTGTTGCAGCCTGTGCCATTACAGGGCTACCACACAAAAACACAACACACTCACTGTCACATTCATACCTTTGTGCAATTTAAGGTGTCATAAGCTCCAACCCAAGTGCTTATCAGGTGGTCAAGCAATGTCTGAACCAGGGTTGGACCCATCTATTATTATTTTTTTTTTACTTTAAAGCTACAGTTGGTAACTCTTATCAAAATAATTTTGTGTCATATTTGCTGAAATGGCTACTATATCCTGAAAGAAGTGCATGAGTTAGATAGTCTTTAAAGAAATCATGTCCCTCCTCTTCCACCTACTGCTTCTAATGGCATTTGAATTGACCGCAGCACACCAGAAACAACCAGTCAGAGCCAATGAGTCTCCAAGGCAGCTGTCAATTATGTCAATCTCTGCTCATGAACTGCGGTTAAACTGTCAAACTAAGCAGCGCTAAACAAATATGAATCAAAATTCTGTTACTGCATTGCCTGTTTCTCACCTCAAATGTTTTCAGAAACATATTTCAGTGTACTGTTTAGCTGTAAAATGAGAAAGTACCACCCAGCTGCCGGACCAACCTTTTCATTTCACAGCTAAACAGTACATTAAAATATGTTTCTGACAACTTTTAAGGCGATAAATAGGCGATACAGTAACACAATATTGACTTATATTGATCAGCGCTGCTTAGTTTGACAGTTTGACAACATAGTTCTCGAGCAGTGATTGACAGGTGTCTTAGGGCCTCCTCTGCTCTGATTGGTTGTTTCTGTTCATGTGCAGTAAGGCCATTGGAAGCACTACAAGGCAGAGGAGTAGAAAGGTTACCAACTGTAGCTTTAATTCTACAGTACTCATAGTTTTATGCATGTAATTGTATGAGATAGGTGAAGGTTAGATTTTCATGATGAGTTACCCAGCTGGCACCGAATGTCAATATGATGTCAGAAAGACGTTGTACTCTTACGTCTGACAGATGTTAAATTTTGGTTGGAATGAAATCCGCGCTGATGATGTTTTAAATGTCTAAAGTTAGAATTTCGCAATGTGTGATTGATAACATTCGTATGATGTTTTCCATACGTTTGGTTTTGTTCTTCATGTCTTATGACTAAATATCATTATTCTACGTCGGCATGACATTGGCATGAGACGTTACTTAATAACAATGCTAGCAAAACATCAACGTCGTCATAATTCTACATCAAATTGACGTTAAATGTTGTCCTGACATTAAATTTTGGTCCCCTGAGGTCACAACCTAAATTCAACCAAACGTCATGTGTCAAATAACTTTTAGCTTTTAGCTTACAGTTAGCTTTTATCTTTTAGGTTACAGCTTACAGCTAAAACTTAGGACCAGCATGAAGACCTGAAGTCAATCATCAGTGGGACTTAAATAGTTAACGGAAGTTTAATGGGTTTGAATGGCTTTGCAGTTTTGCAGAAATCCTTTATGTAATGTCAGGTCAAATAATTACAGCATCCTTAAATTGCATAAAATGCAGATAGCTATTTGATCATCGTTTAACATGGAGATAAGGACAGCAAAGAAAGTGACACACGGACACTATACATGCATTCAGAGGGTGTGAGTGGGTAACTTTCCTTTCCCTTAACAAACTGTCTTGTTGCTCATGAGCAAGATTGAGCACCTCCCTTTTGCAAATGTGTCTGCATGTTTGAGAGTGAGTAAGACCATTGTAGTAAAAGAGAATACATGTTTTTTTTCCTGTACGAAATTGGTTGTTGTCTCTTAAGAAGAATAATGCTGCTGTGTGCATGTGAAGCTTTTGTAATAGAAATCTTTTTTTTTTAATTATTATTATTATTATGTAGAAGTGAAATATGTGCACATGTTTTTGTGCTTCCTGTGAATGCAGTGTGTGTGTGGAAACAAAACTATTAAAGATTTGTCCACATTTGAAAAAGAAATGCAATTATAAAACGCATCTTACTCCAAACACTGCGCCGCCACAAATCAGATACGTGTCGATGGCTTTGTAATTCAACAGAGAGCAGCGTTAACGCGGCCACTGTTGCCACACACCGCAGCCTCAGAAAGGTCGGCGCAGGCCTTTCACTTTAATCAACCTTGTCTTTTGCCCGGGACCCTCCACTGACTATGAGTACGCATCCCACGTTGCCACGGCAACAGACGGATTTGATTGGCAGATCCAAGGGAGCTTTTGGAATTTCTAATCAAGTGGCTGTCTGGCTTCCTTTCTGTTTGGCGATATTGCTGTTTGACTGCGGGGATCCAGCTCCATAAAGAACCACTGATAACAGCAGTAATTAGCCTCAGACTTGTACTAATGGCCGTTCAAAGCTAAAGGATGTGCTAGTTGTGGTTTGGAAGCCTGCGTGTGTGTGTGTACTTGACCATACTGTAAGAGTGTGATATGCACCGATGGAATTAATTTGCATAGTAATGGACAGATATTTTGAACCTACAATGGGCTTTGTGGGTAGAAATGTGTTTAACTGTGCCTCAGTCTGAAGTAATGAGGTTGAATCCATGTTGCAGATATACAGTATTTTTTTTTTGTATTAGTGTATTTTTACCCCGCACCTGCTTTGAATCTTTGAAACCCTGCTTAGAAATACACAGCTCCTCTCCAAGCTTTTCTCGTATTTTACAAATAGCTCCATTTGATGTTTAAAAATTGCTTTTAGAAATACAAAAAGGGAGAGCGTGTACTGTACCTAATAAAAACACCTCAGGCCTTTAGCATTAGTCAGGTACATTGCTTTTGAACTCAGTGCAACCATAACAGTGATTTAATAGCTTCTTTTGAGTGAGAGAAAGAATGCAGCTGAAAAAAAGGCATAGTTATTTAAAGTGGCTCCATTTTTATTTATTTTTGTTTTATTCTGCTCACCTCAGTGATACCACTAGTTTTATATATTTTGTTTGACGTTTTATGTTATGGCCTTGAATGTATTGTAAAATAATGCAATTTAACAGTGTGTTAAATCCAAGTAAATATATTTTGTGTCCCTATGTAATCTTGAGCACACACAGACTGAGTGTAGTTCAACAAACAAAACTCGAAAGAAAAGACTTCAACAAACTGCAGAATTCACTGTATTTTTAGATCAAATCAACTTGAGTGTGTAGCTGTTGCAAGGAGCCCAAAGTCAGAACAAACACACACTTATTACAATTCACACACAAAGAAAGTGCATAGGTTTATTACAGTTTGACTCCTCACAGGTTGTCAGGTTATCTGGCAGAACAAAACAGTGTTTTCACAATGTCTGGATAAAACCATTGACTCAGAATTAGGATAAAAGGAGCACAAGAGGAAGAAAATTAATTTCAAAGAGCAAAAGACGATAATTAAAGCTGCCCCTGAGAAGTGGTTTAGATGAATATAAGCTTTGCTCAAATCCTCTTAAAAGACCCTGAAAAAGGAGGTTGCACTCGCGCTCATTCACCTGGTGCGTCCATGTTTGACACAGAGCTGCTGCGTCACCATGATGGATGGCGAGTGTCACTACTCCACCAACATGCACCAGCTTGACAGATAATGATGATGAATCACGGGGGAGCGCTTTGGTGTCATGTTTTGGCTTTGTGCAGAGCAGCTGAACAGACTGAAATCCGTACACACTCGTGTGATTCAAGGCCAGCAGAGCATGAGGGGGGAGAAGCTACGTATCTTCCTTCTTTCACACCCTCCGTCTTTTATGTTTCTCTCCGCTTTACTTCCGCTGGCTAAGCACCTACGGGTCAGATATCGGTTTAAATGTTCTGAGAGGACGAGGTGCATTTTATTGAGCTTACAATAAACACTGTTTTCTATTGCAGTACTCTCGCTTTGTATAAAATAAGGTCAATTCCAAACGCCCTGACACAGCAAAGTGCACGGTGGTAAATGCACATAAGCCGGACATCATAAATGTTTATTGTTGCCTTATAAACTCAACAAACCTCTGTTGGGAATGTAGAATGCTGATGAGAACAGGCAGCTTGTGAGGTTTATTGCTTACTAACTTGTTTGTTTGTTAATGACATCTGTAGAAGAGTAGTTGAAGTAGATGGAGAATGAGTGGCAAAGTAGGGAAGAGAGAGTCAACTTTGTCTGGCTGCAGTGGCCACTGGGACCATTAAAGGGATAGTTTGGATTTTTATGCCTCCGTGTCAGCGATAGCCATGGCTGTAGGCATAATGTTTTTGGGTTGTACATCAGTACATCCCATTCTCGTGAATGTAGTATCTCAGGAATTTTTGATGGAATTACCACAAATTTAGCACAAGCGTCCACTTTGACTTACAATGAACTGTTTAGATTTAGGCGGTCAAAGGTCAAAGTCATTGTAACCTTGCGTCTGACTTATTTTCATAAACACGATATCACCAGAAGGCCTTGAGGGAATTTCCTCAAATTTTGCACAAACGTTCACATGGACTTAACAATGAACTGATCAGATTTCGGCAGTCAAAGGTCAAAGTCACTGTGACCTAAAAAAAACATGCTTTTTTGCCATAACTCAAGAACTCATGCGCTAATAATGACAAAATTTCACACAAATATCTAACAGGATATAATGATGAAGTGATGAAATATTTTATCCAAAAGGTCAAAGGTCAACTTCACTGTGACATCATAATGTTTTCTCGCCATTAAACATAGTCATGACTCAGGAACAGAAGGGGAAACATCTGGTTGGATACTGAATTGGTGACACTAATCTAGGGTGTCCATCTCAAGACTGTGCTATGCTGCCGGGAAGATTCGTGCAAAGCATCCTTGTTTCTAGACCCCCTGGTCCAGCCATGGGGTCTAGATGTCTCCTTAATCACTAGTTCAAGGTCCACACAGTTAAATACATTCAGAGTCATACTTGCCTTTGTCTCTGTCAAGTAGCTGTCTATTAGACACTCACTCGACAGCAATACACAGTACTTCAAATTAAACGCCCTGTGTCAGAAATTCACTGTTCTTCAAAATGAAGTGTGTTTTTAACAAACTTGAAATGTTCCTGAGTAACTTGCGGTCCATTTAGAATGGACCTGTGACCCATTTTTTGAGCGTGAACAAGTTGGGAACCACTGTTTGAGAGTATGTAGCATCTTTGCAGTAACATCCATATTTGTAGCATTGTCAACTGTCATGGCTATGAGTCTGGATGTAAACTTCAACCTGACTTGTTCACAGAGGTATACAACTGTGATAAGGTCATTCTAGTTTGAAGTGGCATTTGAAGGTACTTATCTATAATCAGTCTACTGCCTACAGTAGGTGGCGGGCAGCATGCCCTAAGCTTGGCGAAGCAGACAGGAGTACCACTACACAAGATAAGCAATACACTGCTGTGGTGCGGCAGCAAAACATATTTTGGCCACCTGAAAAAAGTCACACCTGAAAAAAAATCAAGTCATTTTAAGTGTATGCTATATTAAGATTATTTTTACCTCTGTATCTTGCTGTCAGACAGCCTTTTCCAGCAGGGAACTGATCTGAAAGTGATACTCTTATCAGAGCCACCACTCCATTGTCAAAAACGGTAATTTACCTGAGCATGGAGTTGCTGGTCGACCACTGTCTCAACCACTTAGTTTGCTGTGTGTTATTGTGTGACTTTGGTGTTTTAAAGGTTCAGTTCGGATATACCAAAGTCACACAATAACACAAACAAACTTAACGATCGAGGCAGCTGCAGACCAGCAGATTCCATGATTAGCAAGGTAAAGTTAATGTTATTGTCGAAGAAGTCTGTTGACTTTGAAGAGAGCAATATAACAGCATCTGTTCCCCATCAGAGAGGACTGTCTGAGGTCAAGGTAGAGCTGTGAAAATATTCTAAATATAGCATACACTTGAAGTGATGTAAAATTTCTACAGTGGGTTTTTTGTTTTTCGTGGCCAAAATCCATTTTATTGCTGCCCCCATCCATAGCACCACATTGCTTGAGCTTCCGTTTCAGTACTCCTGCCTGCTTCTCCAAACTGGGCGTGCGACAACCGCCATTTACTGTAGATGATACACTGACTATGGATTAGTACCTCATACAACCCCACTTTAAAAATTCTAACTATCCCTTTAAAGGAAAAATGGCCCTATTTGTTAAGGATGGGTTTTATATTATTTTTGCTTTGATCTGAGACTATGCATCTTTTTCTGTTTGGCACCCAATTCCATTAGTTAGTTATTTGGCAGCTGTTTCGAACCGATTCATCACAGCCCTAAGCTCCTAGTGTATCTGGCGCACACATTAAACACCTCAAAAATGACTGAAATGCTATTACAACAATGAAGATGGATTGCCAACATCTGAGTCGTCCTTTTTTTGTCTGTTAAAAGGGCTACTGTGCCGTAGTATCAGAGGTAAAAAGGAAGCCATTGTTGAAGCTAAATGCAGCCAAATTTCAGAAGAAATAAAACAGTTGAAAACACAATATCCTGAAGCTGGTGGCTCTTAGCAACTCTTAAAGCACATGTTTAAAGGTCATGAAGGGCTGAGGCAGTTATGAATCACAGCAAAATGGAGCTAAATGCACCAAGAAGGGCAAAAGACCTTTCAGAGAGGAGCAATGACATCAGACCCACATGAGGAATTGCTTATGTGTATGAGTCAGATGCTTTTGTGTTTTTAGCTTGATTATTTCTTTGTAGCCCACCACAGCAAACAGCTGATGGAGTGCCAGCGCTTTAAAGTAGATACAGTGGATTACAGTGCTTGTTTGGTTTGGATCATTTGGACTATCAATCACGTTTTTGTAAATTGCCATGTCTTTGCTGTAATCAGTTAGATTAGTACAACTATAAAATATCCAGATTGCCAAATTGCTTCTGGAGTTAATGACAGTGATTCACAGTTCTGTCTAAGAGAGTGTGTATGTGTGTGTTAACATGTTTTTCTTTGCTCTCCAGGAAGCCTAATAAAAGCTAATATCAGTACACAGTAGGGCTCACTCAGACTGAGCTACAGACTTATTTAGCTGATCATTATCCTGCATAAAAATGGATTTTTAACAGGAAATTATTCTTTTGTTTGGCTGTGTTTATTTAGACGGACCAAGGCCATCCCAAAAGGAGATCATCTCGCTCAGAGCCTTCATGCTCCTCTTCCTCAAACAACTCATACTGAAGGTACAGTGAGAGAAACTGATTACCATTATCTTCATCACACTCATGCATGAAGTTGCAAGAAATCGCTTTTTTCCATTATGTCCTCTGTTGTTTTCCTCCCTCTTGGGAACCTCGGGCTTAATCTGGAGTTTGTGTGTGTGCGTGTGCGTGTGTGTGCATGGAGAATCGCATTATAGATCAGAAGCCTGAATGAAGCACTCTGTCTTTTGTGTTTGTGTGTGCTTGTATTGATTTGTTCCTGTATTTACATATGTGTGTGTGAAGTTGTTGCTGCCTCACGGTTAAAAAGCATCATCCAGGAACAGAATTAATGAAGTCTTCTGAGATTAAGATGATGTAAAAAAAAAAACCCGTAGATCATGAATGCTTCGGTTAAAGATGCCGTTTCTGTTTTTCACAGGACCGGGGCGTGAAGGAGGACGAGCTGCAGAGCATTCTCAACTACCTACTGACCATGCATGAGGTAAAAGCTAATTTCAGTGCCAAAGAGAGACACTGTGAGAGAAGGAGACAGAGAGAGACAGAGAGAGCGGTTGAGTGGAGCTGGTGGCAAAATGTGCATTATAATTTGTGGGCCGGAGTTATGGTCCACTTAAAGAAGTGAGAGTGTGAGTCAGCTTCGGCGCTGTGACAGCGTGAAAAATGGCGCAACAATGGACTGAACAGAATGTACTCTTCTGTAACAATTATATCTATTCTCGCTCTGAAATACCACCTGCTCCTTTTGCAATCCCAGCTCCCTGTCCACCCTTACAACTCTCTCTTTGTCCTCTTAACCCTTAAACCCTCCTCTTCCGCCTTTTTTCACCTTTTAAACTTTGCTTTCTTTTCTCCACAGGATGAGAATATCCATGACGTGCTCCAGCTGTTAGTGGCTCTTATGTCTGAACATCCAGCATCCATGATCCCAGCATTTGACCAGAGAAATGGAATAAGGTGACACTAATCATTGTATATCTGAAAAATATTTGGTTACATTCATGGTTAGACCTTAGCTGTTAATGCATTTTTATATCAACACACATCCAATACACAGTATTAATTACAATACACAGAAATATAAATGATCTAGTGTCAATGAGGGCTGGGCAGTGTGCTCAAATGGGGAATGTCGACGTCACTTCCAAGCTCTGACCATTTGAAAACCCACCATGAGATTTTTGATCACCTGCGTTCCGCTTCCCTTACTCTGAATTTGGCCAAATGTGAGTTTGAGAAGGGTATTGTTACATACTTGGGTAAAAAAGTAGGGCATGGTCAGGTTTGCCCAGTGCATGCCAAAGTGCAAGCAATCTTGGATTTCCCAGCTCCCTGAATGTGACGTGAATTCTGTCATTTTCTGGGGATGGCTGGGTATTATTGTGCGTTCTGTAAAAAATTTTGTGGTGTAGTGGCTCCATTGACGAGCTTAGTCGGCCCCAAACTCTCTTCCAGTGATGCGCCCTGAGAAAGACACTTTTTGGAGTGCAGTAAAGTGAATCATATGTCATGTGATGAGAAACAAACAATCACAGGCTGCAGGTATCTTTCTTTCCTTTCTTAAATATCAGTCTATGACAAATATGGAGAAGTTGATCATTTATTGCAAGGCTACTCAGCGCTTTACGATCTGTTACACGGACAATATTCTAGGCCTAATACAAACTCTAAAACACAATGCCTGGAAGAAGATCAGGTCTGAACTCAGGATTTCTGGTGAGTAGGCTGTGACACAGTGCTGGCGATGGCAGCTTAGCAGCATCACGTGCAGCCTGCCTCCGTGCCCTTGTAAGTTGTCATTGAGTAGGCATAAGAGTAGCACCCACCCTTGCATTGTCCAAGCTGTAAAGGACGTGGCATATGTCCCGGCTCTTCGTCATTATATCCACATTCCTAATGATAATTTATCAAAGATTTCATTGTGTAAATGTTTTGTGAAGCCACAAATAGTCAATCCTACAATATCGTCACAGTATTGATATCGAGGTATTTGCTAAAAAATATTGTGATATTTGATCCATATCGCCCAGCCCTGGTACTGATAGACAGATAAATTAAGCTGAAAAAAAAGGAAATTGATTCATAGATTAAAAGGCCATACATTTCCTATTTTGATGTGTTTAAGAGAATAATTTTATTGAAGATTTAGAAAGCAGGAAGAAACTGGTTTTTATTGTGCAAAGTAACATTTGTAGTCTTTGTCGTTATTACATGATTTGTTTGATGAGCAAATGAATCCTCAGTTTTGAGCAGCAACAATAACGCATATGCTTTACTGCATGTTTAAGGCGTTATTTATATGTTCACTTACAATAGCCATGTTCCATATACAAAGGGAAGCTTCAATCACACAACAGGATTTCTCAAAGATGGACTCTTACTGTGCAGCTAAGTCCCCCAAAGCACAACTGCACATGGATGTGTTTTTGGTTGCTATGGTAAATCTTCTGTTGTCGAAGAGCTAGTCAGCAAACTGTGTTTTGTTTTTTTTTTACTTTTATGTCCTCTGAGCAAACTCCTTTGAGGAAAATGCTTCAGTCAGCACACGTGTTGCTAACTTTGAGGATGTTTACTGAGTATCAGACAGCAGATGTTTACTACACACACAGAAGAACCGGGTTTTTCCACTTTTAGCCTTCATCTAAGGTATTGTGATTCCTTCACTGTCACTGATAAGTGTGGCTGTGTGTTTGACATGTTACAGGGTGATCTGCAAGCTCCTGGCCTCTAAGAGTGAGAGTATCCGGGTCCAAGCACTCAAAGTCCTGGGCTACTTCCTCAAGCACCTCGGTCACAAGTCAGTACCTCTTTGTCTCTGTGCTTTCTGTCTGGTGTTCTCCTTTGTTTGGTGTTTAGTGCTCAGTAAATGGAGAACCATCGGAATAAGGGAGCACTTAAATCTTTTTTTCCTGTCACAGCTAAAACAGAAATACCGCATCAGGGTAGTGAAGGCCTCACATTTAGGTCTGAGAGTGAGGAAACACACTGCAGTAAAAACGGAAAAAACTACAGCAGCGCAGCCTCCAGTGAGCCTTAGAAAGGCTGTTTGTTTGTGTGTGTGAAGATAATGTCCTCATCATCACGTCCAGGCGGAATAATCATTTTGACAGTGTACACTGGCAGGGAGGTGGAACCTTGATGAGTGGCAATGAATGCTGGGGGATTTATTCATCCCATGTGACACACACGCCTCTCGCTGCACGACATGGGAGCAAGCTGCCGAGCTGCACCTGAGCCCTGCACCTTCAGTCCCCCCACCTACTTAACATCTGCTCCGACCAAACATCCTGTCGCGCTGCCTCTTTAAGTTTAGTCACCTTGATACTTCTGGAAATTTTATTGATCCAGACAGCAATTAAATTATACATAAAACACCATTTGCACCTTTGAAAGACATTTCAATTTATTTCATTTAATATGATAATGTTAAATACTCAATCACTCAATCAATTTCACATGCCGTGTTTTTATGTGATTTAATTTAATGATTTGTCAGTTTTAAAAAAACAGCATTATAAAAAATGTAATTTTCTGCCATAATCATGATTTCAGAGCCACTGACTGTTTTATAGATTTGTCAATGTCACAGATTAAAGCAAAAGCAATTTGGGTTATACTGAGTTTCTACACTGTTGTTTGACAGTTGAAGTCATGTCTACAGGGACGCTCATAAGGGTGGGAAGTGGGGGGCTTTCTGGGATGCACAGGTGGGGAGGAGGGGTGATGCCTGAAATAATCATGTTCATCCTAAATATAAGAAATAATAATAATAATATGCACCATTACCTCTCAAAACAACAACAATCAACATCGTATTTATTGTTGCTCTAATTAAATGTAGCCTTTTTCATGATGAAAACCCCCCTCCTGAAAATAGTACAACTTTTTTTTGTATGCAACCATTGCAGCATTGAAATACTGCAGCTAGCCAGCCACCTGACCTTAGAACTAGGAGAGAGATCATGCCCATGCGTTCACATGGGTACAGCAGATTTGAGGAGGGCCCATTCACTGGACCTTTTCAGGGGCTTAGCCATGTCTGTGGGTGGGCCTGCATGTCTCTTGTTGATGTTTCTTTGTATACATACAGTAAACATAATCTTTAGAATCTTTATTTATAGAGCACTTTTCATTCAGGAAGTGCAGCACAAAGTGCTTCACAATAAGAGCAGTTTAAGCACTGAGTGCTTCACATGAAAATAGACAAAATGGACATAAAACAGGCAATTCAATATAAAAGGACATTTAAAACAGTTTAAAACATGGATGGAGTTGTAAAACTATAAATCATGAAATCAAGTAAGATTTTAAAAGAGTTAAAAGTAGCTCAAGGCTGAAGTGAATAGATATACGCGTTTAGCTTTCTTTTGAAAATATTTAGCGCGCTAGCTTCCCTGATATCTATGGGCAGTGTGTTCCATAGCTTTGGGGTGTAATTGACAAAGCATCCCTTTTTTTCATGTAGCCCCTCATTCTGATAGAAAGCAGAGGATTCGTACACATAATGCTTTTATTTCTGCATAAAGTGTGCCATAAAGCATACCGTTATATATTTTCTGTTTTTCTCTTAATTTGTTCAAATAGACAAAGAGGGTTGGGACTGAATTTCAAAAAGAATTTACAGTCTCAGCAAAATGTAGTTATTCTGTTTAAATAAAGTGAAATTAGTAGCAGATTAAACTAATTTAACAAGATAAAGGGAGCGAGATGCTTTGTTAAGAATATTTATGAATGAATTTTGTGCAAACTTTCCTTAGTTTCTTCATTTTAATGACCTGATTACAGTCAGAAAATTACAGAGGCTGAGCATTATTCACTTAATTCAATTTTAAAAATTTAGTCAACCCTGATTCCTGAGCCTTTCAAGTTAAAAGCCTCTCAGAGACACAATTTTCGCCTACTGGCAAGGTTAATCGTCAAAGTTAATAATGTGCAGCCACACAAACGTTGCCCCGGTGACGCCTGCAGTGTTGCCGTTCCGTTAATGTCGCTCCTTAATTTCTCTTGTTGGTATTCATCTCTCGTCCTCTTTAGTCCCGTCATAATTGACAGGGCCACATGGTGCCACCTGCCAATATCAGACTGTCATCAGGGCACTGACAATCAATGTCAATTTCAACTGTCATAAATTCAGTAATGAATGGCAAGCTGCGTGTGTGTGTGTGTGTGTGTATGTGTGTGTGTGTTTCCCTGCAGGAGGAAGGTAGAGATCATGCACACGCACAGTCTGTTCACACTGCTGGGGGAGAGGCTGATGATGCACACCAACACTGTCTCTGTCACCACCTACAACACTCTGTATGAGGTAAGTGATTGGCTCATTAACATGCTGCATTACTATAGCAACGTACAGTAAGTGATAAGTTGTCAGAATTTAGATGATAGTGATCTTATTTAATTAACGGCTGTTAACCCCTCTGTGTGTGCGCAGATTCTGACAGAGCAGGTCTGTACCCAGGTGGTTCACAAACCCCACCCTGAGCCTGACTCCACTGTCAAGATCCAGAATCCCAGTAAGTACAAAAGCACTGTAGCCTGTTTCTGCCTGTCTCTCCGTGTTCTTTGGTCTGCCAATAATGCAGTGTTGTTTTAATGTGAGTAAACAAACAACAAAGGCTCATTCAGAAGCCGACACTGCTGCCATCTCCCACTTATTGATCTGCCTCTCACTCTCTTGTCCCTCACAATTTTTCTCTCTCATTGAAAATACTTTTTAAATATTTGTTTCTCTCACACTCTCATCTCCTTCCTCTTCCACTTCCTCTCCCCCGTTCTCTGATTCTTACCTCCCACCCAGTGATTCTGAAGGTAGTGGCCACCCTGCTGAAGAACTCCTCTCCCAGCGCAGAGCTGATGGAAGTCAGAAGACTCTTTCTTTCCGACATGATCAAACTCTTCAGTAACAGCCGAGAAAACCGGCGGTAAGAGCGCACAAATGACTAGACTTGCATTTGTTTCACTGCTTGTCTTTTACTTCTTGTTATATTTTGATAATAAGCTCCGGCTGCAGCCCAACTCACATCCAGTGTTTGTGTTGTGTCCCAGCTGCCTGTTGCAGTGCTCTGTGTGGCAGGACTGGATGTTCTCCCTGGGATACATCAACCCCAAGAACCCAGAGGAGCAGAAGATAACAGAGATGGTGTACAACATCTTCAGGATCCTGCTCTATCACGCTATCAAATACGAATGGGGAGGATGGAGGGTTTGGGTTGATACCCTATCCATCGCACACTCAAAGGTGAGAGTGAGATGTGCATTCAAAGTATCAAAGAGCAAAGGCTTATCTGTACATCCACCATTTTTCATTTACAATTAACAATCAAACATGAAGAAATCCATCAATTAGGACACAGAAACAGTTTTCCACCTAGAAGAGCCTTCAATAGACTAGAATGCCACGCAGCCACATTACATTTGACATTATTCAGGGCTTTACTGTTCAGTTTTTAACCAAATAGCCCAGATTTTCCCACTGCTGCAATCACTGTCACTGTAACTCATATCTTAATACGAAATTGTTGTTGGAAGTAGTTTAAAGACAATTTGAGATGTTAGTAAATCCTGTAGAAGCAGAGTAGAAATTACAGCCTGGCATCAGCATTAGCCTGAAACCTCTTAGTTCTATTTCAGTCTCCAAGAGGCGTTATTTACAGCTGTAAATCAAAATGCCGCTGAGCGACGGACAAATGTAAACAGACACTGCAGCGTGTAGAGATGAGATGTGATGGTGCAACATCAATATGTCTGTGAACAAGTAGGACTGTTTTTGTCATCAGGATTTTAAAATGGTACTTCAACAGAAAGTTCCACATCATCTGCGGCGCTCATCTTTCCTAAGCTAGGTTTATGTTCACCAAAGTGTCCCCGGCCTGTAAGCAAACCAAAAATGGCGTCATCACGTAAAGCACAAAGGCTCCGCTGGTTGTCAGTCATCCTCTGAAACATGTCCCATATTAGATTAATGGTTGTGATTGGCCAGAGGCAGGCCAGGTCAGGTAGAAATGTGTTTAACCAGGAGGTGGAGCAGATGCATCTGCCAGAGCAAATAAACCAAGTAGAAGAAGACAAAGAAGGTTGACAAGGCTAATCTCGACTTAAATCCACTGATGATCACAGAGTAATTAATCAATGAGATACTGTAGAACAATATGTTAAAGTTGGGTGGAAGATGGACTTTCATTTTAAAGACTTTTAGTTTTCTTTTTCATGCACAAGTATGTCACATGTCATTTAGCTCCTTTGGTTGATGTGATTCCTAGGACTGAAACTAACAATATTTTCATCATCAGTTAATCTGCCAGTTTTTTTCATGACTAATCAATTTATCATTTAGTCTATGAAATGTCAAAAAACATGGTTAAAAGTACGATCACAGGTTCCCACGGCCTAAAATGATGTCTATGGATGATGGTCTAATAGCCCTGTTATGCTAGTCCCAAATTTATCCATGCAGCCTTAGGTACACATGATCTATGAACTCCGTTGATGTTGATTGAGGTGAAGGTTAGCTATTGTCAGTGCTTGTGTTCCGATCACACAACCAATTCTATCCCCACCATCTGTCACAGGTGACCTACGAAGCCCATAAAGAGTACTTGGCCAAGATGTACGAAGAGTACCAACGCCAGGAGGAGGAAAACATGAAGAAAGGGAAGAAAGGCTCTGTGTCCACTATCTCTGGGCTTTCTGCTACGCCCGCCCCTGTGGTCAACGGCAACCTGGAGATTGACGATAACTCCCAGACACAAACACCTGAGAGCGAGGCCGAGTACAGCGAGGGGGCCGGAGGAGACTCGCGGAACCTCCTCGCAGAGGGCGCTGTGAAGCGACCCAACGGAGAATCCCTGACACCTGGGGAGCAGGCCGCTGGTCCAGGGGTGAGGGTGGAGGTCCACGACCTGCTGGTGGACATTAAAGCAGAGAAGGTAGAGGCCACAGAAGTGAAGCTGGATGACCTGGACTTATCTCCAGAAGGTCTTGGTGGTGGTGTGGGTGGAGGAGGTGGGGGAGGAATGGAGAACGGACCTCTGGTAGAGGTGGATTCTCTCCTGGACAGTGCTTACTGTGCTGTAGTTCAAAACCTAAATGGGAATCTGGCACCTAAAGATGACACGCCAGGCTCAGGAGTCGGGATGGCATCAAGCCTGGGGCTTTCGGGTGTCAGCCTGGAGGATGATGGGAACATGGGTCCGCTCATCACGTTGGCTGACGAGAAGGACAGTGTCCCGAGCAACAACGGATTTCTCTTCAGCAAGGTAGGATGTAATATGAAGATTATCTGTGATTAAAGTCTGTGGATCCGCATCTTCCCCTGCCGACATAGAATGTAGTACCACATAGTTTTTCTACTGTCTCAATAGAAAAATAGTTGTTGCTGCAGATTTTTCCAAATGTCGAAATGTTCTTTTATCTTTTTTATCGCCCCATTCATCTCCTCCAGGTTGATGAGAAACTGCTCCCAGCTCTGGCAGCCACAGACCCCCTCGTACTGCCGAGTCCAGACCAGCCCACTCCATCCGGCCCAGTCCCGGCTCACTCCACAACCAGCGCCAGCGATGACCTCAGCCTGTTGGCCCACATGACCAGCTGCGGCTCAGATTTAACGCAGACCCAGAGCCACACATCTGGGGAACTTCCAGAGGACGGGCCCTTTAAGATCCAGAGCCCTCTTGCTGACATCAGCTCTATTGCTGAGGCAGAGAGCCAAGCCCAGATACAGGGAGCCTCAAGACCCGATTTCCCAGAGGGAGAGGGCACATCCGGGGCAGAGGGAGAGGTCGCGGGGCTTAAGACTGGGGGAGACACAGCCAGCACCACCTCTGATACAGAGAGGTCAGATGACGGAAAAGACAAAGACACGAAGAAGATCCAAACTACCGCGACTACTCAGGTATGTTTGTGTGTGGCTTTGGCTGATCCTGAGCAGTTTTTGCGGTGTGGTATGGTGCATTGTCCTGGAGGGGTGCCACTGCCATTAGGGAGTGTTGTTGAAATGATGGCGGCACTTGGTCTGTAGTGGTGTTGAGGCAGGTGGTGCGTCTCAAGTGGCATCCACATGAATGCCAAGACCCAAAGTTTCCCTGCAGAACATTACATTGTACACAGATGATAATTATTCTCTTCACCTGTCAGTGGTTTCAATGTTGTGGTTGATGGGTGTATACTGTCTCATTGCCGAGCGTCATTCTTGATTGTTTTCTCCCGCTGTCTTTCAACTAAAACCCAGCACACCTAGGAAGCTTTGAGTGGCAATGACAAGCCTTCTTCTCCAACCCTAAGGCTGCAGCAGCCCCACTGTGATTGTCTCTGTGTGTTGATTAGTGTAAAAAGCTCAGCCATGGACACTTTGTCTCACCAGAAAAGCCAAGTGACTGCCCACACATGAACTAATTCTCTAATAAATCAGGGAATACAGAAGTCCCAGAGAGTCTTCTGTGGTTTTGCTAATGAAACTGAATTTCATAACTGTGTGAAAGCCAAGTTTTCTATTAAACTAGTAGGAGATGTGTTGAAAGCCCTCTGCTGGCTGACCGAATCTTTGCCCCCACGATGTTTCAGGCCCTCCACGGTCGCACCGCAGCCCAGCTGGAGCGGGACCTACGCGTCGATCTGGGTTTCAGGGGCATGCCCATGACGGAGGAGCAGCGCCGGCAGTTCAGCCCCGGCCCGCGCACGACCATGTTCCGCATCCCGGAATTCAAATGGTCTCCAATGCACCAGAGGTTGCTCACTGACCTGTTGTTCGCCCTGGAGACTGATGTGCATGTATGGAGGAGGTGAGTTAGGATGTCTCATGTGTGTGTCTCTTGCAATCAGACACAAAAGTAGGTTAGTTAGCTTTTCTCTGTTAGTTTACCATCGTTCAAATCTTTCATACCTTTGATTATAAGATACAGTCAGTTTGAACAAACCTGTGAGTGTAGTTTGAGACAAACCTCTACAATATCTTTTATACCATAAACTAGTATGACTAGCACTCAAGCCTTGTTTTTGGGGCATCTGTACTGATCACACATGAATTTAAAATTAGATTAGACTTCGGATATTAGCCATCATGTTTCAATTTCTAAACTGTATTTTTTTATCATCCATCCAACTCTTATTTTCCATCTCAGCCACTCCACCAAGTCGGTGATGGATTTTGTGAACAGCAACGAGAACATCATCTTCGTCCACAACACGATCCACCTCATTTCTCAGATGGTGGACAACATCATCATCGCCTGTGGAGGCATCCTGCCTCTCCTGTCTGCTGCCACCTCCCCTTCTGTAAGTGGCTCTACTTCGCCCCTCTGTGGTAGGAGGGGAAACTGCAGGTCAACAGCTGCCTCATTCATGTAGGCCTGTAACTTATTTGTTAACGCCAAACACAGACTTTGAGGAACCCCCTCCCGCCCCCCCCCAATGCTCAGGGCAGTGTTGATCTTGCATGATTGATAGCAGGGCTGGGTGTCATTTAAAAGATTTCAATAGTACCCTTACCCTTAAGGCAATACAGATACCAATAGAGTACTTTATTGGATACCTTTTTTCCACTTAATTCAATACCCATTATCTGAATGGATGCGTTCAGTTGTGTAAAATGTCTCCACCACTCCTGCCTGCGAGCAAAACCTTACAAATAGTCATCTTTTCTAGATCTGGGTACAAAAAGCATCAAACGCAGGTATCGTTTGAATGGAGAAGTTTCGATGTTACTTGGCACTGGGTTATTTTGGTTGTCACTTTAAAGGTATCAAGGACTGATACTCAGCCCTGTTTTATAGGTTTAAGAATTTGTCCTGTGTTCCATATTTTGTATTTTTTTAAATGGGTAAACTAATTAAACTTTCAAGAACATTTTCAGGATTCCTCTCATCTGTATCTTCACATATTTAACTGTCAACCTAACACTTCTTGCACAGTATTTGAACCTTTATTTGATCTTTGTTCTAACCCTTTTAAATTAACGATCTATTTAATTTGATAGTTTGATAACCTATTTAATTTAATCATCTTTCTTTTTTCTTTTCCTCTCTGTGTTACATGTATTCTGTGTATTTTCTTGTCTTTTTTGTCTCTGTTTTTGTCTGTGTTTTTGCATGTACAGAGTTCTAAGAGTAGTGCCAACACTGTAAGTTGCAGTTTCTTCTGCTCTCTTTCTATTGTACTAATACTTTGTTTCTGGTTTATTTACCATTGTGACTGACACTAAACCTTGCTTGTCTGACATCCATAGTGTTTCTATTTGTTGTGCTTCTTTGCTGCTAATCAGTACTCCCCCTTATACTGTTTGTATCTGTTGTGGGTATGCATTGACCTCTCAGTGTATCTAGTTCTTCAAATATATGAGCCAGATATACTGAACTAGATACACTTGGTATAATATTCTAACATTGTCAGAATATTATACAAATAAGGGGAATAAAAAAGACTTAAAAACCAAGGGGTGGATCAATAATAAGGAGAGATTATAATGAGAGGATATATTTAGAGGTGAAAATAGATAGAGTATGTTAATGAGAGAAAAAGCATGAGAGTTTTCCAGAAGTCCTTGGGGGTTGCATCTGCTAAGATTGTCCCATTTGTATCAACACTAAAGAAGGCAGGAGGAGCCGGACCCCAGAGGGGGTCAAAGGGAGAGGAGGTGACCCCTGTTCCTGGGGGAGGAGGCGCAGGGGGAGAGGTGCGTAAAGAGCCTGAGACTCCCACCATCACCAGAAGAGCTAAGAGCACCAACCCAAGCCCTTCTGTCCTCACCTTGTGTGTCTGTTATTCCCCCAAATGTCTGTGCTCACTTGCTCTGACCAGCCTCCAGATGCTTGCACTTTGTCGACTCTCCACAGCCCTGCACATCCTGCTTACTGAAGCAGAGACACAGCAAACCACACACTGGTTTGGTTGCAGGTTTTAACCCCTGTGTTGCTGCCTTCAGATTTATTTTTTAATGTAGATATACAGAACATTTGGTCATTTAAAACTTGGTGTCAACATGAGGGGACTAATTAAATTTCCTATGAAATATTCTCCAGGCTAGTTTCACCTGTCTGTGCACTAGTGCCAGGCCACACTGCTACTGTCACGATCCCACTGTTACCATTACCTGTGTGTCATCAGGCTGTACTTCCTGTGTGTTGTGTAGAGCACCTCATGTTGCCAGATTTCATCATATAAGTATGTATTTCACTAAACCAGCATGATGCCAAAGGTTGCTTTTCCTGTTTGTTGGTACAAACAGCCACGACTGTTGTGGTCATGCTCATGTAAAACACAATGATAATACATGTTCTGAAGGTTATTTCCATTGTTTAAAAGAAGAGGATACTACAGTATCTCACCACCTTTCTTAAACCAGTGAGAGAGCATCCACTTTATTGTATTAACATGCTGGTTTTTCACTGAATAACTGGCAAGCGTGTGTGTATATATCCTCCCTTTCCCAGACGGAGCTGGAGAACATCGAGGCGACACAAGGCATGTCTTCAGAAACAGCGGTCACCTTCCTGTCCCGTCTCATGGCCATGGTGGACGTACTGGTGTTTGCCAGCTCCCTCAACTTCAGCGAGATTGAAGCGGAGAAGAACATGTCGTCAGGAGGGCTGATGAGGCAATGCCTCCGCCTGGGTGTGTGCTCCTTCGATTTATTCAGCCTTAACCAAAGTATCTGAACCATTTTGACCGTGGAGTCAGACTCTCACAAAGCTTCATGGGTTTGTTGAGTAGGGCTGCTACTAACAATTATTTTCTTGACGATTAATTAATTAGTTGATTATTGTTTCAATTAATAATAATATATGACTTAAGAAATGGTTCTAGATTAATCTTCTGTCACTAAGCCGACTGACTGTTAACAGGGAAAGAAAATATTCCCCCAATTTAAAATAGTGTTTAAGAAATCCTAATCACTTTAAACAGATGTCTTCATATGTGTGCAGAATGTGTAGGCAACGAAACAAGATTTTGGTATTGAAAGCATTCTGTTTCTGAATGGGCTTTGGTTGCATGCAGGGACACCTTGGCTGAAATTCAGTCTCAGAATCCATCGGCTATTGTCTGACAGTGATTAAGCTTTTTATTAGCTTTTTAAAATTTTTATTTGCATTCACGTGCAGATATCTGTTTATGGCAGTGAACTCCTGCCAACTCCATTTTCACGTCTCAAATTGCTAATTGGACCATAAACAATGCCCAGCGCACAGAAGAGTACGCCTTGGCCCGGATATCCATTATCTGGATATCTGCTGATTCCACTTGAAGCCCCGAAATATTGGCTGCTGCCTCCAGACACTGAACCGTTATCAGAATGATAGCCGATTGATACAGTCACTTAAAATGTATCATATTTTGCATCTTTAGATTTCTAAGTCTTTAACTATTACATTCCATCTTTTTATTTTGTGTATCTGCTTACTTATATTTATTAGATCGTATTTATATTGCATGTTCTTTTGGGTCAAATGTACATAGCCTTAAAACAAATACATGTGTGCATCTGTGGTACATCAAAAAGAAATGTTATGATGCGTAAAAAGCTCCCCCAGTATAAAATACTTACAGGTTTCATCTCCACCTCTGTGTGTCCATCAGTATGCTGCGTGGCAGTGAGGAACTGTCTGGAGTGCAGACAGAGACAGAGAGACCGAAGCTGCAAGTCGTCCTTAACCAGCAGCAAGTCACAGGACAGCCTCCACAGTGCCTCCACCACCAGCAAGGTACCACACACACACACACACATGCAGAGGAATCAAATGCACATCCTGCACACAACACTTCTGACATGAAAACGTGCATGTGTACAGTATGACGCACCACATTTTACATTCTGTCTTTCATATTTAGCAGGATCCAGACAGACTCCTGCAGGATGTCGACATCAATCGTCTTCGAGCTGTGGTTTTTAGAGATGTGGTAAGCATGCGTTTGTGTGTATTTTTAGTGTGTACAGTATGAGTCTGGGTAGAAGTGCAAAGACAAAAAACACCTGTATTTCTGTTTGAGTGTTGTTTTTACTGAATAAATGTGCGTGTTTGTGTGATATTTTGTTGCAGGATGACAGTAAGCAGGCTCAGTTTCTGGCGCTGGCAGTCGTCTACTTTATCTCAGTTCTCATGGTATCTAAGTACCGGGACATTTTGGAACCCCAGCGAGAGATCGGCAGGTCCACCAGCCTATCGGGGAGAAGCATCCGCCACGAGATCAACTCCCCAACCAGCACAGGTGATTCTCTTTCTTCTTTTACTGCAGTACCCTCAATATTAGAGTAATCTTGGCTGAGCTAGCTGGTGACTCATCATTGTAGCATTTGTATAGTGAATACAGGCTTCAGGCAAACAACAATACCTTTGTCAAGGATCCAAGACAATTAGAGGATGAAAGAGGGAAGAGAGAAGAGAGATGGGTATTACTTGACAGAGAAATAAAGCTTAGAAACATGAGGATATAGCTGAGGATGAATAAAAAACACAGTATGTTGTGGAATTTCTTGGCGATGCATTTTAAACAAAGAAACTCCTTTTTTTTTATTCTTGTGTGTGCGTTCCTCCAGAGCACCCATCCTCAGCCTTCTCCGACCGTGACAAGCAGACCCCCACCCCGGTGGATGACTCTCCCCGCGCCGGCCTCCCCCACACAGACTCAGGCATCGGAGAGGAGGGCCACGTGGCTGGATCCCTGAACGGCTCGGAGATGGGCCTGGGGCTCGGCCTCGGCCTGGTGGGGAGAGAAACGGACAGGGACAGAGACAGAGACAGAGACATGGGGGGAGGAGGTGGGGGAGGAGGCACGGATCTGTTGTGTAGTCTGTCTGATGTCAGGAGGTCACAGGAGAGTCTTCTGGATTCTCCCCACAACCCCAGTTCCAACCCCAACTCCAGCCAAGCTCCGCCTTCGTCCATCTCCAGCATCAGCCAAACAAACAAAGGAATCAATGTCAAGGTGGGTCTGTGAGACGCCCCCATTCAGACCTGGCTGCTTTCATCCAAATATGTCTCTATCTATCTCATAGAGGTGATAAATGTGGTCAGGAAATACATTTGCATTTAGTCTGCACTATTGAGATCCCACGCATCCTCATGTACTTTCAAATATAGTTTGGATAATCAAGCCTCATCTGTATTTTAGCTGTGTGGCTGTGGTATTTTCTTCAGCCTGGACCCTGTTTCGCTGCGGCCTGCTACAGCGCTCGCACTCAATACTGGAGCAGTTTCAAGAATTATTGTTCCTATCAGTCATTTAGACACAAAAACTTGGGAAAATGGGGTCCGGGTTGGAAAATACAGAACTTACCTTTTCTTGCCAAGTCTGAATAGGGACAAGCTCTTTCCACATGTGCAGCTATCAGTAAGGTTATTTAAGGTTATGTATCATTGAAATACATTAATAGTTTACTGCTTTTTAAGCTCCTGTTTTCACCAAATTTCAGTATGGTACCGTTGGAAACAAAAGTAACCCTTTAGACATGGTACGAGGCCCTGGGTCTGCTTAGCATTTCCACCACAAACAGTACTCTTTCATGTGGGCGAGTTGTTGTCACTCACTGCTCCGTGCACTCACTTTAACAGTCTGCACCTCTTTATCGTCCGAAGAACAGGCTGCAGTGAGAGTCTCCCTCAATGGGATATTTAAAGTAAGCTGGTTTGTGCATTTAGTCCCTCTAAGGAAGGCTCGGGGGTTTAGTGTTGCTGTAGCCCACAGGAACGACACTCTTTCTCCAAGTGAGGATTGGGTTGTGTGCAGTTCACATTATCCGGATTAAATTAATATATGTTTTTAAACGCTTGAGGATCCACTCATTACTAAAAGAGTATGTAGTATAAAGAGTAAAGTAATGGTCAAAGTTGTCACACTGAAATTTAAGGCGTGCAGATGGATTCCTGTCGTCAACTCATACACTGGCTAACATTACAAGTAAACGTTCCACCTTAAAAGTCGCCGGCAGTCGGCCCTGTGAATTAAGTTATTTTTTCTCAGACTCCAGCTTCTGTGAGAGGTAACAAAACATCCCTTCATTTTATAGTAACAGTTTACTAATAAAACTCCCCAGTGGTTACATGAGCATCAAAACCCGCCACAACTCAGCCCTGAGCAGAGTGACCGTCCTCTACTGACCAATCAACAGACTGCAGTGTTCACAGCTCCACCTTTTAGTACCAGATCTAGTGCTAGGTACCCCAACAGAGGGGGGACCAAAAATGGGGACGGTATGGAACAGTTCCATTGGTACCATCCACAACTTTTCAAGGTGGAAATGGGAAAAAAGGGTACCGAACTGCTTGGTGGAAACAGGGCTTTAGTTAAGTTTGCTCTATTTTGGATTTTGTCAGAGGCAATAATAATGTTTTGCAATGTAAAACATATGAAAGCCAACACTGAAACAACATTTAGAAAGTCGTCGCACCTCATTAACAAGTTGAAAAACAGCCAAGAACTAGTTGAGCCATTAAAACTCTGACAGCTTGTGTCCTGTAGTCACCAGATGGGTTGTTCTTTCTGAATTGCAGGAGATCCTGAAGAGCTTGGTGGCGGCTCCAGTCGATGGCGGAGATTTGGGACAGGAGTCTGGGCCGACGCCCTATCACCCAGACCCTGCCCTGAAGACACACCCCATGCTGCCCATGCAGTTCCACTCCTTCGACAGGTCAGTTGCTGTTTGACCTACAAGATGCAGAAAAACATTACAGCCTGACACATCCATCAATGAATCCATTTTTCCAGCCAATACGGATCTTTTGCTTTGTTTAGCATACTGCAATGTTACAAATTGTTTTTCATCAGTTTTGGAAAAACAGTGGACACAGAAATCAATCGATTGATTGGTATTTAGATAGTGACCCTCTCCTTTGAACAAAGCTCTCTGGATAGTAACATTTACAAGCATACATAATGTGCTTTACTCACCAGCAGTCTTATAGATTTTTTTTTTATGTGTGAAGCTCCAATAATGCACAGATACAAAAAATGAAAATGTGGATTCTGCAAAATGTCTTGTCAATAGTTCCTTGCATTCACTGTGCACTGCATATTTCGGAACAGACACGTTTAGTTTGAGAATTCAATATAAAAACAGAAAGACAATTATTTGTTTTTAGCAGCAGTGACACCACTATCAGAAATCCTGACACGCTGTTGATTTAATTTCTCTTTTCCATTGTTGATATTGATTTAAGCCTCTGTCAGACTCAAATCTTAGGAGAGAGATACTGTTGTTGAATAATAAAGTTGTTGGATATGACAGGACATAAAGTCTTAACAGAAGTTTAAAAATTTACTTTCTTGTCCAAACTGTTACGATATAGACTCTCCACTGAGTGATGACCTGCTCATAACGGCTGTGCATCACTTAGTCTCCTTGATCCTGCTCCGTGGCAGTCCTTGAGAGCTAACTTATTGATTGAAGTGCGCATAATAGATCATGAAAGGCTCCATATCCGTCTACAGGATGTCTACAGCTCACACAGACAGCCTTGATACATTTGATCTTTATGAATAAATGGCAAATCTGTAGTTACTAACACTATTTTAATAGTGTTTTTAAATAAAGTTGTGTTCGTTCTTCTCAACAGTCACTGCTATTTTAGCCAAACTATTGAATTTTCAATGTTCACCATCACTAGTTTTAGCTACAAGCTTATAAGATATCGAAATAATGGCAGTGCCGTATTATAATATGTTTCTGAACAACTTTTTACAACAATTAGAAACTGATCTATTGCCTGAAATATTTAATAGTGTTGCACAAAGCATTCTTTTTTAAAGCATTTTATAACTTTTGGCAACTATTTGTTTGTCTGACATGAAAGAAACTCTCTGATCTTAATTTGCTGAAGCTCCCAATCATGCTCAAATCCCAAATTATTATTCTTTATCCCTGATGTTAACTTTAGATTTCAAAGCATGAACAATGGTCTTGTGATGTAGGGACACTCCAATGCACTGTAAGAAAATCAGGTGGTACAGCTTGAAAAGTTTTGTGAACTGTTTCAAGTGATGACATGCAGTAGAGGTAAAAACTATTAATTTGGCAATCAAAGGCCAATTTCATTTTATACAGTGAGGATTGAAATCCCAAAACTGACCTCAGAGGGTTACACTATGGTGGCCAACAAAGGCAAATGCACCACAGTGTCCCAGAACATTTCGACCAGGAGAAATGAGCTGCAGCTTCAGAAATGGTGCCAATTTAAAAGGCATACAAAAATCCAAAGCAAATACAGAAAAAAATCAGAAAATCAGAAACACTCAACCCCCCAAATCAAATGCAACAAAAAATACACTTTATATCCAGTCAACACAATGGGTGTTCTCCAGGCCTCTAAGGGGCACTATAGAAGTCTGTTGCTCTTTAATAATACTGTAAAACAGTGGTTCCTAACTGGTGGGTCATGGACCCATATCGAATGGACCGCAGGTGACTCGCAAACATGTCAAGTTTGTAAAAAAAAAACAAAAAACAGAAGAATTAAAAAAAACAACAACACACACACTGACATCGCTTTTATTATGAAGAGTCATTTTCTGCTGTAGAGTGAGTCACTAACTGACAGCTACATGACAGAGACATCAAACTAGCTCAACGACATGGGCAAACACAAGTGTGACACTGAATGCATTAAACTGTGAGACCTCGAACTTATGACTTAGGAGTAATCTGGACCCTGTTGCTGGACCAGTTGGGAACCGCTACTGTAAAAGACAAATGTGAAACAGAGTATTTGTCGTTTTATATCCTGCTTCAGAAACACACACGAAAATCAAGCTGTTCCACTTAGGTCTCCCCCTAGAGGCCTGGAGAACATCCATTTAGCTCATTGAATAGGCAGCGGTTTTCTGTTGCTTGTGATTTTGGGGTTTATGTGCTTCTGACTTGATATTATTTCTGTATTTTTGGTTTCCTGCAGGATGTTTTTTCATTGCAGCAGGTTTCTGCTGGATTATCTTGTTTTCAAATTGGCATTGTTTTTAAAGCTGAGGCACATTTTTCATAATGCAAATGTTCTGGGCCATTATACAGTTTGTATAGGTTGTCCTTGCCAGCCACCGTAGTATGGACTTTGTAATCTGTATTATAGTTACAGCGACCAACAGTAAACATGCTCGCACATCCAGTGCTGTCATCTTGGTTGTGACTGACTGTCCATTCATCCTCACAGTTGTTCTCACACACCGACCAACACACAAAGCTCAGATATCACTGAGGAGCCTCTGATAAAGAGTATTGTTTGTGCAGGTCACTGATGCCTTTGTGTCTCGTCTCATACAGGAGTGTCGTGGTTCCAGTCAAAAAGCCGCCACCTGGCAGCCTGTCGGTCAACACGGTGGGCACACCCACCACAAGCGGAGCGGCCACTGCTGGCAGCACACCCAACATTTTTGCTGCTGCGACAGCAACACCCAAGAGCATGATCAACACTACAGGTGAGAGATGACACACAGATAAAGTGCACTCCTTAACACGTCTTCTTCACACCCACATCTATCAACTGACTTCCTACATGTATATCTTTGGGTATTTTTACTCTGTACATTTCTTCGCTGTAACTATTTAGCAGAAAAGCAGCAGACAGACACCTGCAGTATGACGAAGGTGTTTGTGTGAAAGGCCTCCAGCTATTCAAAGACTGCTCTATGAAGCAGAGCTGAATTTCTTTTCTTGTTACCAAACTCTTTGATGCTTCACTCTGCTGTCCTTTGACAGCCAGAACAAACTAGAATAGAAACAAACTTGGCCAACAGAGCCAGCAGATGCTTTCATGATTAGTTTTAGCCTGTTTCGAGGGCGGGATCCAGACCGCACAGCAAGTGTAAGATACCCTGGCCACTAACAAGAAAGTTAATTTGGTGAACTCTATGTTGGACCGTGCACTTTTCACACTCCATGCAGGCAACACCAGATAAAACAAAGAGCATGTGTTAGATATTTATGACCCAAATATGGTTTTAAATAAGAATAAAGTGATAACAGGATAAGGATCAAATACACATCAGCTGACATGCAGATCAGTGCTGTTTCCATGCAGCATCAGACTCAGCAGATTGTAGCAGAGTGGATTTGTATTCAAGGCTTTGTCGCCCCGTCAGGCATATTGGACTGTATCATACATGCATAATGGACAAGGAAGGGATTTGTTCCCTGGAATGGATTCTGTATATTGATTACAAAGCTATTTTCAAAAACGGGGGCCATTACCAGAAGACAAGCAGCAGCACGTCCGGTGAAATACTATCCAAATTGAATTTGGTCGCAAATGACCGGGACATTAATATGTTCCCGTCATTGTTATCCCGCACGATAATCTCGGTCATGCTTGATTCATATTACAATAATGCTCGTCTTATTTTTCATCACTCTCCCTCCTCTCTCGCTGTCTAGGTGCCACAGACTCTGCCTCCTCTTCCTCCTCCTCTTCTTCGTCCTTTGTGAACGGCGCGACTAGTAAGAATCTGCCGGCCGTGCAGACGGTGGCGCCCATGCCAGAAGACACTATGGAGAATATGAGGTCAGAGCTCTCAACACGGCAAAGCTCTCTATCGCTTCAACCATTCACCTTCCTCCCGCTCTTTCTTTTTTTTTTCTTTCCTCCCTTTGGCTTTTGTTTTTACGTTGATTTGTTTGTTTTCTTGGGCGCCTGTCGTTTTTCCACTTCATTCCTGTACCTCTTTCACGTCACACTTAGGTCTTCATCCTCTCCAAAGAGTTCTCACTAGCAGCTCACTCTCACAGCCATCACTGATATTACAGTAGGGTTAGACTGGGGACAACTGGGGTGCACCCATATACCTGACATTACTCATAACTATTTTTTAAGGATGTCAGGAGCGATGAAGTGTAACAAAAGGTTCTGACACATTAAAATAAAAACGACTTTTAAAGAAAACACTTTAATTGCAAATTTGATAATTGTTCTGGGTGACAACTGACTAGAAATCAAAAGTCACAAAAAGGCCAGTTTCACAATTAGTAATCAGCCACAAAAAGGATATTGGATTAATTCCAATATTGGTCTTTCAAGCTGATATTCAATAATAATAGTCGTCTGAAAGATAGTAAAATAACTTGTAACCAACGACTGTATATAAAGATGGATGACTGGTCTCCATTTACTCCCACTGTACAAAAATGTAGCCAAAGTATTGCCATCTTGCACTGGTGATGTAATTTGAAGCCAGAATCTGGGCAGTATTGATCTCTGCAGTATCAAGTTTTGCTGCCAGACCAATTTCGACTACACCTATTGGCGCAGACAGCTGTCAATGATGTCAAACCTCCTTTTTATAGCATCACATAACTAATTAAACCAAACTTATCAGAAAATAAAACACAACAGCTTGATAACAACAGCCTAAAATGACAGCATCTTTGGGAAAATGTGCTTGACATGAACTCCGATTGTTTAGTTTGGCTCATGTCCCACTCGCTAACATAGAGGGGGCGGGGTTTATGACCTGTACTGCAGCCAGCAATCGAGATGTTTTGGCTTCACTTTTGGGGAGCTGTCATGTCGTCCATCTTTATTATACAGTCTGTGTTGGTGACTCACACGCACATATTTTCTGCTCACGTGCACGCATACCACCCACACATCTCACTCAGTCCACACTATGGTGCTCTTCATCTCTGACATGGCAACTGTGTTTTAATGTCACAATTAACATTATACTGTAGAGTATGAAAATATCGACAGTCCCGAATGGATTACTTATTTGAAATTGTCATAAATCTGTGTTTTAGTCTGTTTCCATACTTTGTATAGACATCTGACACTTGCTAATAAAATATAAGATATGTTAATAATTAGGAAATTACTATAAGAATTAATATATAATTCTAAACAATGTGTCAGGCTGTACTGTAACAATTCTGCTAATGTACTCTCTACATAGACATGTTAGACAGTTTGTTATATGTGCAGTTACGTGTGCTTCTGACAGTGCACACGCATGTAAGAGGCTGCGTGCGTGCGTGTGCATGTGTTCTTTAATCAGTGTGCATGTCTGTGCGTGTGTGTTTGTATGTGTGTGGTTTGTATTGCAGTGCCTATTGTGAGGTGGCGCAGTGTGCGCTGCGCAGCGGTCAGACGCCCCCTGAGCTCAAGTCTTTTAGCTCTCTGGCAGGCTTCCAGGCAGCTCCCCGAGATGCAGGACAGTGTTTTAGGCAAGGAGATGCTCGTCCTGTCCCCCATGCCCCCACCCCTCCCCCACCCCCTCTCTGCCCCACCTCCACCACACACCCTGTGCTACGCCCAGCCACTACCCAGAATGCCATGGGAGAAAGGACAGACGTTTTTGCTAACAGCTTCAACAGTTAGCATCACTCATGTTTTTTATATCAGCACAGTCAGCTCTGTCACTTCTGGCATGGCCGTCTCTTCACACTAACCCCGAACTCAAGATCAGACCTGAGTCAAACTGTCTTTGCAAATAACTTGCAGCAACAGTTTGCTTAAACTGACTCAGAATCAGGTTGTAAAGGAATACTCCACCCACAAAATGATCATTTGTATAGTAATTACTTACCCTGTAAATTCAACCCATTAAATTCATGAAGAAAAGAGGCTCCATGGTGAATGAGGAATCCAAAAAAGGAGAAAATTTGGTAATACTTTACTTGAAGGTATCTACATAAGAGTGACATGACACTGTCATAACTATGACATGACACGGACATCAATCTGTCATGAACATTATGTACATGTCATAAACCTTTATGACTGCTGTCATTAAGTGTCATTTGGTTTTTGTAATGACAAGTTGACATTGTTTGGGTTGTCTTGATTATGACAACTTGACATTAAGCAGGATGACATTACCAGAAGATGTCTTTGTCATGACAAGCTGACATTAATATAAAGACATCTTCTGATACTGTCATCCTGGTTGATGTCAAGTTGTCATTATCAGGACATCCCAAACAAATTTAATGTCATCTTGTAATGACAAAGACAACTTTTGGTAATGTCACTTTGATTAATGTCAAGTTGTCATGATCAAGACAACCCAAACAATGTCAACTTGTCATTACAAAAAACGAATGACACTTAATGACAGCAGTCATAAAGGTTTAAGACAAAGTGACATTACCAGAAGTTGTCTTTGTCATGACCTCATTAAATTTGTTTGGCATGTCCTTATTATGACAACTTGACATTAACAGGAAATGCACTTCTTTATGTGTTTATGACAAGTTGTAATAATGATTATTATTGTTATGACAAAGACATCTTCTGGTAATGTCATCCTGGTTGTTGTCATAATCAAGACAACCCAAACAATGTCAACTTGTCATTACAAAAACCGAATGACACTTAATGACAGCAGTCATAAATGTTTATGACAAGTTCATGACAGTGTCATGTCATAGTTATGACAGTGTCATGTCATCCTTATGTCGCTACCTTCAAGTAAAGTGTTACCGAAAAATCTTAATGAGTGACGTAAAAGATGTGCGTGTTTACCAACATCAAAACTATACCAAAGCAAATTGTCACACAACCCGTGCAGTATAATCCAAGTCTCATTTATCCAGTCATATGGTGAGTACTTCACAAACACATGCATCTTTACCAAGACCTTACTATTTGAAAGACTAGTGGTGAAGTACTGTGCAAACAACTGAATACATGAGACTTGGATTATAATGCACCAGTCGTGTGAGAGTTTGTAAATGGACATTTTGATATAGCTTTGCTGTTACAATTTTCGTCCACCATGGAGGCATGTAAGAAAAACTAAGTCTTCTTTGTGAATTCAACACAACACAGGGTGAGTAATTGCTATATTAATGATCACTTCAGGGGTGAAGTTTTCCTTTAACCTTTACCGTGGCTTTTGCAAATGTCACCCATCTGCTACCCTTAAACAAAATTAAAATTTGTAAACACTAGTGACCCAGGTCTGTTTCAGAAACCACATGCTTATTTGGCCGAGAATATGCACTTCACTGCCATGGCTCCATATTTTAGTCTGCTTTGCTGTACTCTTCCTGCCTTACTTTCTCCATTTATTAACTGGACATAGAATAGAAAGTGTTTCACTCTGCAGATCTAAACCTGTGCACACACAAAGCCACTAATAGTTAATACAATATGTACCATTTATTCCAGTGCAGTCGAAAGTAAGGGCAGTTTTTGTAGGTGTAGCTTCTAACGCACAAACAGTTTCACCCATCCCACGATGCTAAGTTAATTAACAATTAATCTTAAAACCTACAGTAACATCAATACTAACCCAGGCATAGTGCTTCCACACCAAACCATCATTACATACGCTTCAATTCTATACATTTTTTGTCCTCTGTGTCTATCTCAGACATTTCTTTCTCTTTAACGTCTCTCAGCTTGCCTTCTCCTGACTCCTCTCCTGTGTAATTTGTGCTGTGCTTTCCTCTCTTCCCTGTTTTCTCACCTATCTCTACTCATTGCTCTCTTGCATGTTTCTCTCGCTCCCTTCCTCACCTACCGTATATCCCCTGAGTTTTTTTTTTTGTTTTTTTTTCACATGCTCTTCTAACCTCGCCTGGATGTTGCTTATTTTTATCTTCACTCCTGTTGTCTTCATCTTTCTCTCTTTCACTTACTTTCCCTGCAACAGCATCACCACCAAGCTGGAGCGTGCGCTGGAGAAGGTGGCCCCCCTGCTGAGGGAGATTTTTGTGGACTTTGCTCCCTTCCTGTCCAGGACGCTGCTGGGTAGCCATGGGCAGGAACTGCTCATAGAAGGTACAGGTGCTGTACACGGCTCCTTTTTCTCTAACTGGCGTCTCTCTGTGGAGTCTCCCCATTCACTGTCCCTCACCGCGATGATTGTGTGTGAGAGAGACTGAGAGGAAATGAGTGACTGAGTGGACGAGTGTATTAACGTGTGATTAGTTGAGAGTGTGTAAACGAGTGGGTGTCTTTGAGCTGGCTGCTTCACTCATTCGTCAAGCAGGTATGAAGTCAGTATTTTGCACTATTTTCAAATAGCTAGCTAGATCATGTCGACATGTTTAACTCAGATTACGTTCAGTTGTAGCGTTAACACTACTGGTATTACAGATTAAATGTGATGCATTCTTCCCTCTGCCCACCTGCTTCCTGGCGTCCTGTTTTTGTGATCCACTGTCTCAATGTTGATCTCTCCCGCTCCTCACTTCCTACTCCTTCCCCCCTCCCTTCCCCCTACTCTCTCCTTCCCCCATCTTTCTCTCTACTGTTTGTTCCTGTCTTCTCTGTGGCATGCTTTTTATAAACTTGACTACGATGACTGTATACAATAGCAGAAACCACTGACACTACAGTGTCTTCTTTGATGATATTTTTATGTCTCGCGGCAGTGTGTGTGCGTGCGTGTGTGTGTCAGAGAGAAAGAAAGCGAGCCTCCTGACTGTGCTGTATGTCTCCGTGCTGCAGGTCTGGTTTGCATGAAGTCTAGCACGTCAGTGGTGGAGCTTGTAATGCTGCTCTGTTCTCAGGTTGGTAACCCCTCACTCCTCCTCCTCTCGTCTCTCTGTTTACTGTCCTCACACACGTAATCCATTTCGCCAAAGCCTCAAAAGCTTGGCCTCAATTTGTCATCTTTCTACCCCACTCTTAAAGTGTTGTTGTTTTTTCTAGACCTATCATAATCAGCCAAGTCGGTTGCACACAGGAAGCAGTCAAGTTATTGATCTGCCCTGTGAGGCAGGGTTGACCGTAATGAGCGCAGTGCAGATGTAATATAATATCAACTTATATGCATCATCACACCACAGTTGTTCTCATGAATATCAAGGCCACAAAGAATTTCCAGAATGCACATAAACATGACCAGCTGAACGCTACTTTTAAGAGCAAAATTAAATCACACAGGTTAATAATTTTGAATTTAGAAGTGTCTGTATTTTTCTGAGTAAACACTTAAAAGACTGAGAGTGACAACAGGGAGACACTTACCACTTCAGAGCTTTCCCCTGGTGCCGTAGGCGGCCATTGTCCTTTTTCATTTATATTATAAAGTTTGTCCCCCAACTGGTGTGCGTTTTGTTGGCTGCCTCTAAGTGTCCTTTGAGGAGCGCCTCGGTTCTTCCCTCATTCTCTTCTTTTCCATGAACTCTACAACCGCGTTCTCTGCTTTCTTCTCTTTGTGTTTTTTTAACTGCTCCATCTTCTACCGTACAATCAGACACCTCTGCTCTTCGGGTCCATTTTAACTCAGTGTTTCAGCGACAACTGCTTTCATCTTCCACCACTCTCCAAACTGCCCCGTCCTCTCACCACTCCCTCTTTTTTCTCCTCCCCTCCACTCTCCGGGGCCAGCTGCTCGTCAGCATGTATAGTATTACCCCCGGCTCCGGCCTTGTCTGCCATTAGATGCCCAGGAGAGCGAACCCTAGCCCAGATATCGATCCTCCGTTTGGTGTAACAGGAGATGCTCCCACGTGTCCTTCACAGCCTTAAGAGCCAGTGGAGCTAATGGAGCTCTGATAGTTTGAGGCTTTCAGCAACACTCTCATCCTACTCAGAAGTCTCCTCTCTAATATGCACAGACACATGAAACACTCACGTACTCTTAGACGGATGTATTTTCATTGAAACTTAGAAGCTCTTATGAGGTTTTTTCATCCTTATTCTGTGCAGCCTTGTGCTGCCTGTACATTGATGATGGTAAATGATGAAACTGTGTATTTCCACTTGAATAATGCTGTGTTTTATCTCTGTACTCACCGACACTTCTTGCATGTTGATCAGCTGATTTACTAAAACAACCTGCCCAGTTCTGTGACAATATATACTGTGAAACCATAGACATTTGTGAGGGATTTCTTGGATTTCTTTAGGTATTTGATTGGCCAAAAACAGATACTTAAAACTGTTTTTTTAATCTATAAACAGGTTTTCAATTAGATGTCAAGTGTAAAATGTATATCAGTGTAAAATGGCACACACAGTGACAGCTCTAATCAATATCAAACACTCCTGCATCCAACCATATGAACTCTGATGTATGCTCTACACTCAGGAGTGGCAAAACTCAATCCAGAAGAATGCTGGTCTGGCCTTCATTGAGCTCATCAACGAGGGAAGGTAATCCATCACACAGACTGATTATCACCCCATATAATTCCCTGTGATTCACACATTAACAGCAACACTGTTATCAGTGCTCCACAACTAATGGCTGTGGTAGAGCCCTAATGAGAACCTTGCCAAGATAAGTGCAAAGTGCCACGTGTGTTCAGTGGGAAGTGGAATCATTACAGTGCAATTAAGTGTACAATTGATCTGTGCTGGCCTATTTTCAGTGGCCACAATCTTGTTCTTTTAATCCAAACTGTAGTGTGTGTAATTAAAGTACAACACCAAAAAGGAAGCTACTTCTCAAACATACTGTTTAGTCATACATACAGGCATAAGCATCAGCAGCAGATGGACCAGTCTGGTTGATGTAATTTACAAGAGGCTGCCATATTGAGGAAAACTTGCTTACATTCCCACTCATTGAGAAGTCAGTTTATTCTAAATGGAGGAGTTGCTGATGACTGTAATGTTTGTCGCTCTCTTCACTCCTGCACCAGACTTCTGTGCCACGCCATGAAGGATCATATTGTTCGTGTTGCCAACGAAGCAGAGTTCATCTTGAACAGACAGAGGGCTGAGGATGTGCACAAACATGCTGAATTTGAGGTAAACACACAGAGCATCACATTTGTCTGACGTGATTTGACACAATTAAATCTACAGTACGGAACTTGTATAGAAATTTTTTTGACTTTTTGTCATGCTTGCTGAAACTGTCACTATATCCTGACAGCACTACATGAGACAGATTATCTGTGAGAAAATCAGGTTCCTCTGCCCCCTCGTAGTGCTGCTAATGGCCTTTTTAAGAATCTATTGCACCTGATCGAAAACAACCAATCAAAGACAGGGGGGAGTCTCTAATGCCATGTCAGTCACTGCTTATGCACACACTGTGCAGCCCCCCTTCCCCTAACTCCCAAATAGGATTTCTTTAGTGTTCTTTGTTCAGGAGATTTTTACCGGGAGCCTATTTCTCCATCCAAATGTCCACCCTGAGCCCTCACAAACTTCACTTGTACATAGAATGACGTATTTACAGTCATCACATAGTCTGTGAAGGCAGAGACTGCAAGCAGCTAATAGACAGCCCTCCAGACTGTTTTTCTCATTGCCGTGGAAACATTTAACGCCGCTGTCATATTCACATATATGTCATATAAGTCGATAATTAGTGCCTGCTCATCTGTTCCTGCAGAGAACAAGATATAAATCCCATGTACAGCCTTTTTTGTGACCAAACAGAAATGTAGGGTAGTGATACATCTCCATGTAACAAGCTACACATTCAAAAACAGAAATGTCTGTAAATAAAAACAGGACTATAACTCAATAGATTGAGTATTACTTACATTAGAAGACCTTCTTTTGTGTTTTTCTGCCAATTTTTGTAGCCTATTACACTGTGCAGCCTCAATAATAAAATGCATTTTCAGTCCCCCCACAGCCTACTTACACATATCTCTGTATCATGATGTGGTTAAATATACTTCTGGCCTTCACGATAGAATGACACGATATAATTTTAATAGGCCTAAATATCCAATCCAGTATCTTCATCTTCTTCATCTTCTAACCGCTTCATCCTCTTGAGGGTCGCGGGGGGGGGGGATCCCAGCTGACATCGGGCGAGAGGCAGGGTACACCCTGGACAGGTCACCAGACTATCGCAGGGCTGACACATAGAGACAAACAACCATTCACGCTCACATTCACACCTACGGACAATTTAGAGTTATCAATTAACCTAGTCCCCAATCTGCATGTCTTTGGACTGTGGGAGGAAGCCGGAGTGCCCGGAGAGAACCCACGCTGACACGGGGGCCTGACAGTAACACTCACTTGTTTCTTACTGTTTCTATTCACTCTATTCACACGGGGAGAACATGCAAACTCCACACAGAAGGGCTCCCCCGCCCGGGATCGAACCGGCAACCCTCTTGCTGTGAGGCGAGAGTGCTAACCACCACACCACCGTGCCGCCCCAATCCAATATCCAATATCCAATATCCTAAATATCCACAAGTTGTTGTTTTTTGCGGCAATGGAAATAAAACACAAAGTCACACTCGTATTGCAATGAATTGTGGGTTGTCAAGTCAGTTAAGTCAGCACCCCAAGCGGACTCTCTGAAAGTCTGCAGAAAGTCTGCTTGAGGCTCCTTCTGGACCGGATGAATTGTAGCTTTGGGCAGCCGTAAGCACTCCCAGACTTCCCAGGAACACGCCTGCAAAGTCCATAAGCCTGCAAGTGTGTTGAAGTCTGGACTTTTGGATTCAGCCTAATTATCTGAAGAGGTCTCTTCCTCTCCTAAACAAATGGGCCAGGTGATCATCATTCATCATCAAACATCAGTTTTGAATCCTTTCAGAGTCTGTAGCTCACTCCACCTTGGAAAAGCCTCTTCAATGTTTACCCTTGTTCCAGCTTAGGCTCGGTTTAACACTTTTCTTTAAGCTTACTCTTTGTCATTGATTGTCCTCTGTTTGCTTGTCTTTGCCATGTACGTACTCAGGCGTGGTTTTGCATATGTCATTAGGTGCTCCTAATAGAAGGAGCCAGAGGATGACAGATTACCTGTCACTTGTACTCCTGTTGAGATGTAGTGAAGTAGATGATTCTGAAAAAAGTTATTTTTTATAAAATCTAAAGCCTGCGAATAAAGATCATGTGAAGTGGCTAATATGTAAATGCTCATTGTTGTTACTGGTTGTCACTCACAATTGCCTGGATTTTTTTTAATTAGCACCTCCAATGAGTACATTTAAACAGATTTGCTGTTCTCATGCATCAATTAGTGTTTTAGGAGTACATACTGTACAGCAACTGCCTCCTCGTCACCACGATCTCCACATCTCTGACAGTAACACTCACTTGTTTCTTACTGTTTCTATTCACTCTTTACCTCCCACTCTCCTCCAGTCTAACTGTGCCCAGTACGCCGCAGATCGGAGAGAGGAGGAGAAAATGTGCGATCACCTCATCAGCGCTGCTAAGCACCGAGATCACGTGACTGCCAACCAGCTGAAACAGAAGATCCTCAACATCCTCACCAATAAGCACGGAGCGTGGGGGACAATGTCACAGAGGTGAGCGGGAGATGCGAGGAACTGCGTGTCAAATTATACCCCGGGACATTTTTAGATTGCTGTTCCACAGGATGTCATTTGACAGCAGACGTTACAGCGGTTGAGTGCACACTGAGCGCTTCTTGCATATAATGAGAAAATGCTATCAGTATGTATAGTGGGGCTTTTATTTGTGTAAAAGTAGTGTCATTTACGTCGTAAATTCAAAAGCCAGAAGAGTCAGAAAATCCATTTCCAGTTTTCAGATCATGGATACGATCAGTGCGGAAATACAGACATTTATAAAAGATGATATGGTACGTGTACAGCGGGCTCTGTGAAACAATCAAGCCTTATTTAACATAATTTATTGAACATCATCTTCAGCACACACAGACAGCTGAACGCTAACACCACAGCTGCCTGGTAGTTGTGTAAGACTGATCTCCTTATTTAGCACACTCATGTACACACATTAAATCAATGATTGCTTGTTATCCAGCTCTGCCTCCAGACTTAGGGGGGACATGTGATTTAATTTGAGGACATGTGACATGCAACATCTGAAGCCTGTCTTCCTCATGTCACTGTTGATTAAGTATAATTGCATGCCACAAAGTGCATGCTGTTAATAAACACCTTTTGCACTCAGATGAAAAATTAATTAAAGTTAAATTGCATCTGAAGTGGTCTGGCCTCGATTGTATTTTTAACATTTGTTCACATTAGCATAATGCTTGTTGAAAATCCCAACAACACTTGCATGACTAAACCTTTTCTTTTCATGTGTTTTCCTGGCTCTGGGGTACAGAAGTCACTCTAATGTTTTTCTCCTCGCCTTAAAGCCAGTTATTGGTGTTTGCAGAGTTGGAAAGGTTTGTCAAACACACCCCTCTGGTCAGATACTGCCCTTTATCCCAATAAAGAGGAACCTTTCAACTGTCGGAAATTAGTTTTGGAAGTTTCTCGCGTAAATGTCATCTGTAACTTCGACTCCAACTTTATTGTCCCTGAAGAAAAAAAGTCCTAAAGTGCACACCTTGTTTCCCTCACCACTGAAATTACTCATCTTTGCCCCTCCCTTTTTATGTCTTCAGCCAATTACATGACTTCTGGCGTCTAGACTACTGGGAGGACGACCTGAGGAGGAGACGGAGATTTGTGCGAAATGCATCTGGATCCACTCACGCCGACGTGCCACTCAAAACTCTGGAGGACTACGGTCAGTAACGTGTACTGATATAAACATGATGCACTTGGTCAGTACGTTCCTTTTGCATGCACTCACATGAACACTTACAAACACACCCGAACAGGTTCAGAAGAAGATGAAGAGGGGCTTAAGTCGAAGAAGACTTTCCGCAGCCAATCAGTGGTCACCCAGAACCCAGAGGCGGAGTTAATGCTGGAGGGAGATGATGACGCTGTCAGCCTGCTGCAGGAAAAAGAGATTGATAACCTTGCAGGTAAGATGCACGCACCTAAACACACACACAACACTACAGTACGACTGAACAGTAAACTGTCTATGACTCTTGTTTTTAGTACGTTTCCGTCCAAGACTTTTTACCTCCAAAGGCAAGTTGGACATTTGGAAGTTTTGCCGCTGCACTAACCATCCAGCTGATTATCTGACTCAAGAAGATCATAAATCATAATTCACTAAAAACTGATGCAAATCGAGCTAAATGCGTGATTTAATCCAGTGGTTCCCCTCTTACTTACACACCTGATTTGTTCTTTAAACAGTAGGCAAAATAGAAGAAGCAAATAAATCATCAGTTTTGATTAACATGAAATAAATTATCTGCTGTTTGTGACAAATCCATGTTACTGTTGTGTATTATGAGCTTGTCAGTGCTACGAATACCTAAAGTACTGATACCTGAGTCATACATTTGTCCCCCCCAGGCCCTGTGGTTCTGAGCACTCCAGCTCAGTTAGTAGCTCCAGTGGTGGTGGCTCGAGGCACTCTGTCCATCACTACCACTGAGATCTACTTTGAGGTGGATGAGGAGGATCCTACATTCAAGACGACTGATGCCAAAGTAAGGGCAAGCTGTCTATATTATTAAAAAAGATCAGGTTTAGACTACATTCTCTGGGAGATTGTGATAGGTCATGTCCAACATCAACAGGTACTGGCCTACTCAGAGGGTCTGCACGGTAAATGGATGTTCAGTGAGATCCGAGCTGTGTTCTCCAGACGCTACCTGCTGCAGAATACCGGACTGGAGGTCTTCATGGCCAACAGAAGTAAGTCTGCAGATTTCGTCTTGCTCGCATTAACATACTCACATTCACTGATTTCTCGATACTGTATGCACCTGCTATCAAAAGTCTGTCACAGGCTCCCAGCCACTGATAGTATAAATGAATATTTGCCATCAATATAGTCAACTTGTCAAGACTATCAATAAATAAGTGGCATGGCAGGTTGGCAAAAACATGACATATGCAAACAGTGTATCTTTAATCCACTTAAAGTTCAGGTTAAGCACTTTTTGTCCTCGCCGCACGCTCTTGACAGCCATGGCAGGAGGCATTATGTTTTTAGGATGTCCGTCTAATTCTTGTGAGCACAGTGTCTCAGGAACGCCTTGAGGGATTTCTTCAAATTTGCCACGAACATCCTCTTGGACTTAGGGCTGAACTTATTAAATTTTGGTGGTCAAGTATCGAAGGTCACTGTGACCTCACGAAACACATTTTTTGGCCATAACTCAAGAATTCACAAGTTAATTGTGACAAAATTTCACACAAATGTCTAAAAGGATAAAAATGTTGAAGTGATGATATTCTACATCTGAAAGGTCAAAGGTCAACTTAACCGTGGCATCATAATGTTGCAAAAAGAAACAAACAAAAAGCACTTTTCTGGTGACATTAATCTTAGTTGTCCACCTTGAAACTATGCTGATTGTATAGATCTGTGCTGCCAGGTTGTAGATGTGTGTGAAGCCTCCATGTTTTGCCAAAAAATAGCTTTTATTAATTTCCTTAAAAGTCTTCAATACATATATCATTTAAGTCTGGACAGGGATGGACGCAAACTGTAACTGTAACTGTAACTTGACTGGTTATTGGAGGCAGAGAACCACAACATTAGTTGACATGGCGAGTGATTGACTTTATGTTGTGTATATGCTGACTATATCTTCCTCTCTCCAGCGTCTGTGATGTTTAACTTCCCTGACCAGGCCACGGTCAAAAGGGTGGTCTACAGTCTCCCACGGGTCGGGGTAGGAACGAGTTACGGTTTGCCACAGGCAAGGTGAGTCCAGGGTTTAATCCACTGCTCCATCACTATTCTGCATGAGAGACGCATCTTCTTCCTGGTGGGATAGAAAGGACCTTCAATGTGTGTGTGTGTGTGTCCCAGGCGGATTTCCTTGGCCACCCCTCGTCAGCTCTTCAAGTCGTCCAACATGACGCAGCGCTGGCAGAGGAGAGAGATCTCCAACTTTGAGTACCTCATGTTCCTCAACACTATTGCAGGTAAAGCTTTCAATCATAATTCATGAGCTGTCGTTCTGCTGCCAGGTTTGCCGTTGTGGATTTTAGCCTCTAAATAATATTTGGACCAGTTAGTAATCAAACACACAGCCCTGTTTAATGCAGCCGTCTGTGTTCTCAGACCAAACAATAAGTTGAGAGAATACTTCCTGTTTCCTTCCTTGTCTCTCTTTCTGCTGTGTGATGTTGACATTTTCTGGCTTATTTGCTGTGAAGATTTTCCTAATGTGACCTTGTTTGGTTGCTCTGACAGTCCCTGTTGTGCTGTGTTGTTCAAAAATAACTGCACAAACAGAAATTGCAGACTCACCTTGTTTGTATTTCTCTCTGTGTATAAAAAGACTTCATAGAAGAGACCAGACGAAGAAACTGGAAGATTTGAATAAGACAAACCTTTGTCAGCTACAGTTCCAGCACAGCTGCAGTTTCCATAACAACAGTCACCAGTTTGACCTGTAAATACATATACCTACAAAAATATATGAATAAAAGCAGCCACAGTGACAATGGACGAATTGATTTGAGCAATGCATTGAAAATAATAACTGCAGCTACACATTTGCTATTTTATTGTGTTTATAAATCCCATATGTTCTTAAAAATTACATATATGTGTGTAATAGAAATGTAGAATGAGTTTCAAATACACATCTAGATAAATGCCAGCCATTGAAATTGTCTTCATCAATCAATCAATAAAACAGTATTATATTTGGATGTAGGGTTTTTTTCTGGGGCCTCTCTGCCTTTCCTAGGCCTATGCAGAAAGCCTCTTCTTCCATGTGCCTATGTGGAAAGCCTTAAGGCAGAGAGAGCACACCTCTCTGCCCTTCCACGTGCAAACGAGGAAAGCCTGAGACAGAGAGCAAACCTCCCTGCCCTTCCATGTGCCTACATTGAAAAGCTAAGGCAGGGAGAGCAGCAGCAAAGACCCCCCAGGAACAGAACTGAGCAGCATCAATGACAAACAGAAATGACATTGATAAGTCAGACACAGCATGAAAAGGAGGAGCTGGGGTGGAGGCAGCTTGCAAAGCAGCTTGCAGAGGAAGCAGCAACAGTAGGCAGACAAAAGCAGTTTAAATAGGGCGCCCTGAATGAGATTTGCCAATTGGTTGCATAGAAAGGAATCATGTGATCTATCAGCTGACTCACATGCGTCAGTCAGCTGATTCATCAGTTGATTGGGCTATTTGAGATCAGCTGATGTAGCTAGGATGTGAGCTGAGCGTGACATCGTGTCCTGCCTGAACCAGTGCTATGCTGAATTTGTACAGCACCTTTCAAACAAATCAATGCATGTCAAAGAGCTTTACAAGTGATTGACAAAAAGGATATTAAAAAAAGTTAAATGTCAAATAAGGTGGAAAAAATCATAGTGATCAACAATAACATTTAAATAATGATGATATTAGAATAGGTAAAGATAATAAAACCACATAAGTATAAAACACTACATAAAAGCCAGACTAAATAGATGGGTTTTTAGTTTACTTTTAAAAATATCAATATTTTCAGCTCCTCTCAGATCCTCTGGAGCGAAAAAACTAATAGTCAACCAGTGTAATGACTTAAAAATAGGTTTTATGTGTGCTCTCCTTCTGGCCTTAGTCAGCACTCATGCAGCAGAATTTTTGAATTCATTGTACCTCATTTATTTAAACATCTTTACATATGCTGTAGCAGTTTGTCAACAGCTTGTGCTTTTATGCCTCTCCACTGGAAATGTCTTTTATCACATGAACATACAACCTTTGTTGGTGTAATTTTGATACCAGTTTGGCACCTATTCTTTGCTCGCATCAGGACGTTTGTCTCATTAATTAAACGTTTGAACATTGTATACCAGGCGGGTAGGTTTTGACACCTGATAATTTGTAAATGCAAAACAGATGTAGGGATACACAGACCAATAATAAAGCATGTCATCGTAATACGGGACCTTCTTGTGACACAACTATAAATTATAATGGAAAAATACCACTTTCTCCTCCTCCCCGATGTCTTTTGTCCCTGCAGGGAGGACCTATAATGATTTGAATCAGTACCCCATCTTCCCCTGGGTCTTGACCAACTATGATTCAGAGGAGCTCGATCTCACTCTACCCGGCAACTTCAGAGACCTCTCCAAGGTTGGAGCACTCTGACACACACAGACTTAATGCACTTTTTCCAATGAATAACACGTGTGCTACTAGGATGATGCTGTAAACCAGAATTAGGGGAGAATACAGGTCAAGCTGTCCCACTCATATACCGAGGCTTAGTGGGAATCTCTCTGTGTTGCAGTTTCACCAATTAGAGTCAGAACAAAGCCACATAATATCACTGTAGATGTAAATCCCTTCATTCCCTCCTCTGGCAGAGGATCAGAACTAGTTTTACTGTCTAAGCATTGACCATTTTAAAGAACAATGTATGATCTGCTTCCTTAAAGGAAAAGAAGACAACTGCATGTATGGTTTCTCATGTATTAATTGACTTAATCTGATTATTTGTCTCTGGTTTCATCCAGCCAATCGGTGCACTGAATCCCAAGCGAGCAGCGTTTTATGCAGAACGCTACGAGACGTGGGACGACGACAGCACGCCTCCTCACCACTATACAACCCTGTACTCCACTGCTCATTCAACACTGATGTGGATGCTCAGAATAGTAAGTACCTGCTGCACTTCACACACTCACAGGCCTCAACCTTCAGCAGCCGCCTGAGCACATGGCAGAGATCCAAGGCTTCTGTGTTAAATGAATGTGTCCATTCGTGTGCCTGCAGGAGCCCTTTACCACGTTTTTCCTCAACGCTAACGATAACAAGTTCGACCATCCGGACAGAGCCTTCTCTGGCATCGGCTGCTCGTGGAGGAACTGCCAGAGGGACACAGCTGATGTCAAGGTAACTTTTAAATCAGCTGAAAGAACGTCCTACTTAAGCGACTGGTTAGGGTTATTATAAAACAATAACAATCAGCCTGAAACGCACAACTGTGTTTTTCCAGCTAATTAGGTTAAAGGATGAAAGAGCTTGAAAACATTAAAGTATGAGGAATGTCATCAAGCACATTGCCCTTTAGCCCTTTAATAAACAATGTGTTCCTACCGTGTCTACCAGGAGCTGATCCCAGAATTCTACTACTTGCCTGAGATGTTTGTCAACAGTAATGAGTACGAGCTCGGGGTGCGTGATGATGGAGTTCCTGTGTGCGACGTGGAGCTTCCTGCCTGGGCCAAGAAACCAGAAGACTTTGTCCGCATTAACCGGATGGTGAGAAACAAAGAAAATGTAAAAAGCCAAAAGAAAAACCTGTCTGTCTTTAAATCTTCCACAGAGACACTGAACATATTCTTCACTCTCTCCTCCTTCCTCTTTCTGCACCTTTCACTTCGACCAGGCGTTGGAGAGCGAGTTTGTGTCGTGCCAGCTTCACCAGTGGATTGATTTAATATTTGGCTACAAGCAGAGAGGGCCGGAAGCAGTCCGAGCTCTCAATGTGTTCAACTTCTTGTCTTACGAGGGAGCGATCAACCTAGACAATGCAGATGCTACGCAGCGTGAGGTCAGTTTCTATGACAACTGATGGCTCTTGTTTGACTCACAATTTGATTATTTCAATGCAGAAATCTCCCTCTCATGAGTGTCTCATGCCAGGATGGAGAGTGGTGTCTTCAAGATCATATGGAAATATCAGATTGATGATTGATTTTTTAAAATAGTTCTCCAAGGGATGAATTCAAAGTATATGCATGGATTTCAGGAAGCATACACAGGAGATAGACATGCATATTTAGGGAAATGAATGTCAAGAAAGTGCAGGGGAAGGTAAAAGGGGGCATGCTGCTTGTCTCAACTTTTTTTTTTTTTTTTTTGTTTCTCAAATATGTATAACCTTGTTCTTCCTCTCCTTTCTCTATTTCTCCAACTGCAGCTGATTGAATCCCAGATTCAGGCGTGTGGTCAGATCCCCTCCCAGCTACTGATTGAGCCACATCCACCTCGCTCCTCGGCCATGCACCTGGTGAGAACACCTCAACATCCTTAGCAAGTCTTGCTTTAGGTTAAGGTTTCATGACAGCAACTTCTGTATATGCTGACAAAAAACGTCCTTGAAAGGACTGCTGAAACACAAATCAGAAATATAGTCTAAGTTAAAGTTTATTATAGCACGTTATCAAAAAGTAGGTCTCAAAGGGCCTACTTTTGTATCTAAAATTGAACAATAATGAGCATTAGCAGAATATAAAAGGTGAGATAAAATGAATATAAAACATTGTAGCTAAATATTCAAAATTATATTTTAAAAAATGTGCGGTAAAATACAACAGTATAAAATATGCAGATAAAAACTGTGCATTTACCAAGATACAGGTAAAAAAAAATCACACATTCAGAAAAGTATATCACATACGTAACAGTAAGCAAAAACATCTGAATATAAACTGGATAAGTGTTGTCAAGTTCTTTGGGCAGACTAAATGAGGTTGGCAACTGATACGAATAGATATGCTTTGAGTTTGCTTTTGAACTGAGCGAGCCTCTGGAATTTGGATAGGAGGAAGGTGATTCCAGAGAAGAGGGTCTTGGTAAGAGAAAGCTCTGCAACCTACTGATGTTTTGTTGATTAATGAATCAGGGGGCAAATGTGAATAGAGAAAAGAACAGGACCAAGCACAGATCCTTGTGGCACACCATAACTGACCTTGGCGTGGTCTGATGAACAGTTGTTGTGTAAAACAAAGTGAGATCTGTCGTTTATTATGACTTAAACCAGCAGAGAGCAGTGTCAGTGAGACCAGTGTGACTTTTTAGACCAGTGGTTCTCAATTGGTGGGTCGAGGTCCAAAAATGGGTCACAGGACTATTCTGAATGGACCACAAGCGACTCGTGAATGTGTGAAGTTTGTAAAAAACGCACTTTGCAGTAAGCTGAATTTCTGGCACAGAGCTTTATTTTGAAGATCCACTTCCTGCTGTAAAGTGAGTGATTAACAGGCTGTGTCTTAACAGAGACAGCAAACTAGCTTGATGACGTGACCAAACATGAGTATGACGCTGAACATATTAAACTGTGTGAACCCCAAGCTAATGACTAAGGAAAAATCTGGATCCCATGGCTGGACCAGTTGGTGCACAAATCTCTGTTATTTTGAGAAGTTGTTATTGAGAAAATGTTCACTTTGGGAAAGGGAAGTGAGTTTTCATCAGTGTTTCTCTTTTTTATAGACAGTAGAGGTTTATTTTTCATATTTATAACACATTTTATATACCAATTGTGAGACTCTATTACATACAAGTGTATGTAATGATGTTTTTTCACAGCAAGTTCTGCCCTGGTTTTTAGCCTCTCTGTCCTCCCTGCCACCCTCAGCAGAACGAGGCCTCAGTGTCTCCACATCAGAGCCATCCATGTCAACCCAAACCTGTCAGTCCCAAACCCCAACCAACCAGTGCCTCCACCTCCTCTCCTAGGCCTAAAGCCACCCTCAGTGTGTGTACCTGCGCTGACCCTGTGCTCCCACTAATATACCTTTTCCCTTCCCCCCCTCTGTCCCATCTGTTCTGTCTCTCCCTCTACCTCCGTCTCCATTTCCCCTCCTCCTCCTCCTCCTCCTCCTCTCTCCTCCTGACCTTCCCTCCCTGCTCTGCCCTCCTCTTCCTCTCTGCCCCCCCTCTCTTTCTCTCTGTCTGTCTCACCAGTGTTTCCTTCCTCAGAGCCCACTGATGTTTAAGGATCAGATGCAGCAGGATGTCATCATGGTGCTCAAGTTCCCCTCCAACTCCCCCGTCACTCACGTTGCCGCCAACACGCTGCCCCACCTCAGCATACCAGCAGCCGTCACAGTCACATGTAGCCGGCTGTTTGCCGTCAACCGCTGGCACAACACAGTCGGTAAGCATGTTAAAAAAAAAAAATTATCTTAGCATAGAAATTAAAATCCAAATCACCTCAGTTATACCTTTTTGAAAGGCACAGCATCACATTATATCATCTTTACAGTATATAGCGTTGCTATTTTAGCTATTTTGAGCAATTTTCTAAAAACTACACTACATATATTCACATAAATCAGATAATGAAAATATCAGTAGCCACACAATGAAGACAAACTTTTGAAAGATGTCTGAAGATGCTTGTAAACTCAGGGAAATGTTTATTTCAGCTGCAGCTATTGAGCTGATTTGTATTTTATTATATTAGTGTTTACTCTTATTTTTGTCCACATGTTGGCATAGAAATATTTGTTAATTAAATCCTCAATTAACCTCTAATGACCTCATTAGCACAGCGGGGTAGGTTAAATGAATCGTAGTAATGTAATTATGGAGGGCCATAAGGCAGCTCAAGTGACTTTTGTTATTGAGGCTATTATTTTTTAACTTAAGCCTGCATCAGGGCTTTCATCAGAGAGCACTCGACCAGGGGATTATATGAGAGGGTGTTATTTAGCTTTTATCTTCACCGTTTTATGATGTGTGCATGTGCGGGTGTGTGCATGTTTGACCGTCTGTGACGTATGACCCTTATATCCTTCAGGCCTCCGTGGAGCTCCAGGATACTCCCTAGAGCAGGCTCATCATCTACCCATTGAGATGGACCCTCTCATAGGTCAGTGCACAGAAATCTCCACAGCACATTTAATTGGTTTTATGTAATGATACTATTAAAGACACAAGTAGTGGGACTGAAGTCAATATATCACATTATACACTCAGGATTTATGCACATATATTGCTGAGACAGAAGCTGCAGAACTGACCCGAGTGATAAAAGATCAGGAAAGGTTTGAGGTCATTCGAACCGTATCGTATTCTTATGCCCTCATTAACCTACTGACATCTCTGTGCTCCCACGTAGCAAACAACTCAGGCGTGAACAAGCGTCAGATCACTGACCTCGTGGACCAGAGCATCCAAATCAACACACACTGTTTTGTGGTTACTGCCGACAACCGCTACATCCTGGTCTGCGGCTTCTGGGACAAGAGCTTCCGTGTTTACTCCACTGAAACTGGTAGGTTTTGTAATATTTAAGAGACATGCTGAGCATCGAGTACCGTAGAAATTTAGTCTTAGCTGGCAGGTGTGTGTGTTGTTGTTGTTTTATTACAGGTAAATAATAATACAGAAAGTACAGTTCACAACATGACATGACAATAAGGTCTCACAAAGAGAAGCAAAACAAAACAAAAGTTAGACTTACACAGACCAAAGTGGATAAAAGAAAAGACATATAAAGGTTAGTGGGATCAAATCAGTAATTCAAATGATTAAGTTAATAGTACTAGTAATAAAAATTAAAAAATAATTAAGTTTACAGTATATGGTGGATAGAGTGTAATTATAATTCTATATACTTCCACTTTCCACTACAGCAAATCTCCCATTTCATATTATGTTGTACTACTTTACAATGTTTTTTTTCCCATGAGAAATTTTTTTTCAGGACTTAAATTCAATTTTTTTCTTGATTGAGCTTTAAATGAAAATATTTTACTCAACTGAATAATTGTATTTATTATCTGGGGACAGTTTTCATCCAGGACCCCTACTATAAAATATTTAAGTGTTAGTTCAACAGAATTGTTGAGAGGCCCCAGCCACACTTGGATATTGGTCCAGAGACCTGCAACATAAGGGCAGTAGAAAAACAAATGCAGCTGGTCTTCCTCTTCCTCTTTGTAGAATCTACATAGTGAGGATTTTTCAATATTAAACATATGAAGTTGTTTTTTGTAGGAACAATTTTAAAGAAAATCTTCAGTTGGAAAAATTCTGGAGTAAGAATCCATTGTTGTTTTGTAAATTGTAAAAAAAAAAAAAAAAAAAAATCCAAGGTATCAAAATGTTAAATTTGTCTTCCCAAAGAGAACAGATTGTATGAGGGAAGGGAGTAAGACCACTACTCTGTAAAATAAGATTATAAATTGATTTATTTATCTTTATTTTGGGCAGACCTGTTGTCCACCTTTTCCAGCATTACAGATTTGACCACACATATAGCAGAACTGATGGTATGACAGAAAACTAACTAGTATATCATTAAAAAAAAAAAAAAAATTCAGTTTTTTTGAGTGTTCCCCATAGGGCTCCCCATCTATCAACTTTGGATATCCTCTAGGGTGTCTGGGGGGTAATACTAGAAACTCAACCAAGCCTTCAATGCATCTTTGAAAAAGGGAGAAAGATTTGCTGATATTCTTTTAAATAAGCATTTAAAGTCTTAACATTTTAACTGAAAAAAGGGAAAACTATCTTGCTATCAAAAAATTGGTACACAGAAGATAAATACTGACTTGGTCCTTTGTTTGAATGTGGGTCATGTTACTCATGCATTTGTAGTTTTATTTAGGTTTGTTCGGATTTATTGCTCTAGGAGAGATTTAGAATCCCATTTTTTATAACGCACTTGGGCACAAAGTAAATTTTTGTATTTATCAGTCGTGAAGTTTAGTGATTTAGATTTAATAACACTAATCTCCTTGTTTAAGTCGTGTATTTTTATCCTGGAAGTTCAGCTCCCGTGGCCTTCAAACATATGAGTAGAGGTCACACACTAACTTAGACGACTTCCTCCTTCCTCCCCTCAGGAAAGCTGACCCAGATAGTTTTTGGCCACTGGGATGTAGTGACGTGTCTGGCCAGGTCAGAGTCCTACATCGGAGGAGACTGCTACATCGTGTCAGGCTCCAGAGATGCCACTCTTCTTCTTTGGTACTGGAGTGGACGACACCACATTATCGGGGACAACCCTAACAACAGTGAGTGGGAACAACGTGTGAATGTTTGTCTCAGTGTAGACATGAGTGTGTGCCTGGCTTAGTTTAGAGAACACTACAGCTCCCAGAGGTTTATGAGTCTGTAACTTCTCTTCCAGGTGACTACCCTGCTCCCAGGGCAGTACTGACAGGCCATGACCACGAGGTGGTGTGTGTGTCCGTCTGTGCGGAGCTGGGATTGGTCATCAGTGGAGCTAAAGGTTTGTCTGCCTCTCTCCTGAGAGAGATTTTTTATTTTACATTTTCTGTTTTCAACAAAGTATGTTTTTAGATTTTAGGCTGATATTTCCAAACAAGTATATTAATAACTGACCTCACAATGTTTAACTTTACCATCACTAAAGCTTTTCGATTTAAAAAAAAATAGCTTCTTCAATATCTTGCTTTGGTCTTGCTCCTCAGAGGGCCCATGCCTGGTTCACACCATCACAGGGGACCTGCTAAGGGCCCTGGAGGGGCCAGAGCTGTGCCAGCGGCCCCGCCTCATCTCAGTGTCCAGCGAGGGCCATTGCATCATCTACTATGAGAGAGGTCGTTTCTGCAACTTCAGCATAAATGGAAAACTGCTGGCACAAATGGAGGTCAATGATTCCACACGGGTAAGGCTGCTGAGTTAATACTGTTTATGTAAACACACTGTAATATCCTTGTCCTTATTTACTCCTAAACAATGCAGTATATTGTTATCCAACACACTGGAGCCCTTGAGTCTATTTTGACTTTTCTCTCTCTCTTCTTTTTCTGTCTCCAGGCGATCCTGTTGAGCAGCGACGGGCAGAACTTGGTGACAGGAGGTGATAACGGAGTTGTGGAAGTGTGGCAGGCGTGCGACTTCAAACAGCTTTACATCTATCCAGGCTGTGACGCAGGCATCCGTGCCATGGACCTCTCACATGACCAGAGGTAAAACAGACAGGGTGCCACTCTGACAGACACAAGAAGATGCAGACTGTGTTGTTGGGAAAACTGGGTCACCTCAAAGTGGGCAGTAGAGAATACTGAATGATCAGTAAGGGGGCAGTTATGTACCCAAACCTCAGACGATGTCCTAGGCTCAGGGAAATGTGCAATGTTTGATGCACTGCAGACTACAAAAAAGAGTACTTTACTGAGCATGTGTATAGTTTGGTTTGCTGATCTGACTTTCTGTGTGCTCTGCCCTCAGGACTCTGATCACTGGCATGGCGTCCGGCAGCATTGTTGCATTCAACATAGACTTCAACCGCTGGCACTACGAACACCAGAACAGGTACTGAGGTGGACAGCGTGAGGAAGAGGAGGATGGTGAGAGGAGAGATGAACAAGAGGGAGAGGAGATGATGCATTCTGCTGCCTATCTGCAACGTGGGGAAACTAAAGGTACCGAGAGGAAGGAAAAACACGTACCGGACCTTAGGCTCTAATCCCTTGTGAAGTTTACTTGATTTGAGGATGCGGCAGCGCTGGTGGAAATAACTTCCTCTGTGCATACGTGTACGTACACACACGTGTGTAACCACAGACACATAATACCCCGAAGATACACACCAAAACCTGCTAATGAAATAGACAGACTGCAGAATGGGGGAAAAAGAGCAAGTCAAGCAGACCTTGTAGAGGTCGATCATACCCGTACCACTCACAGGACTGGTGCAGTTGCCGTTCCTGGTACGCTTAATGCTTCACACACAAAGAACCTAAGTTTTATTTTCCCTTATATTTTTCTTCTCTATCAGTTTTGTTGTATACCTTTTCGTTTGCGGGGAGCTCCGTCTGGGAATTATTTGGGTGGACTATAAATTAAGACTCCTTCAACGTGTCTAAACTGATTAGAAATGGTCAGAAATGAACCAGCCCCACCCACTGTTCAAAAACCGGTGCTATTGGCTTGATCTTAAAATTCCCCCCCTTGAAAAATTGCCTGGGGTTTTAATTTCATTTGATTTAATTTGATTCTATCTTGGTTTTATTTTATTTTATAATGCTAATTTAATTTTTTTCTTTTACCCGCAGCAGGGTTAAATCTGATTCTTATGTAAATAAGGCTCTGCTTCCTTCAGAGTCTACACGTGTTCTTTCACTACACAAACTGCGCTTATCACCTTTAATTTATTAATGACTTGCTGTATGTAAAATATTGTGTAATAATTATTATAATGTTGACGAGACTGATGATAATAACGGCAGTGTCAAGGATGGTGATTGTTTTGCCGGAGATGGTAATGATAAAGAGATCTTGCCAGTGCCACCAAGGATGACAGCCACAAGACTGACATGATTTCCTTTGTATATTTGGTGATTGTTTTGTCAAATATGTACATATAGTCTTGGTTCAGGCTTGGTGGGAGACTTAATCAGCTGAATAAGACTGAAAGCGCAAAGGAAACCTTCACTTACCCACATTTGTTGATTATTTAAAAAAAGAGAATCGAATCAATGTAAAAGTTTGTTTTGTATTTGCACTTTGCACCAATCACATATCATTATTTATTAGCTTGGTTCTTTCTGGTCGGCTGCCATTTTGTTTAGGTCCATTTCCCCTTCGGGATTATTTGTGCATTGATGTTTGTATTTAAAGCGTTGAGCTCATGTGTGATTATTAGGTTTTACAACCTTACAGTTGTAAGCAATATCATGATTCTGTAGCTGATAGAGGTGGGAAGGAAGGAGGAGAGGGGATGAAATGTGAGATGTACTGTATGTGTGAAGCCATCTTGATCAAATGCGCACATGCACATACTCTATCGACAGGTTCAACTTACGTATCCAAAAAAAGGTTAAATATTTTTGGATCTATGAAACCCTAAAAACTATTGTATTCATGTTTTATTGCAAAGATGTAAAATATGACATGTGTGAGTTGAAAAAAAAAATCATGATAAGAAAAATAAAATATGCAAAGAATTTGATGACTTGACTTTTCATTGGTCGCATATTCTGTGTCACATAACCGTCTCTTCTTTGCCTCACGATGGTAGCACAGCAAAGAGTAAGAAATCAAGGACGCCTTATTGTAGCATTCATGAGACACCAATCTGAAAGAAATCCTCCTCCCCAAATGATTTCGAGAGACTCTTGAGTTAAAATGTTGAACTATAAACACACTTGAATACGTTGCTGAACTACCTGCTTTGCTGTGTTTTTTATTTCAGACTTCTATTACTGTCAGTCATGTTATGCAGCACTTCCTTAGAACACAGACTAAAGACATAGAGAGAACTGTTAGCTAAAAAAAAGTCCAGTTTTCATCTCCAGCACTAGATGCATGCTTTTTCCATCTGTAGGGTGTCATCCTGCATCTCCTGCTTGAGTTAAATCCAAGTTCCCTTGAGCATAGCATGTTACTCAAAGCCACTCCTGTGGAGCTTCTTAAAGGAAAAGTGTCAAGTTTTAGATGCGAGTTACAAGTTGCGGTCGACTTGTGCTCATGGTGCTGGGATTTTCAGGTAACGGGATATTAAAGCAGCAGACCCTGTAATCAAATAGAGATACAAGTAGGAATACATCCCATTAGCATTAAAAAGAGAACATGTGCAAAGTGTAAGAGAGGATGAAATCATTAGTGGCATTCATTTTGCAGACACAGGATACACAGTACAGTGGAGCATGTAGGGTAAAGTGTCCATGTAAGTATAAAGACACGGGTCACCCAAGCTGGAAATGAAAATATTTTAGTCTGCTTTGTATCATCACTTAATGAGGTCTCTGTTTGCAGGACTAGAACTACAAATAAGAGCTCCAATATAACAAAACAGACAATCAGTGGGTTCAGTCTTTTACTTCTTGATAGGCTTAAAAACAAATGCTCAGCAATTATTTCAAACTTGCATCTTTTGTACTACATTAAAGGGACAGTTCACCCCAAAATCAGAAATACATTTTTACTCTTAGCTGTAGTGCTATTTATCTGTCTAGGTTGTTGTGGTGTAAGTTGCGGAGTGTTGGAGATATCGGCCACAAAGATGTCTGCCTTCTCTACAATTTAATGGAACTAGATGGCATTCGACTCGTGGTGCTCAACCTGCCAAGAAACAATAGATAAATGAACATTCTTCTTCCAGAAATCATGATCTGATTACTCAACATCATCCACAGAACTTGTTTCAAGTAGGAAATATTTTCTTTCTACTGAACTACACCCGCCAATCGTACCACTGTGCTGAAGGAGGTGTGCATCTAATGCTAGCTCAACTAGCACCACTGAGCTAGCTAACATTACAGCTCATCTGAGGAGGAAAGCACTATTGTTTACATCTTTCACTGTCATGAGCACAAACCTTTCGTCCATGAGTCGATGCACACCTCCTTCTGTGCAACGACACAGTTGGCGGGTGTACTTTGGTAGAGAGAAAATAGCTCCTACATTAAACCGCTTACGACGAGGTCTGTGGATTATTTTCAAGTAACCCAGTCATGATTTTTGGAAGGAGACATTGCTGTTGAGTTTTTCAATTGTATTTTATTTGGGCACTTAAAGTCCCATAAGCTGAGTGTCATCTGCTTCCATTGTATTTTAGAGAAAGCAAACATTTCTACAGCTGATATCTCCAACACTCTGCAGCTCACACCAAAACAATCTAGACAGATAACGGCACTACAGGTAAAAGGGAAAAATATGTATTTTTAATTTGGCGGTGAACTATCCCTTTAAAACAAAAAGGTTCTTGGCATAAAAACCTCTTGACTGTGTGCATACGACTCATCAAAAGCTGACATAATGAACCAGTAGTCAACACTGACTATACATGGAGGAACTAAAGAGATTGGCTGACACAGTATTACCACCTGTGAAACACTCATTGTGAGAGCAATGAGGATTTGTCAATAAGAGCGCCGGCAGTTCAGACTCTTTGTATTGTTCGTGGCCTCGTAGCTGTCATCACCGCCCTCCAAGCCTTCAGTTGTGATTACATTTTATGGAAAAGTGTTACAAAGATGAATGAACCTCTTTCTAATCATTTGCTCTGAGTGTGTGGTGTACTTTTGTTGCCCTGTCAAAAAAAACTACACCTCACAGTATTAAAACTAAGATGATGTCTTTTGAGCAGAAACAACCATTACCGAAGCTTAAGCCTGGAATACAGAGGAGGCTGACAGCTGCACGGAGCTCTCATGCTTCAGTCACTATGGAGACTGCAATCAGAAGCCACACAAGCTGACAGGCAAGAGAGGGTAATCCGTTACGCTGGTAGACCTGTCTTTCAGAACCAGAATTTCATCTTGTTGTTTATGCCACTTTTGACCTGGTCTGTCTTTAGCTGCAATCAGAGGCCGGCCGCCTGTCAATAGTCTGAGACACAACCCTCATTTCTTCCTCACCTTTACATCCACAGCAGGATGTCTTGTGCTGTGCCCTCTCCCCAGGGGAATCACGAAGCAATTAAGCATGTGTACAGTTTTTAAAGTAGGTTACATCATCCTAACCTGTCTGAACAACTGAGACATAAGCATGCATTTCTGTACAAAGGAATGCTCTTTAATATTATTGTAATTCTGATTCTGCAATGCAGTCTACAGACATTATGACACATGCTGTGCAAACTTGGATATTATTTGCTCCACAGTAAATATGACAAGTACAGTACAAGAAATGGACTTTACAAAACAGAGGAAAGATAATAGTTCCTGCACAGGGAGAGCAGTTTCTCAGGTTCATTTGTCTTCATCGTTGAAATAAGGCTCAGAAGGGTTCAGTGACTCTCACCCCCAGGACCTCCTCATCTCACTGTGAGCTATATTTCCCCTGTGCCTGTGGAAATTGCATGGACACACCAGACTCACCGGACCGTCGGGATTAGAATATGCATGCGTGGAGTGAACAGTAATTTCGTGCTGTCAGCTTCTTACAGGCTGAAATAGAGCGTTTTTGTGTTTGTATGTCACAGTGAGGAGGTGCTGAGCCTCCACGTGCTTTGTGTGTGTGCATGCTTGCCTGCTATTTGCGTGTAAGCATGCATGCACGAGGAGATGCACACGGCCAGATGTGTCTGTATGTGCTCCGTCCTATCTCCCCCTCAGGTGGACAGTGAGGAGATGGTGGACCTCTGAGACGAGATGCTACAGATCTCCATGTTTGTGAAGGAGCTCCCTCCCTCGCTGCTGCAGTCGGGGACAGACGAGGAGGAGGAGATGATGTTCTTCAGCCTGTGGAGGGAGATGATGAGCAGCGTCAGCAGGAACACCAGCAGGCCGAGGAAGAGCCACACGTAGACGTAAACGTTGCCCGGACGTCCCGGTGAGGAGGCGGCTGCCGAGGTGGAAGCAGAGGTCGGGGAGAAGCGGAGGAAGGTCCCATTGTCTACTGGAGAGATTCCAGTCTCATTATGGTCCACCAGCAGGATGTCCATCCCTGACATCCTGGCTGGTGTTTGGCACAGATTTGCAGGGGACAAAAAATAAAAGATGAGTGAGAATTACTTTGAGACAACAGAGAAACACTTCAACATCCATAATTTAAATGGCCTGTAGGAGAAATTCTCTTTTGTCTGCTGAAGCTGCCACAGATTTATTTTCTCCCTCCGGGACACTTCAGCATGGCAGATGCTTGCTGACACAAGAGCTTTCACACACATCCTCAGCTTTGGCTGAGATTAAGAGTGAGACAGAGAGCACTTCTGCAGTTCTGATTCAGGTCCAACAATTTACTTGAAGAGTCCCTAGATGCAGAACAGACTTCTATCAAATAACAGTTGCAAATAATTACCATTTTTTTTGCCCTCTTGGAGCGCCGCATAGAGGGTTCAGGAAAATTAAGAAACACCAAATTGACTTGCAAATACAAAACTATTATTGACAAAAGATATTTTATTGCATCGCCCTAGATGGTTAACCTTGCCCATCTGCCATTAAGATGCAAAAATAAATTACTGAAAATATTTTTTTCCAGGCTAAGGACATTTTAAGTTGTAAATAAATAACTTGGAGATATTTGCATGTATTTGCAGCATTAAGCAAAGAGGTGCACTCATGAATTAAAGCTGCATAAATTACACAAAATTATGCAATATACTACCACTACATGTTCATAGACAAAGTATTAAACGGGATATTTCACTATAAACAGAATGATTTTTGGAAGTTGGGGGCTGCAGAACTGTTGCCTGATCAGTAAAAGTAATTTGAGCATGTATAAATCAAGGTTGAATTTCAGGCTAGCCAAAAAAAATATATTAAAAGTCCTATGGGTGCTGGTCTTTTGTGGTCATCATATTAAACATGGCTGTCTGGGAGCCTGACAGATCGAAGGAGCGACACTGACCAGCCCATAATGAACAGTAACAGCAGGGGGAGTGCTTGTCTCATTGAATGCCTGTCAGACTCGGTGCCTGGAGCCCTGTGTGCTCATAAACGAAGGCATCCTTATCTGATGAAATTAAACTCCTCATAATCAGCTTTCACAAAGACAGCTGAGAGCCAACCCTCCTCCACTGCATATTAATACTGCTAATAATGTTCCACTGCAAATTACTGCATGGCACAAAACTGACTGCAAGATGTGACGGAGCACTGTAGTGTAGAAACATTCACTGTCTTTGTGTTGCTGAGAGACAAAGGTAAAATGAGGCTGTTTTATATTTGGGTTAGACCCGCCTTGTGTCTTAGCTTGATCTATGACAGTGGAGAAAGACACTTCAAAGGCAGGAATGATTGACCGTGACCAGAATGAAAGCAAGGGGTCAGCACACGCTCTTTCCCTCACATTGATGTGTGCTCTTTGCTCCTTCCCCTCCATTTCATTGTCATGCATTTCACCATGGACCATATGTGTGCCTGGTCCCATTATACTCAGGGGAGTGGAGTAAACTATATTAACTGTACCTTCTCCTTGAGATGAGATGCAGCACAGTAACTGTATGTGTGGCCCCTTAAGGGTTAGGGACTGCTTTTTATTTATGAGAGGGAAAGGAGTGGAAAAACACTTTATACACTGTATACACTCACCAGCCACTTTATTAGGTACACCTTGCTAGTACCATGTTAGACCCCCTTTTGCCTTCACAGCTGCTTTAATGTTTAGTGGCATAGATTCAATACAGAACTGGAAACATTCCTCAGAGATTTTGGTCCATATTGACATGATAGCATCAAACAGTTGCTGCAGATTTGTTGGCTGCACATCCATGATGAGAATCTCCCGTTTCACCACATCCCAAAGGTGCTCTATTGGACTGAGATCTGGTGACTGTGGAGGCCATTTCAGTACAGATTTGAGCTTTGTGACATGGTGCGTTATCCTGCTGGAAGTAGCCATCAGAAGATGGGTACACTGTGGTCATAAAGGGATGGACACGGTCAGCAACAACACTCAGGAAGGCTGTGGTGTTTAAACCATGCTCAGTTGGTACTAAGGGGACCAAAGTGTGCCAAGAAAATATCCCCCACACCATTACACCACCACCACCAGCCTGAACCATTGATACAAGGCAGGATGGATCCATGCTTTAGTGTTGTTTACACCAAATTCTGACCCTACCATCTGAATGTGGCAGCAGAAATCCAGACTCATCAGACCAGGCAACGTTTTTCCAATCTTCCAATGTGGTCTTCTGCTGCTGAGGCCCATCTGCTACAAGCCTCAACATTTGGTTCAGAGATGGTCTTCTACGTACCTTGGTTGTAATGAGTGGTTATTTGAGTTACTGTTGCCTTTATGATCTTGAACCAGTCTGGCCATTCTCCTCTGACGTCTGGCATCAAGACATTTTCACTGCTTTCAACTGCTGCCCACTGGATATCTTCTCTTTTTCTAACCATCCTCTGATCAACAGTTTCTGAAATACTCAGACCAGCCCGTCTGGCACCAACAACCATGCCATGTTCAAAGTCACTTACAGTAAATGACCTGTCTTCCTCATTCTGATGCTCGGTTTGAACTTCATTAGGTCATCTTGACCATGTCTACATGCCTAAATGCACTGTGTTGATTAGATTAGATTAGATTAGATTAGATTAGATTAGATTGGCCAAGTGACTGGCTAATAGCTATTCGCAGAGCAGTTGAACAGGTGTACCTAATAAAGTGGCTGGTGAGTATATATTCTTATATTTTATTGTATATTTTGACTGATATTTAATATTCTTTTGTTTTTAAAACTGGGCCCAGTGTGTCACCTTGACTCAGGGAACCCATTGGTTGTTTTGATCGTTACAAGTTTGTGAGGGTTCAAATTGTATTTTGTGTTACTGTAATTTAAGCATTTTCTGGCACAAGAAATTCCTTAGGGATAAATTAAGTTGTATTGAATTGAACTAATAAACAACGGAGGCACTTCAAATAGCCTAATATTTAAACGTTGGGGAGAGAGGGACATTCTACTTTAAATGGTTGCATTTTGTATTTAGTGTTTTAAATACCCCTAAAACTACTAAATGCACAACTGGATTTTATAGGCATTTTTCTAAAAAAAAAAAAAATCTAAATCACACCAATCTCATCCAGGTTATTTATGTGAAGGGAGGGGGATGCATTTTCCCCCAGTCACTGAGGAAGGCTCACGGAAAAATATCAGTAGGTAAGGTCATGATATTTAAAAACAAAGTCACACCCTCACCACCCCTCTACTCTGATAAATAAAGCACAGTCCCTTAAATGTACAATTTCAGTACATTTGACAGAGCAGGAAGTTACTGTGGGACAACAGCTGGTTTAGAAAACACTGAGCCAAATGTGATCAGTGTCACAACATTAACAGCCGTACACAGTTTAGTTCATGTTGACTGAATGCCATGGTGTTGCTGACTATTCTCACAAATATGCTTTGTACAGGTAAGACTACTGCCGTGGAACTGTTATCTGCTTTTGTAAACACTACACACATTTGTACGGGGCGGAAATAACGCTGTGAATTTGAGTGTATATACTAGGCTGGGATACGTCTATGGCCTGGAAGCTAGCATTAGAGATTAGCACTGGCTAGCAAAGTTATCATTTATGAATGGCCAGTTGGATTCGTTTAAGCCCGTAGTAGACCAGCCACTACTACTGGTAGAAGTAGTAGTAGTAGTTTGTTTGGTGTTATTTAACGTTTAATGTGACATGTAAACAATGTGTATTTAACAACGCTGAAGTTCGCCTGTGATTCGTAGCTTCCGCTTCAGCAGTTAAGGAAAGAGTTAAGGGAAGAGTTAAGGGAAGAGTTAAGGGAAAGGCAACTTTCATTGCTCAATGACCAATCCTTGCACCTTGGTAAGGCCTCGTCGCTGTCACATTTATAAAATTATAATTTGTGAATAGCATAAAAGTAACAGTTACCCTGGAAATCCAGAGTTCTCGCGAGAGCACAATTTGAATTTGCTCAGCGAGTCACTCTGGCAATCAGTAATGATGCTCATTACCCATGCCCTAGCCTCAAGTCACCAGGCTCTTCACGTACGGCGAAGAGCCTGGTTTCCATTCACTCTGAATTTTGTCTGGATTCTGGTTCCGGTCCAGAGAGCGGATCCGGAATTCACCAAATTCACCAAAGTAAAACTTTAAATTCTGGCGCACCATCGATTCCCATCTCCGTTTTAGTACCATATTGTTGTTGTTGTGGTTGTTGTTGTTGTGGTTGATAGAGCATGCTACATGGTGAGCATCACACAGTTTTCCTCTCTCTTCCCCCCCTTGGTGCTTTTATTTTGACGCAAAGGCATCCATCGAATTCTGGATCCTGTCTCTCGCCCTGGTTCCGGTTCCTTACCAAAATGGCCACTAAACGGCCCCAGACTACCCATGCCCATGGAGCCGAGCTGCACCAATCACATTGGTGTATCTGATATAGGCGGACCAGAGGCGAGCTAAACAGATGACGACAGCGCTGCGACGACGAAGTCCGGAATCAGTCAGTAGACACTGCAAGATGGCTACGGATGAACACCAGTTGTTTGAAACGGCCTTGGCTGCTACAATGAACGAGTTAGACTTGGCTTTTTCTCTAAAAGAGGAACAGAAGATGGTGCTCGAGTCTTTCCTTTGCAAGAAGGACGTTTTTGCTGTTTTGCTGACGGCAAGAGTCTAATCTACCAGTTAGCTCCGCTGGTAGCGCTCTGGATACGTCACCCCGTGTGTTGTTCTGATTGGTCGTAGTGTTATCCAATTGCGTGCAGTGGTATTTTCAAATGCATGCTTGGTGCCGTCCCTCGAGTTGGGCCATTTGCATTACTCATAGCCAGACCCTAAATCTTTCTAGATTTGGGTCTGGATTTCCAGGCTAGCAAAAAAGGATTTCACTGCATTTTTCACAGGTAGACCACATTGAACCAGGTCCAGATGAAAAACAGCTATACTTAGAGTTGTCACATCTGGACTAGATTATGTGGTCTACATGTGAAAGCCTTTCTTGGATAATCGCATCCAGATTTGACAAGTCTTAATACAGAGGTTTTTGATCTGGAGCTCGTTCAATGTGGTCTACATGTGAAAACACAGTGAAATGCCCCCTTTTGCACTTTCACAAATAGATAAGGCAAAGCTTTTGATGTACTGGTCCATCTACGTCCCAACTCTCACCTATGATCATGAGTTATGGGTAATGACTGGAAAAAATAAGGTTGCGGATTCAAGTGGCTGAAATGAGTTTCAGAGACACGGTAAGGAGCTTGGACATATGGAAGGAGCTCGGAGTAGAGCTGCTGCTCCTTCGTGTCAAAAGGGGGCAGTTGAGGTGGTTCCAATCCGGTTTCGGATAAGCAGCTGAAAATGAATGAATGGATGGATGGACAAATAAAGAAAGATTTCACAAATCTGAAACTGTTTTAAAGAATTTTTAGCCTCTCTGGGATCATCTAGTCCAGATTTGACAAGTCTAAATAGTGATTTTTAATCTGGACCTAGTTCAGTGTGGTTTATGTGTGAAAAATGCAGTGAAATCTCCCTTTTTTTGCATTTTCACAAAAAGAATAAAGGTTTTACAAGTCTCAAACTGTGCTTGTATCAGCCTTCTGCCTCTCTGGGATAATCTAGTCCTGATTTGACAACTCTAAACATCTATTTTTTTATCTGGACCTGGTTTAATGTGGTCACCATGTGAAAAACAAAGTGACATGTCCCCTTTTTTTTGCTTTTTCACAAATAGAAGAAAGGTTTTAAAAATGTGAAAGTGGGTGTCAGACAGTATTGAGCCTTTTCCTAAAATGTCTAACACGCTTTTACAACAGTAAGAGGTGCAAAAAGCCAGGGGTCCTCCAGCAATTGAAGTTACATTTCCCTTAACACTCCCCTTACCACCAAATCGAAAGGTGTGAAAATATGTTTATTGGAGTATATGTTTTATCTGGTTTTTGGACTTTTGCATAAACAATATTATTGATTGTGGATGCAGATGCAGTATGGACACATGTCAGCGCCAGTCTCGTGCCCAAATATGGTCACCTCTATCTCCAAAAAATTATGATGGCGACGGTCAAAACAACACTCCACAAACCAATGGGTGACGTCACAGTAGCTACGTGCATTATTTATATAGTCTATGTATAATATCCATTTATTGCCCAGCCCTAGTCACAGCAAAAAATAATAATAATATAAAGTTTGGACCCAACAGTTCATTCTGAGCCTTTAACACTTGTCAATGTTGGTACAAACTTTTCTTAATCTTCTATTGAGCAATGTCGCTTTTGAAGCTTAAGCAAGCCACTCTGTCCCCAAACTCTTTTCGTCTTCACTTATTCGCTCTCTTTTATTCTCTCCGTTTGTCTCTCTCTGGATGATACAGCTGACAAGAACTCTGCTCTCTTTAATTTACGGCCCACTGTACCTTCAGGGAGATACACAGCATAATGAGGAGAGAAGAGTTCGGCTGCTCTCTCTCTCGCTATGATTGCTTGCTCTCTTGCCCCAACTCTGTTTTCTTTATCAAATCCTCCCAGTGGTCTTCCCAGCCCAATGAAAAAGTGTCTTGTCACTTTTGTTGACTTGTACAGTCTCTTTCTTGCTGCAGTTTTTCAGAGTTGAAGTATTGATCACTTCACATGCATTGCCCTTGCCTTCTCTTTCTGTCCTTTAACTATTTATCTTTTATATCTGTCTTTTGTCATCCTCAGGCTGCACTCATCTGACCATCTGGATTTCAGGTATATTAACATTTTCATTAAAAGTTTTAATCATTGATAGTGGCAAAGAAAATGAGCCCCTGTTATTTTGTAACTCCAAATTCCAAAATTGTCCATCAGTCATGTGCCTGTCAGAAATGTCCATGACTGTGACACCGAACCCCCGCCTGCTCGCTCATTCTACATCCCTCTGCCCTCATTTCCTCTACCCTGCCACCTTGTCGTCATCTTATCCACCGTCCTTCCCCTGTCGTTCCCCTCCTACTCTCTCCCACTTTGTATAGGTTGCTGTCATTAATGATATGTTGTTTTCAAATCTGTGATGAAGCTTGTTCATTGTGAGCTAAAGTGGCTGATAATTGGGCTTAATGATGCTTTTTGTATCCAGGCAACAATGTACGTACAGTTCTTTTTCAGGCTAATCTACTTTAAGAGGGCAGGCCATGCAGTCCCGCTGAGGCTGAAGAGGTCAAACACACGCTTGCACGCACACACACACACACACACACACCCGCCTACGTTAAATGAATACTGGTAGTTATTTTCCTTTGGGATAGCTACAAGCGTACTACAGAGAACACCAAGGGCTGACTGGGAAAATGATGCGTCTTTATTGAGTGAAATTATATAAATGCTGAAAATGGCTTGGCTTCAGTCATTGTTGAACTTTGTTGCACCTATAACGACACCTAACAGTGATGTCACAGTGTACTGACCACACTTGGGAGTACAATTCTATATTACCACAGCAGGGCGAGAAGTTAAACCACTGGAGGGCAGCAAAATGATTTTCAGGTCATGTCATCAATGATCTTGATCTCAGTCTTTCCTCTGAATGTGATGGGTTTTATTTCTCTTCAAGATGTTTTTTTCTGCAGTCATGCTTTGCTCGCTGCTTGTTCAGCTAGATGCAGTCGCCAGCTGATCTTCACTCTCCATGCTGATTGTTTATTGCCTGGGTCCATACCTTTGAATCTGCCCACTCCATCGGGCTGACTGATTTATCTGACACCGTGAAATGGAGCAGCAGTTTCCTCTGTTGACAATCCATTGATCCAATCAGCACCACGGGTGGACTATTGATAAGCCAATCAGCACCCTGGCGGTCTAACACTGTTGTCAAGCTGTTGTCACTCTGCACCGGAACCAATGAGGAGTTATAACAGCGATGATGACTGCTATAGATAGGATAAACACCCCTATCGAAGCTGCTCTAAATCAAAATGTTTTCTCAATATCGCCTGAATTTGTTCTTACTTCACTCTGTTCCACTCTGAAAACCATGGCAAAACCAGTACATCGACATTGCTGCGCAGCAGTGTCGACTTAAAATGACATTAGATTTAGGTGGATATGTTGGTCTCTAGTGATTGATTAGGGAAAATCAAATGCCCCTCCTCCACTGAAATCAGTTAGACTGGAGGCAGTGTCAGACTGAGGATGGAAACAGAGTGTGACGAGGTGACACTTCTGTCTGATACAGTATCAGGCAAGGTTCTCTCCACATCCCAAAGATGAGCGTGACTTTGGTCAGCTCTTTGGCCAGCTAAGCTTCCCTACATTTCTTTTCTGAGACTGAGAGAATAAATTGCTGGCTCTTGAAGATGGACTTGATTTTTATTTCTTTCTGCTTTATTTTTATCTCTCCCCCACTGAGCTGTAATCTCACTTGTTCTTCAGTCTCCGTAACAAGAATCTGGCTTTCAGCTGTCTCTTAACCCCTAATGACTTGTCCCTAATTTTGTGAGGATTGCTTTTAAAATAACCCGGTCTCGCTTCCAACTTGTTACATACTGACGCTTTGCCAGCGGCCCTCAGTGTCAGACACCGACACACACAGGGTATGAGACACACTGGGTGGCAGAATTTTTTTGATGCTTGGAGCAACTGCCCTAGTAGGGCTGCTCGATTAATCGAATTTTAATCTAGATTACGATTTGGGCCTTCAACGATTATGAAAACAAAATAATCGACATAAAAAGATTATGCACTTCTTGTCAGTTTACTCTCATTGTCTTGTGTTGCAAAATCAAACGCACCCGGAAGCCACGCGTGCGCAATACTGCCCCCTCCCCTCCTCTCCTCTATTCACTCCACAAGCCAGTCAAGTATGTGAAATCGAATAATGTGAGTGGCAGGTGATCGCCGAAGATTTCAAAAACAGCGTGCGGAAAATGGCAGAGGGAGAGCGAGAGAGGTTGGTCTGTGTGTGTGTGTGTGTGTGTGTGTGTGTGTGTGTGTGTGTGTGTGTGTGTGTGCGTGCGTGCGTGCGTGCGTGCGTGCGTGCGTGCGTGCGTGCGTGCGTGCGTGCGTGCGTGCGCACATCAGGGCCGACCTCTGCCGTGCACGATACAGAGAGCAGAGGAGAATTGTAATTGTAAACACGCGACCATGTGGAGACAGAAATGACATGCGGTCGTGTAAATAAGTCATAACGTGCACCGCATAATCGTTTGCATAATCGTGATTTCAGTTTTGACCAAAATAATTGTGATTATGATTTTTTCCATAATCAAGCAGCCCTATGTCCTAGCATCAAGAGCGAGAAAGTCTGCAAAAGTTTGGTGTGAATGGAGGTGGACTGGCCAAACAAACTGGACTTTCACCTGGCAACTGCTGTTTGTTTCCCTTGTGAAACCAAAAGTCAATCAAATTATTTTAATAACATCATAGTGTGCTAATAAGCGCAGAATGACGTATGTCACTTGATATAACGTTACGCAAGTACCAAGTGTACTTTTTTTTAAGCTACAGCATCATGTTTTTTTCTAAACCAAACTACATGCTTTGGTTGCCGAAACCAAAGAAAAGTAAACCAAAAAAAAAAACGTTCTAAGTTTATTTTGAAAAGAGACAGCATGCATTTAACGAGCGGAAACTGTACATCTCTTGTGAAAACTGAAGTTTATTTTGAAAAGACGCAATACACGTAGCAAGTGTGAATTAACACACTGTCCCAGAATGTCCAAAACTGACACTGGAGGGGTACCTGGAGCGTTTTAGTTTGACTTTTAAGGCCACTGAACAAGAGATGGTATTTGACGAGTTGAGAGTGAGAATGTGTTGTCATCAGATGTGGAAGCTCAGCTTGTGGCAAAAAGGTTTAGTTACCACTTCAATAGTTATTAAAAACCCTTACGTGTTGGGTTTTATTGAAGTCAGATGGAAAAAATGTGACAAAAATCTGTAAATAATGTGCAGTTTATGCTGTTATTTTTACACGTCCATCAGTGGGGTCTGTGGGAGCTATGAGCAAGTAAAGCCATTATCAATGAAACCAAAGAGTTCAGGTCTGACATGGAGCTCCTCTGGTGGCTCTGAAGCCCTGTTATGGATGCTGTTTTTGCTCACCAGTTTTTAAAGTTAAATAGAAACTATGCACAGCCACAGCTTGCTCTTCCTGCTGTCATTCTTTCTCTCTCAGAGGAAAGGAAACTCACTCAGGTGTGATCTCGGCTGCTCCGTCACTTCCCTCTGAGCTGATATGCCCTTTACTCTGTTGGACTGCTGGTCCAGGATAATGGAAGCTGCTGGTAGCTACTCCTCTGAGGAGGTATGGGGCAACAGCCTGACAGGTCTTCAAGGGTCAGTGCCTTTCCATCAGACTGGACAGCACATTTTGAATGCCTTCACTTGACTTAGCTCACATCTCTGCCCTTCTTTAACAATTTAACATAGAAGTAGTATCTCTCCCTCATTCCCTGTCAGGGCTATGTGGAGTTCAGGCATTTTGAGACAGTTCTGCCTTTCAGCCTCCTCATTCTCCTATTTCCTCCTGAGTCTTCCAGCCCGGAGCTCATCAATGGGCCCTTGCAGAAATGCTCTTCCTTTTCACTCGCAGCTATGACTTTTTTTTCTGATTATATATGTCTGCTTTTTCAATGTCAGCATTGCCCTCTCGGCTACGTCAAGCGCTTTTAATGTATTCTGTATAGCCTTGGCTATCTCTGCTGCACACCCTTCAAACCAGGCTGCCTTGAGAACATTTCTCTACCCGAGTTCCAAAACTCTCTTCTCACCCCGCTCCAACTTTGATGGTTCAGTTTTGACTTAAGCATGTGTTTCGTCCACCACCAGCCTGTATCGGTGACAGCGAGCCTTGACTCCCACAGCTCCCTTTTGTCCTGATCAAACTCCTCTCGGAGCTGCACAATCTCTGCAAGTCACTCTTCAAACTATCTCATCCACTGCTGGTGGAGTATGTTGAGCAAAACTCCTCCTGAGACATTGTGCCGTGAAGCTTCCTCTGCTCCACTTTCTCAATCTGTTCCTCACCCTCCATCCTCTTTCATTTCCTCCTCATCTCCTTATAATCTTCCTCACTGTCAGTGTTCAGTGTATACTTGGCACAGTTTGCCTTATCTAATGACAGATTGTCCACATAAATATCCTGTGCTCCTGTTGTCTTGTATATTATGCACAGTTTAATGTCTTATCTGTATTAGTATAATGTCTTTTGCGCTGGTTTTTAAGACTGCCAGACATTTGTTTTATTTAAACGACAATGGCTGTACACGCCTTTGCAATTTTATGCTCTAAATGGGTTTGAAATGTCAGAGCGTGATCAACCAGCTTTAATAGTATGGCAGTAAAGTCATAAAACATAGCAGTTATTGTTTTTTTAGTGATTATATTGTAATGTATTAGTATTTGGTAGAGCTAAAACACATTTAATCTTTTCAAATTTTTATCTTTATTCTCAAGATTCATGTCAGTCTGTTTTTGTTTTTGTTTTGTTTTTTAAATTTAATTTTTTTTCAGTGACAGAAAACAGCGCTGGCCATTATTGGCATTTTTAACATGCATGCGTGCAGCATATGCAAATATTTACTAAACCATTCGCCTTCCAGATAAACACACTCTGTTGTTTTGTTCAGATCTGGTGTTAGCTCTTCACTTCATGAATAATGGACAAGATCGAAGTGTGGCAAAATGTCATGGCATTTGGGCCATAGTCTTTTGTGTGTGTGTGCATGCATGCATGTTTCTATAGTGTAGTCATACCAAATGCCCGACAGACAAGCTGAGACAATAGCAGGGATTTCTATTGATTCACATATGTGCACATACACAGACACACAATTCCAGCTCAAACAACAGATTGCCAGGAGATAAACTTAGCCTGAATTTCAAACATATATTTCATATGCCGAGCCAGATCGGCTGAAAACAGACCTGAGGCTCAACCACATGAATTCCAAATCACCTCTGCGGCCCCAAATTCCACAGATAACCCACTTAGGGGTCAGAGATATGCAGGAATGATGAAAGTATGAAGAAAGTGATGCTTCAATATGCATCAGAAGCTCTCAGCCATTTTCCTACTTCTTTTTTTTTTTTTTTTTGAACAAGACACCACTCAGCTTCTCTGCAGTTTGCATAGATTCAGTATTTTCTTGATAATTATGTCCCTTAAAAGAATTTGCACAAATATAAATACAAGCAATGTGTGTCAATGAAGACTGCAAATTTAGAAGCAGGTGTAATCTGAATGAATCCGCAAAACAATAAACTAATGTTTTTATTCATTGCTTTTACATTTGAATGATAAAAATCTCACGCCGCACCTGAGTGCACTCGAAGCTCCACCAGGGGTCGAGCACCACTGTTGAGCCGTTATCTGAGATATTCAGTGCATGAAGGAGGATTTCACAAGCTTAGATTGTAATGAGATCTTAAAGGGGGTGCAAATGGCTTTTTATAATCGGGCAGAAAGATAACACGAGTGAGAACCTGAGAAATAGTGATCATTACGAATGGGAAGTATTGGAAGATATTTTGGTCAGTGGCCAGTGTAGATAATGAGCTCTTTTGCTTTGATGTCTGAGTGTGTGAGTGTGTGTGTGTGTGTGTGTGTGTGTGTGTGCCTGTGATGAATTGTATTTTTACACCTCGTTCTCATATCTGTTAATTACTCCAGATACTTCTGAGTGCAGTTGCCAATACATTTGATGCTGATTGTATGCAGCTCATTCTCCCTCTCTTTTTTTCTGATGAGTCATACTTCATTTTAAACACAAACAAACCCTGCTCTTGTTCGCATTGCGCTGAAAGGACACTTTTTTAATGTCCCCTTTTTTTGCTTCAGTCTGGGGGCACAATTGCTTCACTCATCACTCACTCCTTCCCTCTTTTTCTCAACTGCCACATAGGAAGCCCGCTTATTCCCCAAGCTGGTGAATGAACGTACACGTGAATTCTTCCCCCACCAAGATTATTCTTTCCTCCAAGTCTCATGGAACATTTATGTCCTTCTCCTCCTTCATATTACTGTTTCATCTTCGCTTTATGTCTTCGTTTTCCATCCCTGTCTGTAACAACGCTTGTCCTCTCACGACTGCTCTGCAGGCAGTGATAACACACTGAATAAAGTTGCTGGCAACTGAAAAAGCAGCAGATACATTTGAGGTGAATAATAGCGCTTTGTATTCAGCAGGAATCCCCTCTCACAGAACAGATTAACACCGTCCTCGTTCTGTCTCCCTCTTAAAAACAATTTGAAACACTTCATAAACCAGCATGCCCCGAAGCATCAAAAGCAGACAAAAAAGGAAAAGTTACAGACCTGTGTTTTTTTAATGTGTGAGGCAGGTGTTCCTCGCTCACGTTCACGTCGTGCAGAAATCCATCCCGTTGTGTTTGGTGTTTTCAGCCGTGCAAACCAGATCTGTTGCCCCTGAGATCTTTCTTGTGAGGCTGTCCGCTCTCTACCTCTCCCCCTCTCTCTCTGTCATTCAGTGTGACACACACACACACTCAGACACACACAACACAGGCACTACAGCCGGAGTAGAGTAGATGTGGATCCTCTCTATGAATGAGCTCACTTTCAAAAGGGAACACACGCATACACAAGGTCTGTAACTGAGAGGCTGTAACTAATGAATTATGTTTTTTTTTTTTATTTGAGAAGTGCTGAAGAGAGAAGAAAAGAGAGAAGAGGAGAGAGGGAGCAGTGCTCGCTCTAATCCTATCCCCTCTCTCTGTTGTGACTCCCTCCGTCTCTGCCCTCCCACTTCTCTCTCTGCTGCTCATCACCTTTCAATAATGATCCCATTAACAGTCAAGCCTATTCTTGTGTCTTTTGTCTCTCATTTTCTTTGAGTGAATACTCCTCACATTACACAAGCTGCTCAATAGTTACTGAACATGGGCAGAAAAATGGCTACATCAATAGACGTACAACCAGATAAATGATTTGATAATTGTCCAATAAGTCAATATTTGTCATTATATGTACATCCTCCCACGCACCCTTTTTTTTCTCGACATCTCTTTAGTATTTGTGTGGGGGACACGGCCTCGCTCTCTGCTCTCAGCAAACTGCGTCAGTAGACAGTATCCAGTGGTGAGCAATAACCAGCTGCCGTCATGCTGATAGACTGTATACAGCTCAGATGAGACCCCAAATCGGCAGATGAATGAGAAAGGGCGTTGAGAGAAGAAAGGAAGCGACTTTAACACCTCTCAGTTTCTCGGCGCAGAGCTTCTCGCCTCTCTTCATCCTAAAGCTTTCATTTTGACTTCCCTCTCTTCCTCTTCCTCTGATCCCCTCCTCTTAACAGTATGGCTCTTATCAGCAGCTAAACACATCTGCTCTGTAAAAGTGCTTACGTCTTTTTATACAGATTGAAAATAAACACATGCTGAAACAAATTAGGGGATGATAATGAAATGATAATGCTCTTCATACTTTTTCGGGGAATAAAGGATGTCTGAGATTCATCAGTCAGTGAAATAGAGGCGATTATTTGTCAGAGGTCAAACTGTTATGTGAGCAAAAAGCAGAGTATGACCCAACATTATGGACTCCTCATTAGAGGATCAGTTCACGTAAATTTAAAACAAAATATTTTCTCACTCAGCTTTGGGGGTATCATGCAAAGCAGGTAGTTTGGGATTCATTTGGACAGTTTTCATTGCGTCTGCCACTAGCCCATTACAGTGGAGGTGAAATTTATGGTACTGATAGGACTGATTGTATTTAAATAAGGCTACTGGCTCCGAGAAGCTGTACATACTGTAGGCAAAGTGGTGCTTTGAGCTTAATGCTATGGTCAGCATGCTAATAGTCAGTGTTAGCATGTTGATGTTTACCCGGGCCCCCAGGAATGCAGCTCAGCCTTGCTTTCACACAATTCTTTATTTTCCTAAAGAGGGAATATGTTTGGCAAAGAGAATTATGTCTGTGTGGTGACATGTGCTTGTATTGCAGCAGCCCAAAAAGCAATTTCTCCATAGATCATAAGAGACGTCTGTAAAACTGTTGACAAGACATCTCAAACTGCAGACACGGTCAGTTATGATTCTTTCTATTCTGACTTTTGATCCATGGAGGTTTTATATTTGTAAAACTTGTTCTTGAGCTGAGAAAAGTGATTTTAAATTCTGTGACATCATCACAATATAAAGTTTAGGGGCAGAGCAACACTACTGTGCATAGTCAGTTTGCAGCATACTGTGGAAATAAACCTGGAAGCTAGAAACCTGTTTGAGGTATGCTCCAGGCTAGCAATTCTCACTGGACTGAATTGGCACTGTAATGGGGTCTAGTATGTAGTTCTTACAATATATCTATGAGTTTACCATGTTCACCGTCTTAGTTTAGCATGTTAGCATGCATAATTGTTGAGTATGGGGATATTTCACCCAAATGGTGGACCCTCTGACTGGCAGACATTACCGTCCCTGAAGCTGTGTCACTAGCATGACTAAAAAGTCAACAATGAGATCTTTTACCAGAAACAGCACTCAATTTACTTTGGGGAATTCACAGAATGCTTTAATAGAAACATGTTCAAGTTGAGAAAATATGTTTTGGTTATTAAGTTGAACCAACCCCTTTAAAGTGCTTCACTCCAAGTTCGGTCTCTTCTGATCTAAAATAGATTTTGCGTGTGACCCTGAATCTCATATATAAGCTTGTTAGCACCTTAATCATATTCATGAAGGTGTTAATCATGTGTCAGATGACACCTGTCCCGGCTCTGTGAAGGGGGAAAGGCACCTCCTCTCTCACAGATGCCTCTGTCCTCCGCCATCTGCCCGCTGACACAGGCACCAGAGGGGAATCGCAGCACTGGAGAACAGAGAGAGTAGAGATGAGAGGAAGATGACTTTATCCCACATCCGAATCCAGCTCACATCACATGACTGGTATTCATGTGTACTTCACACAAAAAATATGACAGGTCTGGGATTCATCTGATGAGCGTAGGCTATATCCGTTTGTGAATATTTTCTTAATCGGAACCACCCAAAGGAAAAAAAAATATGTTGATAAATATTTTTAATGAGATGCTGTAGGCAGCTTCGCTTGTGTTGACAGTGTTGAGGGAGAAACCAAGGACAGAGGAAAGGAACATCATTTAATTATTCAAATAATTATTTCCCCTGACCTCCACTCTACTAATCACACCCTGCAAGGCCATTTCTAAACCTATCACAGGGAATCGTCATATTCACACAGTTCTTTAGTTTCCTAAAGAGGGAATGTGTTTGGCAAAGCTAATTATGTCTGTGTGACTACATGTGCTTGTGTCTGTGCAAACTCGAGTGCTTGTGTGTGTGTGTGTGTGTGTGTGTGTGTGTGAGAGAGAGAGAGACGGAAAGAGAGGACTGAAGGATGGAGATAAGAGCTTTGGCCTCAGCTGGTTTTTGTCACTAATCCCAGAAGGCGTGGCCGCCAATTCCGTGTCATTCCCTGATATCCCAGCCTGTTCTGACTCCATGCCATCCTAACACTGCCCTTGTGAGGACACCAGTGTCTGCACTGCATGTTAATGAGGGGGAGACGTGCAGAAATGAGGGGGGTGCAAATGCATTCAGGGACTATTTTGGGCTTAAGAGTGTGTGTATGTGTATGTATGTTTGGGGATTTGACAAGCTTATTCTGCAAAACTCGGGGGAACAACTTTAGACTCTTAGATAACAGACAGGAAAGTGTCAAGATATTAGTTGCGAATATGTTAGAAGTTCTGGGTATTGTAGATGCACTAGCAGATATGCTTTACATCTCTAGTAATCTGCAGCAATTTGCAAAGTTCCCTGCTGTGAGAGGAGCCCACCAGAGCACAACTCAAGACTTTGATGAACACAGGAAAGCTAACTGTTTCACTTGTCTTCTCCTTATTGTAGGAGAAGGCATGTTTGCATCCCTAATCTCAGGAAAACAGACTATATTTTGTCCATGTCTCCAAGATGTGCAGAGTTATTTGTGATGTTCGGTTTGGTTTCCAAAGATTTTGCAGATCAGACATTAGTCAGTAAATATGCGCTGACTACGCTCTAGCTTTTCGTCTCATGGCAGCGTCATGCCAATCAAAAAGAGCTCCACAGATCTCCGACGGCACGGAGCAGAGAAGACATAGTGAAGCATAACAGTGGCACACTCACACATAGACACACACACAGGACAGGAGCCTGACAGGCTCGTACTTGTCCAGAATAACAATGAGAGAGATGGAAATATGATATTGGCACCATGGTGAAAAGGGCATAAACGACAACACCCATGTACAAAAACACATGTCTGAGCAAGACGCCCAAACGTGGACCGAAATCACTGCTCTACTAAAACCTTTACTGCTAATAGTCTGGGCAATTTTGCCCGATCCCTCTGAAGGGTATACACTCTAAATTCATGAAAGAAGAGAAGAAAGGGAAAAATGTCCTCAAAGTCAGATTCATTTGAATATATGAATAATTTAGTGCACCAAAAGATTTGGGGCCCTTAAATTGCAAATAAAAAACCCCCCTTACTCTTCAGACATTCATAATTCATACGTACCATGACTAAGGCATGGAGAGACGGGCCGCTATTTGATGCACAAGTTGGCCATAAAAGGTAAAGAGGATACAAGGACAAAAGCTACAACCTTTTGTCTTTTATGCATAATTACGGAGTCAGTTTGTACCTTTTTACATTTCAGTCAATCACTGAGTATTCCTTTCTCCCCGGCTCACACCATCTTCCCATTATTCATTCCAAATCCAAAGCAGCCCAGAAAGTAAACAATTAAACTTTCATCAAAGCTTTGTTGCATCATTATGGCTATTGCCACATGCTGTGATAGTCTATAAAATGTTGCCCTCTGGTTGTAGATTGGCTCTGTCTGCATATGTGTGTGTGTGTGTGTGTGTGGATTGCAGTATCCTGGCATGAGCAGCATAATTATTCCACCATCATAAGAAATCTACAGTAAGAGCTCTCATTCTTGACACACACACCCCCTCCTCTCTCAGAGCTCATTTTCTTTTCATGCCCCTGGCTCATTACAGTGACGGGCCTTTTAATGGAGGAGATTGGCACTAAATTTTCACATCATATTCTTCAACAAAAGGTCCTTTGATCCGCATGAGGATCATTAAATAAAGCATTATTATAGCACAAAGACTGTGTGAAACATTTGACCTCCAGACAGCAGACAAGGTGGAACATAGATAGATTTTCTGATGGATAAATTGCCTGATGGATAAATTGCCTGTTATTTTTAACTTGTGATCACTACTCCTCATATTTGATGTACTTTGTTGGTGTTTGTCAGTTCTGAAACTCTTCCCCTCTGCATATTAAATTATTTTGCAGTTTTTACTTCACTGATGCCCCTGCTGCTTAGCGCAGATGATTTTGGAGTCTTTGGAGTTCTGTTACTTGTCTCATGTTGCTTTGAAAACTTGGATATCAAAGTGCTGATTGCCAGCCCTCTTTTAGAGCCAATAAATGCTGCTAATTGGCCCTCAACCTAACATGACCCATCTTTGTAGCAGTGTTTAGTTTAAGACCTTTTCCATGGGGCGTTTGCATTGTTTTATGTAGCCTACAAACACATACAGTACATAACAGATAGAGAGCTGAATACAAAGATGACCAATCAGTGTACGGTCATCTCTCCATGGGAACAGGCAGTAGTTAAAGTTTAATCACCATGAGCTGACAATAGAAGCTGGGGGTCAGCCTTATGCTCTCTTAGCATCTATGATCTTTTTCCATTCTAGTTAGGCTCTATGTGCCCTTCGCTCCATGTTCCCTCATGAACTTTTTTCCATCCCAAATTAGGACCTATGTTCCCTCAGCATCAGTGCCTGGCGTTCCATTTGGGTTGCCCCAGTTATTACAGTGATGAAAACATTATCTCATTGTCAGAGGTACAAATCTGAGGAAACATAGGGCTGAGGCAACTTGATTCTGAGGGAAGATAAGGCTGAGGGAACAATGGGCTAAGGGAACATAGGGCTGAGGGAAAACAGGGCTGGGGAACATACAATTTAAGGAACATTGGGTTTAGGGAACAGAGGGCTAAGGAAACATGGTTAGGAAAACACAGGATTTAGGGGACATGGCTAGGGGAATTAGGATTGAGGCAACAGGGCTGAGACAATATCAGCTTAAGGGAACAGACAGCTGAAGGAACATTGGGCTAGGGGAACATAGAGCTGAGGGAACAGAGCGCTCAGAGAACAAAGGGCTGAGGGACCATAGTTCTGAGGAAACAGAGGGCTGATGGAACATAGACTCAAAGAATATTGGATTGAAGGAACAGGATTGCGGGGAAAATAGGTTTGAGGGAACATAGGGCTGAGGAAAAAATGGGTTTGGGAACATAGGGTTTGGGAAACATAGACTCCCAAAAATTGCATTGTCCTCAGTCCTGTGTTCCCTCATGAACTTTTTTCCATCCCAAACTACGCCATATCTTCCCTCAGCCCATGTTCCCTCAGCATCAGAGGGATGACAGGGATGAAGACATTATCTCATTGACAGAGGTACTGATCTGAGCAAATCTAGGGTTGAAGGAATATAGTTCTGAGGAAATAGGGCGAAGGGAACAGACAGCTGAGGGAACAGTGGACTAAGGGAACATAAGCCTGAGGGAACATAGGGTTAATGGAACAGGACTGAGAAAACAAAGAGCTAACGGAACAGAGGGATAAGGGAACATATGGTTAGGAGAACATTGGATTGAGGGAACAGGACTAGGGAAAACTGGGTTGAGGGAACACAGGGCTGAGACAAAATAAGTCTAAGCAAACTGACAGCTGAGGAAACACTGGTCTAAGGGGACATAGGGTTGAAGCAATATAGGGTTGAGGAAACAGAGGGCTAAGGGAAAATATGGTTAGGAGAACATTGGATTGAGGGAACATAGGGCCGAGACAATATAGGGTGGGGGGAACAGACAGCTGAGGGAACATTGGGCTAAGGATACATAGGGCTGAAGGAACATAGGTTTATGGAAACATAGGGTTGAAGGAACATAGGGCTGAGGGAACAAAGAGCTGAGGGAACAGTGGGCTAAGAGAACATGGTTAAGAGAACAGTGGATTGAGGGAACAGGACTAGGGAAAATAGGGTTAAGACAATATAAGGCTGAGGGGACAGACAACGTATACATATCATATCATAGGGCTAGGGGAACATAGGGTTAAAGGAACATAGAGCTGAGGGAACAGAGGGCTGAGGGAACATATACTCAGAAAAATATTGGGTTGAAGGAACAGAATTGAGGGAAATGGGTTTGAGTGAATGTAGGGCTTAGATAACACAGGGATTGAGGGGTCATAGGGCTGATAGAAATCAGGGCTGATGGAACATAGGGCTGGGGAAACACAAACACGCTCCCAAAAGTTGCAACGCCCCCAGCCCTGTGTTCCCTCACACACTTTTTTTCATCCCAAATTAGGCCTGATGTTCCCTCTGCCCCATGTTTCCTCAGAATCAGGGCCAGCCATTCCATAATTAGGCAAGGTTTTCGTCCCTGTTATCACAGGGACAAAAACATTACCTCATAGACAGAGGTACTGATCTGAGAAAACATAGGGGTGAATAAACATAGATCTGAGGGAACAGAGGGCTGAGGGACCATAGGATTTAGGGAACACATGGCTGAGAGAATTTATGGCTGAGGGAACATAGACTCACTCCCAAAAGCTGCAGTCAGCTAAATACCTATCTTTATTCTAATGCTGTTTTTTTCTGCAACCCCTTACTAACCTGGCTGGATAATTACTCCCTCTCTCTTTGAGTAGTCATGTCAGTGGAATAATGGGAAGTGGAGGATTGTGGGTAAAATGAGAAAAGCTAAGAAGATAAAGAGATAACTGAGAATTGACATTGGCTGTGATTCTTAAATGTGGATTGAATCATGATTATTTAATCGGCTTCTCTTCCTGCAAAAGGCAACGGGAAAATGCCCGTTGAACATGGATAAACCTCAGCAGATTATGTTGCCTTTTCATCTCTTTATCCTGCAGGTTAGTAGCTTGTCTCGTGTTTTCTGAATGTTTTTTTTTTTTCTGTGCTCGTACTCAGGGTGAGAGACAATCTCAGCTGTGATCCCTCCCAGCAGGGGTAACACCACTGGATGAGGGTGCTGCTGAGAGATGAGATGTGTCCGTCCCCAGCTGGAAGGATTTTCCTGGATGGCACAGCATTTTAAAAGTGGCGCTCAACACCCCCCCGCCCCCTCTCTCCAAACCCATCTGGCCCAAGCCTGTCACCAGCAATACATCACATTAATGAAATGGCAGCAGCCCAATGCTATCTGTCATAAGCAATCTGCATCTGCTGAGGAACTGAACGGAAATGAGGAAGAGGGATAAAAGTCACAGGAAGGCAGAGAGACTTTGTGTCCCCCAAGCAGGTGCCATGTTTGTGTGTGTGTGAGTATGAATGTGTGCATTTGTGTGTTTCCTCAGTCTCTCCTTTCAGCGCAGTGTGAAAAATATTGATTTTATTTTGAGAGAAGAAAATAGCCACAGCAGGCCACCATATCTCTCATCTCTACTGGACCAAATAGGTGAGGATATTTAATCGGTTTTGCGGTAGAACAAAGTTCCAATGCATCTTATCTGTCAGAGAGAAAATGACTCACTGCACCTTGTCTTGGCACTTGGGGCAACTTGTATTGATATCTGTCTCAGCTTCACAAACTGTGAAATTTCACACAAATGATAAACTACACATGGGTTGTGAAAACGTGCGCTAAGCACCTGAAGAACAGCAGCTGAATTAGAAAAAAAGATTCAGTAGGTTTGTGGAAAAAATGACTTCATTATCTTTGACTGTATGAACTCCAGTGCAGATTACAGCAGATATAATCTTGTCAAAATTAAATTTACTTGAAATGAAATATGCTCTTGAGTCTTGATGTTTGCCTGGTAAATAGCAAAACTGATTACAGCCGATATGTTCTTAAAAATACGTTTTCATATTAGCCTTATTAAAGTGGCCTTTTCTATTCTAAAGGATTTGTTTGTCAAAATCTCTTCAGTCTTTATCATGTAGTTTTGAAGGTGTTAGAGATTACAAAGCAGTTACTTTTTTGTCTTTCACACAGTTTAGGCTTTATTGTAGTTTTGCATTGCGGGTGAAGGCGATGGAAGTGTTTTAATCTGGCAAAAATTATGGCAAATGGTGGCACCCTGCCTATTAGTTTTATTCCTCAGCCAAAACCTTCTGGGGGTAACTCTGAACTTTGGTGTATCACTAGGAAAATTTCCACAACGATGGACTGAAACACTCAAGTCAACATATCTGGGTAAGACTTAAGATACAGCTAAATCCTATGGAGGAGTATAAGGGCAAGACATAAGGAAAATGCGTTGTAGTTTGCATTTCGAAAATGTCGAGAATAAAGTTCATCTTTCACCATTAGTGCCAAGCCTAAGAAAAATAAATCATGGAGGAAGGTTTTTTATTTTGCATTTCAAGAGCAAGTCGAAATGCTGAGAACAAGGTTGAAAATACCATGTCAAGAATAAAGTCCTCGTCTGGTCCATCAAACTGTCTTGTGATGCAACACCTCGATTCTGTATTGCACACAGGTGTAACCATCGTTAACCTTTGATCTGTCCATTACCAGCTATTTCAGTTTGCACAATTGCAGCCACATCTTTCAACTTCATGTGGTTTCTCTTGAAAAGACGCAATTTTCAGCACAATCTCGACAAATTCCCAATACACACGACTACACGGTGTTTATGTGCTGAAAGAGAAATGATTTCCTGTAATTTCTGGTTACAAAAGTTGATTCTGAAGCACAGTTTCACTACTTCACAGTAGTGAAACACAAGGTGTTTTGTAGAGGCTTTTAAATACTTGTCTTTTGATTATATTCTTGAATTCTTAAATCTTAAAATGTCAGGTTTATTCTTAACATTTTGACTTTAATCTGAAAATGCCATTAATAAAAATTTTCATTTTTTGTCTTTTATGCCTGGCTCTAATACCCCTATAAAAAATAGGATTGTCACATTCAGTTAGAGGTGAAACATACCGCTTTGGTCGAATGAGGAGGGTAGATCATTGTTCAGTGATAAATAAAGGAGCCCAGCTGTCGGGAAAGTATGGGAGTGAGGGTTGGCTGAAGGTTCAAGAGGCAGCCTTGTGACCAAAAGATTGCAAATTGGAAACCGTAATCCCCTGTTGCTCCACTGGAGCTGCTCAGCAGCAGCAGCAGCAGCGGCATGACAACACTGTGGTTAATGCTCCTGGGTCCTCCCAAACTCCCACTCCTGACTCTTTAGTTTACTGCCTATAGTTCTATCTGTGACTAAGATATGATATTAATGATCAGCATCATAGCAATAATAATTTCAGGCAACTCTAAACATCCGCTTGGTTTGCAGGCAAATAAATACACAAGCTACTTTGAGTCATCAGCTGAATATTTCACTGCTTTGCACCATCTCTTACCCCGAGAAGTTTGAGTGAGCAAACGGTCTGTGCTAATTTGTAAAATAAGATGTAACAAGGTCACAATGTCATACGATGAATTATAAATGTATCCAAACTTATTCCTGTTATAAGACTTTTTGGGGTTGTAGCCTAATGATAAGACTTCGCATCTATGGTTGCATAATTTGACAAGCCCTAAAATGGTTATTTGACATAACAGCATGTCAAAAGTCTGCTTAAATTTACTGCAGATGAAAAACATCAGACAAAGCCTGCCATCTGATGGACAGTGTAGAACCTGCAGGCAGTCAGCAGCTTTCCATACAGTACAGACTTTTTGTCCAACATGAATGTTTTACTCCTCAAATGTCTTCTATATATCATATTGTTTTTAAATCAACTGTGTAAATCACATTTCTACATATACTGTCTATGGAGGGTTTACACCCCTCTCTATCTGTGTTAATACTTGCAATCTAACTGGTGTGTGAGCAGGTCCACAGGATGATAGATTGCCCTGTTATCTACTATAGATGTCAGTATGTTATCCTCTGTTGATCTTGGTTTTCTATTCTGCTCCTATCTGTACCTATCTTGGGAACAGAAAATCATTGCCACTTCTCTGACGTTGGATATAACCACACAGCTGCTGCAACAGCAACAACAAAGCAAACAGCAGTGACAAGTACAGTAAATAATCCAGTTCACAGTTTAACCTGAGCTGAGGACAAAACTGTCAGGAAGGCATTTAGCCAGAAGCAGCATTGCTTTCATCCTCGCTACAGAAATCTTGGAGACAGAGACAAGCAGCGGCTACGCTCCTGTGAAACAGACAGGACATAAATATGAATTTATAGCACCCCGCTTAAACAAGCAGTCGTTTTGTCGCCTGGCTTAATAAGGTTTGGTTTTGTAGTTGTGGAGATATGAGACAGTTTGAAGCATTGTGATGAGAAGCAGAGAAGGTGTGAGGTGTTGTTATTGCTGAGGTCGTAAACAAGTGTCAGGTATTAAATCTAATGGGTAGCTGTGTAAAATTAAAAAAACTGCCCAATCTCTCTCACAGCAAGGGAGGAAATTGCCTCTCTTGTACACTGCTTCATTTCTACATCACAGATGCAAAATACAGCTTCCACACACACTGCTATAGTACTATACATTTGAATTTTAACACATCTTTTCCCAATCATTTAGGCATACTGAACAGATATTTCAACCAGCAGATTCTACTAAATACTGTTTAGGAGTGACTGATTTTCACATGGCATTGGCACTTTATTGTTCTAGTATCTGTGTCCATAAGCAACAGGCCATATAGTCTCTGTCTCTGTCGTCACCAACAGTAAACCAGCCTATAGCTTTACACCCAACTCTTCTCTCTTAAGCCAACATGTCAGCACCTACTCCAAGCATGACACTTTCATTCTTGTCCAACAACTTATCAGCAGTCCATACATTATTTCATGACACAGTGACAAAAGCTCTACTCAGGTCAGTGTCTCCAAAGTGACTCATGTTCCACCACCACACCTCAAAACTGCGTTATGTGTTGTTATTCAAACACCGCAAACATGTAGCAGAGTGAATGTGTCCTGCATCACATTGGGAAGTTATTGGGAAAATTTGCACAAGAAAGACAAATTATAGTTAATAAAAATAAATAAATAAATGAATGACAGGTTCATTTAATTTCAAAATATTTTAATCAAGGTTTCCAAAAAGGAAAAACAAACTAAGCAACAGCAAACAAGCAAAACTGAAACACGCCAGGGTTGGGCAGACACATTCCACAGGGCCACACAGTATGCATCAGTGTGCAGAGCAAACTAAAGTAGACATGACCCTGAAACCTTAAATGAAACAACAGCCCTTCCCTCCCACCCCCCACCCATTCTCCTCCTATCCCCATTTTTTTCTTCTTTTAAGTATTTCTAAGGCACAATATCTAGAATTTAATATGCAGAATAGCAACATCCATGGAGTCAGGTTTTACTTTTTAAAAATGTATTATGTTAAGGGCTGAGTTAAAAAAAACATTGAGAGCTGATGTTGTTTGGGTGTTAGAAAATGAGACAAAAAGGATTCCCAGGTCTTATAAAAAACATTTCTCCTAACTACTGGTGGAGAAGCACAGTATCTCTAATTTATCCAATAACAGATACAAAAAAATACATTTAAAATAAAAAATAAGGCTAGATGTATGTTTTACTAATAAAATCTGGAAGTGTTCTAACTGGCAGGGATTTCATAAATTTAAAATATTATATTCAGATTATTTTTGTTCCAGAAATAAGGTAAATTCACAACACTGGCTTTTTGCTGAATCATCTCATTTTATTGGAAAATTTAGCCAAACATGATATAAAGATTCACAATGAATTTCAGTTATTCTGGGAGCAGCAGAAGAATATATCAATATCCTTTATGTTGCTTTATGTTGACATTAAGTTTGTCGTACAAGTATTTTTCCAAATCTTTCCAAAATGTCTCAGTATGTGGACAGTGCTCTAAAAATCCTAATATATCACTTGTACTTAAGGAAGTCAAGCAAGAACTGTAGCCCAAACAGAACCTTTATTGATTCATATTAGAAATTAAATTGCAAATTATTTTTTTTATTTTTTTTATTTTTACTGATTTTAAGCATTTAACAAGTTGCACAAGCATGTACCACACTCACCCCTCACTCCTAAGATAGAACATATGACATATATATGACATAAAAAGAAATTATAATTATTAAAATAATAATCATAATTATAGCTGCTGCGCAGCGATGGGTCGGGTCCGGGCATTTTTAGGCAATTCTGAGCAACAAGCAGAAGAATTGGAAGACATTTAGGAATTTAGCAACACAATCTGCCTTTAGCATCAGCTGAGGCTTGAACTCACAACCTCTGAGACTAAGAATCAATTTCTGTCTCACTGAGCTAATTAATCAGTGACAATTCATGTGTAGCTTCACAAATTGACTAAGCCAGACGTGCAGGTTTAGCAGCCGTCCATGCATGGAAAAGCAGATTTCAAACCACTGTAAAAAATTCAGTTATCAAGACAAAAATCTGAAAATACACATATTGCATCTAGACAGCATGGAGATGTTGGTAATTTGTTTGTAACAATGATTGATTTGCTCCATAAGTGAAAAACTGATGTTTAAAATTGCCATTTTTACATTGACTCCAATTGTTCACATTAGAGCAAAATTCAAAATGCTGTCAAAAATTCAGTTTTTGAGATAAAATTCTGAAATTTGCCACACATCATCTACCATGACTCTAGAATTTTGTCCTTTTTTTCATGAACATTGAAGATTTATTTAGCAAGAATTTGCATGTATATGTTTACAGTACCGTTTACAGTCAAACATTTTGATGCACTGTAGGCTCAATTTTTGATAAATCAAAAATCTGAGAAACATAGTTTTTGTAGGACAGTCTGAAGATGCTCTGTAGCAAGTTTGGTGTCAATTGAGCAAAAATTGTGGGAGGAGATGGGTTTAAGAAGTTTTACAGTTTTTGAAAAAAAAAACAGTGATGAACTTAATAATTTTTAATAGGTTTAAATGTACAAAAGTTTCTTCAGTATTGGGGCTACAGTTTGATGGAAGTTGTGAAGTTGTAGCACGTATGGTTGATTTGTTATGAATTTTCAAATTTTTGAAATTTAGACGCTTGCTGTAGCGCCACCATCAGGACTATTGGCTTGAGTTTACAGTTGCGGATATCTGGCATGAGACTGGACCTTTGTACAAAGTTTGGTGAGTTTTCACCCATGGGAAGTATGATTTCCTCGGAAGAAGAAGAAGAAGAAGAATACCTAGGATTACAATAGTGTCCTGGCAGCTTAGCTATCTACATACGTAAAAATTAATAATAGTACCAACAATAACGAATTATTAATAATACTAATTATTAACGATGATAATAATAACAATAATAATAATAATGCAGTAAAAAAAATACATCGTTTAAGCACACATCTTGGACTAAATGCATTATCCTTACAAATTCATTTTTAATAAATTTGATAAACTTTAATAATAAATTCACTGAGGGGTTCATGACGCACGACGTCGTCAGCTATCAGCAGTTGCGTTCGGGCGCGTGACAGGACAGAGAACCATTCGGTGGAAACAGCTGATAAGTTCACAAGGACACCTGGATCAAACTTCCCCTGCTGGACTACAACATCTGACACCCAGGAATCTGCCTCGGGTCGCTTGAACGCAGCGAGAGGTCGCTGTTTGTCTCCAAATAAGCAAGTTAGAAGATTACAAAGTCGCCGGTTATTTTGTTTTCGCCTCCACCCTCCAAACCTGACGTTTAACTGTTAACTACGTTTGATCCTGATGATGGTGAGTTTGCTCTCATGAACAGACGATTGTCTGTTATATATTTCAGGAAGCTATTGTTAGACTGTGCTCTAGGATCAACTCAGGTGATGCACTAAGTTTGCAGCCTTATTTTCCTACCTCTGTCCTAGTTAATGTGTCTGTGATTGATGGACTGATGAAGTCTTGTAACCATGGTAATAAAGTCTGAGACATCTTCAGCGCACCTGAACGTCGCAGGCCGCCCCATTTTACACTGTTCACTGCAAGACTTCATTTTAAAAAGGCTACTTAAAAAAACATTTGGTTTTGTTCTAATGGTGGGACCAGTGAATATTTCCCTGCAAATTTCAGTTAAGTTCGTTTGTTTTGTTTATTTATTTTTCTATTTTTGGACCGTTAGGCACAGAAACAGTTAATCAGTTAATTAAAAATAAATCTGCAACTATTGTAATAATCCATTAATCAGTTCAAGTCAGTAAGCTTTACTGGCACTATGAGTTACCAAAGAACAATTACAATTTAAGACAGTGAAAATTCAAAAACGGTTAACAGAAATTCATCACAAAATTATAGACATACATTTTAAAGGGATTGAAACTATATTTTACAAGAGAGACCTGGTCAAGGTAGCTGCCAATCAAACATTTAAAATGCAACAAATACAACATATAAGACAAAAACCCACAATTAAACAACAACTATTCAAACATAGTGGCCTCTAAAGAAAAACAAGCACGTCTCTGTCACTAGATTCTTTATGATGCTCTTAAATTCATCAATGGATGTAAATGTTTGTAATTTTAGATCTTTTTGGAGATAGCTCCATGTCCCTAGTGCATATTAGGAAAATGCAGTTTTCCCCAGATCTATTAAAACCTGGAGTACATTAAAAAGCAACCACTCGGAATAAATAAATAAAGTGAAAGGGTAAATAAAAAGGCAGAGTGTGATCTGTGATGAGATGAACTATATGTTGTTGTGTTGGTTGTCTCTTAGGCTGTGATATGCGCTGACATATGTTGCTGCGTCAATGGCACTGACACTATTTTCTACAAATAGGGGTTGCATTTTAGTCTGGTCAGAGAGTGACGCAAAATCTTGGAGTTTACATTAAATTTTTGTGAAGACCTTTGTTCTGATGTCTTCATTTGTGCCACGTTGTAGCGGAAAATGTTACTCTGTGGACAAAGCTGACACAGCCTGTCTTCTCAAGGCAGCCTGTGTCCAGACTGTGATCACTGAGTCTGTACATAATGTCTGTCTCAGTTTCTGATCTGTCACAGCGGTCAGATAGTTTGCCATCCTGCACTGTCTGTTTAGAGCCAAAAAGCACTGAAGTTTGTTTCAGGTTTCTGTGGTAGATGTCCAATAGTTGATGTAGTTCTCTTTTTCTTTAGCTATAATTTGGTTGGGCTGGATTGTGTGAGGGTTGTCCTGAGGCCTTGTGCTGTTGGAGGAGGTGCCTCAGGACCAAGACCAGAGCCCAGTAATGGTAGGAGTTGGTATCTCTTGTTTTTAGGTGTTTGTAGAATTTGATTGCTCTTTTTGTATCTTAATTAAAAGGGGGAATTGGCCGAGTTCAGCTTGGCATCCATTTTTAGGGGTGTTTTTGTGGACTCTGAGTATACCCGTGCAAATCTCAGTGTGTAGGACTTCAGGGTGGTGTTTGTCCCATTTTTCAAAGTCTTTATTTTTTTTACAAGAGGACCCCACACTTCACAACCATACAGTAAAGTCAGTTTGATTATAGATTGGAATATTTTGAGCCAGATTCTAACAGGTATCCACTTATCAGGTGTATATGTAATGATTTATGTACCTGTTAAACTCCTTTTTTCATTAAGTGTTTCTGTTATTTGTCCTCATCTCCTTGTTTAAAGATGAACTTCAGCACAAATGCCCATTGCGGCAGTCACACTAGCAAAGAAAACATTCCACCTTCAAGCAAAACGGATGCATCGCAGGTCCAGAGAGCCAAGCAGCGGACAGTCCTCGGTGTGTTGTCGGACAATGAGCAACGTGGTCGATCCTTCAGCCAGGTCAGTGAGAAGGACACTGTAGAGGTCATTTAACTTTCTGATTCAGTTTTCCCTCGCAGAACATTCACATTTCAACTTAACGTGGCAGTCATGCTGTCTCCTTTTTCTCCGCAGGGGGGCCATTTTTCCAAACACAGTTCGATCTCCGACAGCTCCCAGCTCACCTTCCTCGGCCATCCGTCCAGTTCCAGCTTCGATGTTTATGTCGAAGAAGCTTGTGAAGTTGTTCTTGCAGCTTCTGGTCAAGAGGTGGTCTCGGACAGCTATTACTTAGATGCAGAAACTGATGCAATGCAAAATGAAGATTTGAGACTCCTGCTGGACCTGAGTACAAGTGAGTTTGACAAATGCAAAAACATCTACAAAGGCTTTTTTCTTGTTCAGTCTTCATTTTGTTAACCTACTGCTGATCACTCTTGTAGGTTCGTGCCAGGATGTTTCTATGCAGTCTGACACAGACAAATCCCTGATGTCAGAGGAGGTGCTGCGTGTTTCCGAGTATACACAGGACATTCACCTGCACTTGAGGGAGAGTGAAGTGCGAAATTATCTTAACTTCTTATCACTGTGTATATGAGCAGGATTAAAGCATTGTACTTAAGAGACTTTGCCTCTCAGCTCAACGCAAATACCTCATGAGAACTGCTTTCGTTTCTAATGCCAGATGAGGTCCAGGCCAAAGCCAGGCTACTTAGAGAAACATCCAGAGATCACCAACGGCATGAGGGTTATCCTGGTAGACTGGATGGTGGAAGTCGTCCAGGAATACAAGCTTCGTACTGAAACTCTGCACCTTGCCGTCAACTATTTGGACCGCTTTCTTTCCTCCATAGCGTATTTAAAACGGAGCAAGCTGCAGCTGGCTGGCACAGCTGCATTATTGATCGCGTCGTAAGCACGTGTTTCTGTTTCTAACAAATTTCCTGTCCATTTCAGTTTTTGATATGTCAGAAATCTTTAAAGGTCCAATGTGAAGCATTTAGTGTTATGTAGCGGTGAGGTTGCAGAGCTGGAACATCTACTGTGTGCCAAGTGTGTAGGAGAAGTACGGTGGCTGACACGAAAATGCAAATGGCCCTATCTAGAGGCAGTGTTTGGGTTTTCCGTTCTGTGCTACCGAAGAAGAACATGGTGGACTCCGTGGAAGAAGGCCTGCTTCATATGTAGATATAAACGACTCATTCTAAGGGAACAAAAACATAGTTAGAAATATATCTTATATAATTTCTGCCAACAGATGCCCCTAAATCCTACACACTGGACCTTTATTGGTGGTTGTATAAATCCACCTGAGTGCAATACAGTTACATTGACTCAGTAATGGGTGACAGTTGACCTGATGTCGCCTTATGTGTCACTTTGTAGAAAATATGAGGAGATCTTCCCTCCCGAGCTGAACGAGTTTGTGTACACCACAGACAGCACCTACACCAAGGAGCAGTTGGTCCACATGGAGCACATGTTCCTAAAAGTGCTCTCTTTCAAAGTGGCAGCCCCCACCATAAACCAGTTCCTTCGCCTTTTCATGTCCATCCACTCTGTCTGTGCCAACACTGAGAACCTTGCCCTGGTGAGGAAAATCAATAAGTCAAATGCCAGCCAGATTATTGATTTGTGCCCACTGCCTGTGAAGTTACAGTTTTTCATGTCCCTTGATCATATTTTGACTCAGTGATGTGTGTTTTTTTCCTGCTTCTAGTATGTGGCAGAGTTAAGCCTGCTGGAAATCGATCCATTCCTGCAGTACACCCCATCTATAGTGGCAGCTGGAGCCTACTGCCTCGCCGCCTACACTGTGAACAAATCTCTCTGGGTACGTTTATTCAGATTCTTGGCTCCCTTTTATGAAAAGATCTTAAAAAGAAATTCTCCAAAATGTGACCTTTTAAGCTCTTTTTCCACATTCCAGCCAGATTCCTTACAAGCCTTGACTGGTTACACCACGGCTGAGATTGTCCCCTGCCTGACTGACCTCCACAAGCTATACATCAGTGCAGAAAGTCACCCGCAACAGGCCGTCAGGGATAAGTATAAGAGTTCAAAGTAAGTCGTAGTTTAGTTTTTTAATTAAGTTTAAATATTTATATTTAGGCAACTTTCAAACGGGTTATGTAAATCACAGGCCTTTGGGATCTTTCATGTGTGGTTTGCAGATTATCTGGGTGATTAATGCATCCAGGACACACTTATATCACTAAACTGATGTGTGTTATCTCTCCATTTACAGGTATTGTCGTGTGTCATTGATCACTGCACCTGCTGTTCTGCCTTTGCCATGAATAACTGCCCCACCCGTCTTCCGATGCTTCTGCCAGAATCTAATTAGACTGTGAACAAAACAAACACACCTGATTCTACTGCCAATCCCACATGTGCTTCGCTCCTCTGGACCCCTAATAACTTTGAGATTTTTTAATATAGTTTATGCAAATACAATAAACCATTTTTAATAAAGCCTACATCGTGACTGAAAAAATTTAATACCCGCAGGCGTTCTTGTAAAAAGTTTTTAAAACTGATGTCATCTTTTGTAATATATCTATATTTTTTTCATTATTATGTTGTGTTTAAATCAGGAATTACAGCATTTACCATATCTTTTAAAGTGATTTTAAAATATGTAAAGCATTTTTGTGAACTTTATTTTTCATGTGTCATGTCTCACTGTAGTGCTACATGTGAATGCTGTGAAATGAATTACTACACTAGGAAATAAGATAAGATAGACTTTATTGTGCTGAAGGAAATTTGTCTTGGAGGTACCTGCCGTTAAAAGATACAAAAAGTTTATACATATAGATCCTACATATATACAGTCCATACACAGAGCTATCGCTGTTCACAGTTTCACAAACTCAGAACCTACAGGACATGTACAGACTGCCATCAGCCAACAAATTGTATGCTGCCCATTGCACAACACATCTGTTTTATATAGTCATCATAAAAATAACATAGTTAT